CATTTTTGGTGTGTATCTTTTGAAAGAAACTGCGTAAACAGAAACTTTGTGCAGCAAAATGATATTCAAATTGTCCGAAAACCGAAAAAATAATTCTTCTTTTCCACTTGTCATTGATATATACAAGAAACGTAGAGATACTTACGCATCGGGGCATTTCATGAAGATAAGCTGTATGGACTCTTGCTCATTCAGTTGCATGGCCAGACGCAGGGCTTCAGGGTAGCGTTCGTACTTGAGAAAGATCCCCATGGCGGTCTTCAGGAGGTTAGTGTTTTCTGGCTCAGGAACATAGGGTACACAGCTGCAACAGAATAGTGTTGAGATATGATTACCATAAAATTATGCACAAATGCCCCCTTCCCATCGTGCAAGTGCCCTTTTTCATAATACAAGGAATTCGGGTTTTCGTACGATACCCAGTGAAACAAACAAAATGCACCTTCCTAACTGCATGTAACACTGTTGCCGCAAAGCTTGCTGAGTAGACGTCGGACTTAAGACGAGCCTCAAGGTTCCGAATCGGACCACTTCGGTAGCGATTAATGGCAGTGCATCACCGGCTTTGACACAGGAGGGTGGGACAGCTGCTGGGATGATTTTATTATGGCCGATAGTGACGAACACAAATGAGGGCATTGTGAATCAAGTGCTTGGCAAGAGCGGTTTCAAAGAATCGGACGATGACGACAAAACTTTGGAGCCAGCACCCACAAGTGTGCCTGTAGCAATTGGCTACATAGACAGCCTCACGAAGCTTGTCTATGCCAGGTGCCTCAGCAAAGAGCACATTGCCAGTTCAAGTAAACTGGAGACTGTCCTTATCAAATCAGCACTGTCGAAACATATGCATTGCAAAAATTCTTTGTGATTTTTTTTTTTCACTTGAAGTTTTTTAAAAGCTGTGTTTCATTGATGATTGATTTGTGGGGTTTAACGTCCCAAAACCACGATATGATTATGAGAGACGCCGTAGTGGAGGGCTCCGGAAATTTTGACCATCTGGGGTTCTTTAACGTGCACCCAAATCCGAGCACACGGGCCTACAACATTTCCGCCTCCATCGGAAATGCAGCCGCCGCAGCCGGGATTCGAACCCCCGCCCTGCGGGTCAGCAGCCGAGTACCTTAGCCACTAGACCACCGCGGCGGGGCAAAAGCTGTGTTTCATCCGCAACAAACTTCAAGATACAACGAATGAATGCCGCGTCACGCTCAGGTTAATTTTAAACAGGCTAGACTGCACTGCAGTTTTGGTGCAACTTGCACGATAAATCGAAAATGTAGCACTTTGGCTCAACAGGCGCACCTGTACCATCCCTGAATGCCCTCGCACATACCTGGTAAGGTACAAGCAGACTCTTGGAAAAGCCTCCTTGTCAACATATTCCTGCAGCAGCTGTAACTGCTCGATCTCCATGAGCAGGTCACAAGCCTCTGCCTCTGCGTTATGCGCCATGTGATACGGCACAATCTGCTTGGCCAGATCGAGCAGGGCCACTCGCCTCTCTTCGTCGACTTCCACCCATTCCTGGGCAATCTCGCCAGCCAAATGCCTGCAAACATGGGCATATCAGCATATTATTGACACTGGAACATATGGTACATGTCTAGTCCCGAAACAAAACTTTGCTGCAAATGATTGTTTTCGAAAAATGTAAAAAAATATTGCGTACCGCACATATTCGTGGCCCCAGGAACCAATCTCTTCTCGTGATCCAAGAAGTCTGTACTTGAGGCACTCCCGATCCTCACTGATGGTCATCGCCAAGATGGATACGATGTCCGCACAAAATTTCTGTCAAACAAAAACCACTTAGCAGTAAACACTGGTGATACTTGGCAGCAAACGTACTTTTTGCACCCTTAAATTTTCGAGGGTTTTTACCATACATGTACAGCATTGCCTCTACGTTTAAAATGTGTGCCTTTTTCGATCATTTCTCTTGCTAGGTATGTGCTGCCACACTATGGGAATACGTGAAATTTTTTTTTTCATGTGCCATTGTCTCTCCGTATTCTTTAGTTTAGTTTTTCCTTTCAAAAGCGGAGTGTCAGCTATCGCTTGAACATCTGAGGGCGCCCGAGATGAGGCTGATTTAAAATGCGAACTTCTCTCCACCACTTTTTTTTTTGTTGAAATGTGCTGCCACGTAACAACAATATGTGGCATTTTTTTTTTACTGCGCCGCTGCCTCTCCGCCCCCCCTTCCCTCTTAAGCTTTCACTTGCATATCAGAATGGGCGCATGTGACGATGATGGTTTCGGTTTCGTCCTTCAGATGGTGATCACATCTCGCACATGTGAAGCTGCTGGCCGCCTGCTTTCTAATCTCTCAAAGGCTCATGGAAAAAAAAAAAAAAACCTCTCACACTTATTGCTCCCCAGCAAGTAATTACATCTGTTTTTATGCGGCACTAGATCACAGTAATGATGCCGCCGTGGTAGCTTTTTCCATTTTGGTTACTTGGAGAAAAACTAACTTCGTCTCATTGGTGATAAGACGTGGGAGCGCTATAGCTTTATCACTCATTTTTTCACCAAATCCATTGTTTTGTTATCAATTGTAGCAGCAAACTGGATATTACTGTTAAAAAAAAAAAAACCTTTATCTTCAATACATTACACTGTGCTATTTACTTAAAGGGGCCCTGCAACACCTTTTCAAGCAGCTATGGAATGGATTTACTACAAGAGCTTATTGCCTCATGAATTCATTGCCGCCAAAGTTTTTAAAATCTGCCTGGTACGAGTGGAGTTACAAAGATCTGTCGCACGCTGCGATTGCATTCTCTCTTATCTCATCCTGATGAAAGCGCTGGAAGCTACACAGGGAGGAATGGCACGGGGAAAGCAAATACGTCACGTGCGCCTCATGACTTTCTTTCTCTCTTTTTTTCGAACACGTGTATTTTCAGTGAGATCGCACGTGCACACATGGACAAGTCGTGGCCTCCTGCGGCGATCCCTGTCATGATCGAGCCCACCGTACTGAAATCGGCCAATACATGATCGAACCACTGTGACGAGTGATTTTCGAGTTTCTTCCGTCATTTATCAAGAAAAGAGAAAGCAATTTTCAGCTGACTTTGAGAATTTAATGTGAATTCCAGGCCGCGTGCTTTGCCATAATATTTGGCTTGCATGTTTTCCAGAGCCTCTACTACCGATCGGCAGCGTTTTCTTACCATGTTTAAAAAGTGTTGCAGGGCCCCTGTAAATGTAATAATAAGCTGAAACACTCCAAGTGGCACTACTCAAATGAATGCACTTGAAAGTTTAGCAGTAACTCGATCTGAAAACTTTTTTACATTTATTCCCCTTATTGCTTCCAGTCACGCATTGTGCTGAGCACTTAGCCCATCCCTAAATTTTGCAAGAAATTGGTAGAGATCAGGTTGTTGGCAGACTGAAACAGTGGTAAATGTTCTTACATATTTGTGCAATTTAGTAAATATTGCTATAGAAGGCACATTCATAAATATGGCCATCTTATGAGCACTGCACTTCGTGGCAGGTGTGTGTGGCCTTTGAACCCACTTGCCAATACCTTTTTTTCTGTGCTCATTCGATTTAAATGCAAGCACAGTCTAAAGATAGTAAAGTGCTTTGGTGGACTAGCTCTTAATAGGTTTGAAAAGAGCGAGTGCATGAGGTCACATAAGCACACACGGTGGTGACCTTACAATGGAAACATTTCAACATTTACTGTTGAAAGTCACCACTGTGTGTGTTCTCTGCCTGCATACAGCCACTCCAAGTTCCTAAAGATATCATTGAGCACAGTTTTCGGCTAACCTTCAGTTCAATAGCCCGATACTGTTACTGTTGGCAAGGAAGCACCAATGACCTCTTATGTCAAACTGAAGCAGAATCATACTTATAGAAGAGACTTCGTAGAGTTGCAAAAAAAGACTGCGACCATCCTAAACTAACATTGCGTCACATTTTCGTTCGGCACTGCTTCACTAATTTCTCGACGAAATTACGGGGCGATTACCAGGACCAGAAGAAGAAATGCTGATCGAACATATATTCATAGTGGCGAACCTAGGCCGCCGCCGTCATTACCGTCGGCTGAGTCACTTCGACTGAACGCCGACAAGTGAACCACACCAGTTATGACAGGCTCACCTTCGTTTTTTCATCGGTGATCTTTTCGTAGACCTCCTGCAGAGTCTTGTAGTGGGGTTTGAGGAACTTCAGAGGCTTCGGCACCGACGTCATCGACGTGGTCGAGGCCTTAATCTGAGTTCGAAGGCTCTCGAGAGCGTTGAGGTACAGCGAAGAATCATCCTCCTGTCAGTGCCAATGGGTGGCGTGTTACGCGAGCACGAATGAGAAACAAAATGAGTAAGAGAACCGGCCAGCCGTACGACCAGTACAAAGAGGGCAACAAAACACTTACCACGAGGCGATGAACCAGCAAATTCAGATCGTCCTGAAGTTGCTTGTCTTCCTCCGTCTGAAAAGATGCAACGAAGAATGACGACCCCAGAACGGCCCTCGGAATGTCGCACAACAGCGAGACGACCAAGTAACGACTACGATAGACAAATGCAACAACAGTAACGTGGTAGCCTTAGTAAGACGTTCGTAAAAAAAATAAAAGCGCCGCATGATGAGCGTGCGTGAAGTGAGACAGCAAGATTTGGAGGCCCGTGTCAACGACGTGTACAGAGAACGGTCGGCGAAGGAAATGCGCTTATTTGGAGTCTGGGCAGTCGTATTACGATTGTACGATTCACTCACGAGTTCCAATTCCTTTTCTGGTTCATTTTTCTTCCCCTTTGCAGGTTGTTCATTTTCCGCCGGTGCGGCCGTCTTTTCCTTCATGTTTGAAACTCTCAACGCCAGCCAACGCACGTGCTGCTACACAGGCATGATGGGTAATTAAATACGATAAGTAATTTTGCTACCTAATTCAACTATGAACTTATCTGTTATTTAATATTAAAGTTATGCAAATACCTCGGCGCGTTCTTGCTCAATGTTTAAAGCTTCTTGCGTAGAACGTGTAAAACTCTCGAACGGCGGTGACACCGTCATGGCTACAGTTGTAAAGTGACGTACGTTGGCGTCTCAGATCGTGCGAAATAATGCGCTGCAGCTGAGCACACCGGCCGTGCAACCGAGTGCACAGCGCGTTGGAAAGCGCCGAAAGTGCTCGACCAAGGCGACGAGGGTCAAAGATGTAGCGTCCTCGAGCAAGTGTTTCGAGAACAGAGTCTCAACTACGCGGACCTGCCCAGTTTCAGTTTTGCCGTAGCTCGCCGATCGCCGCACGCACCCGATGGAAAGCTTCGCCTACGCGACCTACCTCCAACACCTGATCGCCACTTTGGCGATCGTGCTTATTTTTCGTGTCATCTGGATCTTCGTCAGGATCAGACATGCCGCCGAAGCGTGCAAGATTCCTCGGAAAAAGCCTGCCAAGCTGATGATTGTGCTGGGATCAGGTAAGCGCGCCGAACCGATTAATTTCGCAATCACGCCGCACTGTCTGTGTCGTAAACAACGAGCTGTCGGCTGACGATGCTACCTATGCATCGCCGCTCATTGCGGTGCATCGCAAGTCGCACGAACATTTTCGTAACCGAGTAATCTGTGCCGAGTGTTTGCAACGGCAGGATGCGATAGGAATCGCACGTTTTACGGCCATTGCTTGCTGCATTCCACCCTTGACGACGGTCGCATAGCCCGTTTTAACGAGCCGGTGAACTCACTACAATGTGCGAATTCATGCCGGCAGCTGCATTTCGCTCGATTATTCGCTGCGCTGGCAGTGCGAACGTTGACCTGCCGGCATTGTTTGTTCCACGTCGGTGCTGCGTAAGCAGCATTGCATTGTAGTGTGCCACATCCTGTGAACTGCCGTAGTTCGTGCTGCAAACTTGCTGCAGTCTTTGTAGTTAAACCTGTACACATTGATCCGCAGGCGGCCACACGTTCGAGATGCTCAAGCTGGTGGAGAATATATCCACAACGTCGTACAGCCCACGTGTCTACGTGACGGCTACAACGGATCCGATGAGCGCCGATAAAGCCAAACAATTAGAGATGTGGAGAGTCGCATCGTCGTCACAGGTCCTTCTTCTGAGATTTCTTTCCTCTAAAAGGGACTCCACCGACGGACCTGAGGTACGGAAGCATCACCCCGTTGCCAGAGAATCATGGTGCGGTATATTTGGAGTCGCTGAAGTGTCACATATCTCGCAAACACTATTTCACCTATGTGCCGCATGACTCTGATAATTTTTCTTTTTTACACTGTTAACTAAGAGTAAGCTTTAATGTACTGCCCAACACGATAGCTGAGTGCAAAGTCATTCAGAAGCATTGTTATATTATTGCATAGCATTATTATAAAAGTGATGCATTACAGTTCTATTGCAATTCTTTCATACAATTTCATTTATATACATCATTTTTCAAGAGTACAGCAACGCATGGATTGTTTACACTGGCCCAGCTGAAATTGCCTAAGAACAGTGAGAAACGCGTTAATGCAAGGCACAAGTTGTTTTTTACTCGTGACCTTTGTGAAAGAATAGGCAGATTAGTAGTTCCATGCACAGCTGTCGATTCCGATCCTTTTCGGCAAGGCCTATTTAGATCTTAATGATATTGGTAATTAATTACGGTTCATATTGCTTCTCTAACCCCTAGTTGTTTTGTGGTGCTAGTTATTTTGTTAGCCATTTCTACTGTATGCATGTGTTGTTCCCTTCTGATAGCTGCACCTGTTAGACACTTTTCTTTTGTGACGACCTTCAGTTTTCTTTGAGGAAATGTCTCTTTTCTGGTGCTGATATCTTGTGTTGCCCTATTGTATACTTCCGCATTTTACATATAGCCCCCCTTGCTTGTGCCGAATTGATGGCTTGCACAATTTCAAGATTGAGAGCTTCGCTCATTCTACAATGCCATCTTGCCACGTCGTCCTTTTCAGGAGGAAGAACCTTCCGACTATGTTGTCGAGCGCATTCCAAGGAGTCGCGAGTTGCACCAGTCCTGGCTGACAACGGTGCCAACGACACTTTACGCACTTCTGGCGTCAGCACCCATCCTTCTGCGTCATTCACCAGATGTCGTGAGTTTTTAGTTTGCTACCTTAAACGTACACCTTAAGATAGAGCTTCTGTGATTTGTATTATTTCTAATGCATCAATCACAAGCTTTCTTCACATAAATTTGTTGTTTGATTAAGTTTGGTGACCCATAGTAGCACAGGGTCCTTAAGCAGAAAAACTGTCAAATGCTCCGGGTGATTTTTCCACCACATGATCTTCTTTCAATGTGCACCTTGAGACTGTCCTTGAGAATACTTACATTCCTTTCTTGCTAATGCCTGCAGTGCTTTTTTAAAAACTTTAGACTTGCTATTGATAAACTGTCTAATTATGCCTCTAGATTGTGTGTAAGTAACCATATCACCTGGTTTCTATTACCTGGACACCCAATTTAAAGCATTTAGCAGTAGAAGAGAGTGTGCAAGTCAATGTGTATGTGTTTCTTGCTACACATTTTTCATTAGAAAAACAGCTTACCTGTGACATTGTACAGCGGAAGCTGTATGAGCTCACAACAGCCGATTTTGGTGACGTAGTTCTCTGCCGCCACCGATGGCGGTAACCGCTATCACGCGAAACGGGAGAGGTCATCCACGATTGAGTGGAATTAGAACTCGCGCTCTCTGCGTGGCGGTCTAGCATTTTGCCACCGAGCTATGCCGGTGCTACTTGAAACTTCTTCTCAAGAAGACCCATGCAGGCATCATTTCTGACAGTGAACCATGTTCACAGATGTAATATAGCCTCTTAGAAGAGTAAAAAAACAACCAGGCATTGCACTATGCAGTATAACGAGAGGGTGGTTGAAAGGTTTTCATTCTATACAAGGGGCTTAGCCATAACACTTCACAGATGTGTAGCGAATACATCGCTTCTCTGCAGAATGGCAGAGAAGCGATAACGGCATAATGGATGCTTCCCTACTTTGCAAAAAGTATGGTAGTTTGTGACATAGTGGGCCCAAAAGAGTTTACTAAGGACTCTAGGAAAGCCACTCTTCCAGCTTTTGTTGTGATTGTGCTGGGTGTTCTGCACAGGCCTGGCATTTTTTTGTAGCAGGCTTTACTTGTAGGCACTCACTCAGCACCTGCACGAGCCTGTAGCTTATACTGGGACACTTTCTTTGTTTTCAGATTATCTGCAATGGCCCAGGAACATGTGTGCCAATCGTTCTGATGTCATTCGTGCTGGCTGTGAGTTTTCATATTATTCATTGTGCATTATTGAGGCATCAAACTTCGTGCACGAAAAATAATCTTAATGGCAGTTTAAATGATGCTGCATTGTGTCACATGATGCCGTCAATGCTGTATTGTATCACATGAAGCCGTCAATGAATTGCTTTGTGGGACTGCTGTAAGACCTACACAGATTGAAAACACTCATGCTGAATGCATGGTAGTGATTAAAATGTAACACGGGTTCAAATATGGGTGTGGTTGTCAGCATGGCTTAAACTTTTACTTGTCTAAAAACTGTGTTTGGATGCTGGGTTACCAGCAGTTTTTTGAGCGAGCAGCTGAACGTTTTCCAAAGGTTGTGTTATCCGAGGGTTGTAGGTGCTGCCCCTACCTGCGGCACATTGATTTTTCATCCCCTTTAGTTCCTTTTCATTCCTTTTTTTTTATTTGCAACATTACCTGCAGCGTCATGTTAGGCATTATGGCAGGGGGCACAGAGCTTCATAGAATGAATCTGCAGTCTTGCGGCTAACTAAATTGGCTGGTAACGTGTATTTCATTTGACAATGGCTTGTGGAAAAACTGTTATTAAATATATTGTAATTAAAATATGAGTAATGTCTCCTATATCCTTAGGTTGCACCTAATGAAAAGAAGGAAGCTGTCGAGCGATTCCTGCACTTTTGTTCTAATGTGTTCTGGTAGGACGAAGCTATAACATGCGAATGGTTTGCTAGTGTTACGTTGTTCATTGATCGTCTGAGGTAGGCTTTCACGCATTCGGAAGTGGCGCTTTCAGGAGATTGCTCTTCTCTGTGTCATGTGTAACCATTTGCATGTCCAAAACACATTCAATTGAGAAAGTGTAAATGCAGAAAGTCTTGGAACCAGTAATTTTCAGTTTTATGTTTTAAAAAAGGTGTTTAAGCTTTGCTGTTGGTTTTACAGGTGCTGGGCACAAAGAGGACAACGGTGGTGTTTGTGGAGAGCTTCTGTCGAGTTCAGACGCTGTCATTATCAGGCCGCATCCTGTACCACCTTGTCGACCACTTTGTGGTCCAGTGGCCTCAGCTCACAACCAAGTACCCTCGGGCTACATACCATGGCCTGCTTGTTTAAGTGATCTCTGTGCAACTCATGTGGATTGTGCAAGGCATTCTTTACCTTTAGAAAGCCGGGCATATTAATTAAGAGATTTGTTGGGTCAGTGTCTCACTCGCATGGGGCTTAACATGCCTGCATTATGCTAGCAACAAAAAAGAGTTTTAAAATGAAATGATGGTTAGTGTGCCTTTTTCAACAGTACAAAGTGAGCCACTTTCACACGTAGTGTACAGCTGTATCTACCAACCTGCTGCTGCTTTCCCTTTCTCCGAGTGTGTTGGAGCAATTGTGGCTTGTTGGTTTTACCATGAAAAGCCATTCATTGCTGTATAACCATAAGAAATCTGTGAAATTCAGCATTTTTATGAGCTATAACTGTATGCTGCAGTATGTTTATGGCTTAATAGTAGATCAGGAGGCCCTGCAAAAGAATTCTTTTTTTAGTGGCTTTTTTTTTAACATGTAAAACAACTGGGCTCCTTTCTAGGAAACAAGTTAGGGTAGAGGATGCCGCCTGTTCAAAGTTTCCTTGCACTTGCCATGTGAAGCTAAGAGCCAACATGAAACAACATATATGAACACTCTGCTATTGCAGTGAGTGCACAAGCCTGAGCTTAGTACGAAGAGGTGCTTGATGGTTTAAACACTTGCACATGCATTTTACATCTCACGAGTTTAATGGAACACATACATAGGACCTTTCGAAACTATGTCGTTTCTTTGGGTCTTGCAAGTTGTTGTTATAACTCAGCTCATTGTATTGCTTTTTTTGAGCATGCTGTTGGAATTTCAAGATAGTGCTAGAAGCTGGTTACAATGGAGAAAAGGAAGGATGTACAGAGTCGTCATTGTGTAGGTGCAACTTGGGAAACATCAAATGAATTGAAATGACTGCAAATATGGAAGGTGTTAAGGAGCCTTAGTAAAAGCTTTTAGTATGCCCATTTTCAAGAGCATAAAAGAAGAATCCAGCACCAGAAGCACTGTATGAGTACTTGAAGTACTTGGGTGTGTTGGTTAGGTTCTCATTATTGTTAGGATGTTTCTTCTATTATAAATCACAATAGCACAAATAATAAAGATTGCAAGTGTCGGTGGATAATGAGAATGCTTTTTATTGAGACATTGAAAGCTGCTTAAGTAACCACAACAGTCACCAGATGATGTCAGCTTCTGCCAGGCTCTCATGTTTCTTGTAGAGGCTTTGAGCCCCATGCAAAAAACTAGGCTTTGTGTGTGCTTGCTTGTTTTGCAGCCTTTGTGTTGCGATTGTGTTAGAGCAGCCTTGCCTTGCACAGTCCAGATGAGTATGGCACAGAGATTGGTGGGTTCCCTTCTGATAGCCCGGCTTTTTCAGGTTCATGGCTGTGAATTTCTTCGGGAGCCATTTTGCTGTGAAATTTGTAGAGACACCATTGCTGCCTTAAAACATAAGGTGTTAGCTTTATGCATTTTGTTTGGCTGCCAGAAATGCTCATAAGGTCATTGCACCGAAATATGTGTGCCAGGCTAAAATTTCCTCTTTATGAAACGTCTAAGATAAAAACAATACAAGCATTACATTGAAGCAAGCATTTATGTATGATGCTAGTGTTACAACAGTGCTTTTATAGTTTGCTGACAAATGAATATGCAGCTCTGTGTGTTGTGGAGACATGCCACAAACACTACTTAAAACCCTGAACAGGATCGAAGCGTAGTAGTCATAGGGAGAGAAAATTGGTGACGTTTTATCCTCCGTATAGTTTTATACAGTTTTAGTGCGCCAACAATGTTCAACCTGTTCGGTTGTTAGGCTGTAACGCCATTATCTGCCTCTGCACAATTTCTTGCACTGCACAAGAAGAACTTGAACACACAGTGTATTTCTGTATGAGCTTCTCGTACATTAATGATTGTAAGTAACAAAGTAGGGGCTTCTTCATTCAGAAACAAATTTTGGGTTAGATTCGAAGGAGACTGCCATTTTCTTTTAGGATTTCAGTTGCACAATGCAGGAGCTGCTTGACGTTATTATCAGAGTGGAGGTGTTTGTGTAAATTCAACATGTTCCGGCACTTCCGTGCATGATCAGATTTTATTGTAAATTCTATATTGACTATAAAATAAACATTTTGTAGGTTAAAGTTCTAAAAAAAAAAGGGGGAAAAAGCATTGAACATGGGTAGTTGTCACACATTTCTTTGTCGTTCTTGGAAGGAATAGTTGACACTGAAATTGTCAGGTCTACTTAAATTAGATACACATTGTGCAGGCTTTTGCAATATGTTGCCATCAGCAAGATTCGAACTCCTTTGGTGACGTGAATTAATTGCAGCGTGCTTCTCATACCACTAGAAAATTGTATATGCATGCAATATTGTGGTTGTGTATATGCTTTGGTATGGCAGCTGATCTGCGCCAAGGAAAAAAAAAATGTGACCAAACAGAAGAGCGCAGCCATGAACCTGAATACAGGGTCCAGGGTATTTTTGCTGTAGTTCGCTTAAAGTTCATGGCAAGAATCTGTCCATTGTTGCCAATGGGGCTGATGAATTCACTGTATACTAGGATGTGCAGATGGCAGTGGTGTCACGCTTGTAGCTAAGCGCACTTGACGCAGGCTCTTTTGTTCAATTCCTCTGGGTTGCTGCTGGTTCAGTAGCCCGAGGAAAGCACAAGGCTTGCCGCAAAGTTAGCTAGCTGCAGACTGCATTTAAACCGAGACACCACAACACCCAAGGCACTGCACCACATAATTGTTTGCAGTGGCTGATGACACAGATTGGAAGGCCATGTTCTAGCTCTCAAATGGCTTCTAGCAGCACTGATATGTCTAGGAGTGTTGCCTGCTGTGCAGCTCTTGATTTCTGTGTTCTCATCTTTTTTTACACAGGGTTTTTTTTTCTACTACTTGAGGTTACTACTAATGAACGAATTGTGAGCAGCCAATATGTTCGAATGTTCGATTATTTGATCTTTTTTTTTTGTTCCCTGCCCCTTTTTACTCTCTTTCGAGAATGAGAGGTTCTTCTAGCAGCCCCAACTGCACAGAGCAGGCCTTTGATGCAGCGTGGATGGTTGTAATGAATGTGTGAGAAGTGTTTAGATGGAAGGAACATACCCATGCAGAAATCAATTACAAAACAAAGGGATTATATATTTTAAAGAAGAGAATGCTAGTCGTGACAACAGTTCTGATTCATAACAAATTGCAAGGACGTAGAGCACCTCAGGTTTTATTGTTGACCTTTTTTTTTCCGCTTTTCTCAAAGGTAACAAGCGACATATCCTGTTTTCCAGCAGTGTCCTGATCTGCTGCAAGTCTTCAGTAAAATCAGGGCATGATTAGTCTAATTGTTTTCTAATTTTGAGTCTCTGCTTAAACTGTGGGTTTAACCTCCGTGTTTTATTCATTCTCAGGATTCTGTTTCTAGTTTTAGTCTCTAGTACAAAGCTGGGGCATGTGCAAATATGCCTTGTCTGTGGCTGGTCCATGGATGGGGCGTTATGCATTTAAAAGTGCTCCGAGCCCATTTTGCAAGCTATGGCACTTCCCGAGATATTTGTCTTTGCATTTGTTCCCTCGAAGTTACATTCACAAGCTTCCCACATGTAATTTAATGACATTGTTGTCATCACGAGCGTTTTGAGCCCAACTGCGCTGCTTGTGGAGTGTCTGCTGGTAAGTTGGGCCATCCAAGAAAAAATTGATGCCTGTTATCAATAGATGGAACATGTTGCACAAGCTTCTTCTTCAACAGCTCAAAAAGTGCAGCTAAAGCAAGTCACGCACAGCTTAAAGGATGCCAAGTGTTTTGAAGAGCCTGTAAAATGTGTCTGTGCCTGCAACTTTAAAAAATTGGCTCCGTGAAGTTGACACACAGTGCATTTTTTTTTTTTGAGTGTGCAATCCTGGATTTTTGAGATCTCCAGATTAAACTTATAACACCACTTATTGGCTTCCTGTGTATCTTATTTCTAGAAACAATGAGCACAGAGTAGTTCTTTCATGTAAGAATAGGCTTTTGAAACAACTTTTTTTTAATAACATCTTGTAAAGGGGATAGGTGATGACATTCACGTACAAGTACCATGTACAAGTAAGACTTGCCTGCGCTACAAATCGGTAGTCAAGGCTTCTGAGAATACACAAGCCAAACATGACAGTGCAGCATGCTGCCTGGAATTTACAACTAATTCTTAAAGCAAGCTAGATTCATCTCTTCTCTCAACAAATGATCGCACAATACTAAATGATTGCACCATATATCCGAAGTCCATGGCCATAGGCCGATTCAGAATTGTGAGCTGCATAGTTACTGTAGCTCCTGCAGGATGGCGCCACGTGCCTGTGCGAGTGCTCATGATCGTGCTTAAGGTAAGCCGCGCACTCCTAAGGAAAAAGAGCGTGCTCAAGGTGCGTGTTTCCAAACTTTACTCGTCCTGAAGTTGAGCTTTTTCTAAAAAAACTCTTAAGAGAATATTTAGAGGATCTCGAGCAGCCATTCTATTTCACTGTTGAGGAGGACCAAGGATGCAGCAGAAGCCAAGATAAAATGCCTTCGATCACTGCAGATCCTGAAATTGTTAACTGAATCCACGATGTGAGTCGCATAAACTCAATGACTGATGGATCTGCTAATCCTATTGCTAAAGCATTAAATTTATTTGGGCAATGAGTTGGAATTCTGAGTAATGAGCAGTCAGCCATGCAGAGACTTGTGGTAAAATTGGAGCCAAAACATGCGAGTGCGGATGTTGAGGCCCATCAGGTAGAACTGCTCATTTTGGAAAATTTTCAGCAAGGTGATGACTTCCACGTTTGCTTTGTGATGTTCGATGCGACCTGGCAACATCATTGAGGTTTTAAAAAGCGCACAGCTGTGCCTGCAGCGTAGTTCTACTTGGGGTGTCCACGACTAAAGGTAAGAACCCAGATATTTATTGGAAAAGGTTGATTATCTGGTATTAAAAAAAAAAATGGATGTTTCAGATTGACAATTATATGAATGGTTGTACAGTGAACATAGAGTACCGATGCAATTTAGTGCCTCAAAGAATGTTTTAAAGACTAAAGTAGGGAGTTGTTGAATAGAGCTCTCTTTTGATGGCACCATGTCCCCACATTCGAGCAGCAAGATTAAAAGAACTACTGCTGAAATGTGTTGGCCAGCAACATTACTTACTCGCTCTTGCTCCGTAAGACTGCTGTTCACTTGTAAGGATATAATGTTTTTTTCAATAATTTTGGGGTCGTATAACTATGTTAAAGTAGGACAGTTCAACCCCTTTAAAAGAGACATGCAGTGGAAAGCAATTCTTGTCTTTTATATGAGGTGCGTCTTATAAGCAGGGCATCACGTATGCATTTTTATGTCAACCCTTATTTAAACGTAGGCAGACTGGTGTTTCTTATACCCATTTGTCTCGTACATTATAAAGGGGTTTTACTGTAATTTAACCACCAGTTTTCATGATTATTTCAGCAGATTGAAACCAGCTACATAAGCATTGTGAAACTGTGTCAAGCATCAGAGTTGCGTGAAATGAAATGAAGTTTTCAAAATTTTGTTTTCTTTCATAATCTGGTACATCCTGCACAACAGTAAAGTCATCAGGCTTGCTGGCTAAATTGAAACATTTAGCATGGCAGAAACAAAGATTCTGCACAATACGGATCTTGCTCATCTCTCATAAAACAGATGGACTATAGCACTGATAATGTGCCCTACAAGAGTGTTACGCTAAAGGATCGGCTTTAGATAAGCTCTCCAATTCGTTGAGATAACCTCTCCAAGTGGTTCATTGAGAACTTTTTCACCATTTTTTCTACGCTTAGAGATCACGCAATGCTCTCTCAATGAGAAATACATATCTGAAAGAAGCGGTGGCATCACTTCTCCGGAAAATATGGAGAACCAGCTTTTGCTGGTATAAATGGTGATGTATTTGTTACGTGCAGCCAAGAACCTAGCAAAAAAAATTATGCTGCACCCGAAGCTACAGTCACACAGTTATTTTTTACAGGATGTTCCTACGGAATATTCACAGCACTTTTTTCGCATATATGGTGCCATCTCTTGTACATTTAAGACTGAACAGCCCTTGAGTAGTCTCAACGATGAACAACCCAGGGTTCTTATGGTAGGCTAGAGATCTAAACCTTTCTCATCGGTAGCGGCTTCTGCCCACTGGGCAGAAGCCGCTACCGATTGCCCCCAATGGCACAGCATCTTCACAGCTTTTAGTGCAACTGGTGAACCTTTTATTACCTAGGAGGCTTGGTAGCACCATGTCAGGACTAAATTGCGGGTTAGGTGCTTCGTCACCATCATCATCATCAGCCCGTGTTGCATCCACCCAAGACGAATGCATCTCCCAAATATATCCAAACTGCCCTTTCATGTACAAGTTGACTCCATTTAGTAATGACTGCAATTTTGTTTATTTTGTCACTTCACTTAACACTTTGTCATTTTTGACCATGTTTACCATCTGATATCTGTTCCATTGCTCTAGTCGACCATCGGTTATCTGTCCTCATGACATATTGGCGCTAATCTATTCTTTTCTCTTATTATCAACTAAAATATTGACTACGCCTGTCCTCTGGTCCTCTCTACCGTCTGCCTACTTCTTGGAGTGATGTATACCGTATCACTTTTTGCTTTATCGCACGCTGTGTGACTCTTTGCAGCCACCCAAACTGCTCTGAAAGTTCTAGTCCAGTGTTTCAAAGCTTACGAACTGATTAAAAGGCTACAGCATGTGCACAGAATTTGCTTCTTTTCTTTCCTGCTCATACTTTTGGCCCTTACCCTATCTTCCAGTGCAAAGTAGCCAATAGAACTTTCAACTTGTTCAACCTATCTACTTTTTGTCTCATGTTTTCCTTCTCCTCCCATCTGTAAATGGCTAAGGTTCAGATCATTTTATACACACAATGGTGCATACAGCATTTGCATTTAGCCCTCTTTTAGACACTCTGCTGAAACATTCAGAGGCTGATTGCACATTTGGGTGCTCTGTGCTTGACATCATGCACAAAAAGAGTTGCACAGTCATGCATGGTTTGTACTAATGTTTATGGTTGCAGAAGTTCATGTACAAATCAACTGAGTCTGCTTTTCTTGAGGCTATCATATTGCGCTGCATTAATATTCCTGACTGTATTGTCCAAATGAAACCAGTCTGTGTGGCCTTCAAATTTGACAGCTGTAGCTCAGTCCCAAGCAGCCAGCTGTTTCTGCTACTGTGTAAAAGCTGTATCATATAATATATGCTATCCCTACAAATGGCTCCAAATGTAGGAAACACAAGTGATATGAATAATTTGAACTTTCTTAGTAGCATAGGCACGAATGCTTAGAGTGGAATGGTTAAGCTGGTAAATGGTATACAAGATTTACATATATGCTGGCTGCATCAGCTGTATACAGATACTAATTTTTCCTTTTTTTACATGTTTGTCCTTTCATTGTAACTACAGTCTCATATTTCCATTTTTGCATGAAAAAGAAGCAAATCTTAGACTCAAATTGCATGCACAAATTGCTTTTGATTGCATTTATTTTTAAGCAAACAAGAATCGTACTTTTGAAATTGCTCCTGGCAGCGGGGAACGTTGAACGAATCAATGAACATTATAGTTCTTGTACCGATGCAGTCGTATGCAACAGAAATTCATCTAAAGACCAATGTACCTTACTCTTTCTTGGCCACTGGTCCAAAGAATTGGGAAGAACAAGTCATGTCCACATAGCTGGCATGCTCTGATGCCTCCCAGTAGACAACAAAAGGAAGGAAAGAGACCATAGGTTACATCGACTTCTCTTTTATTCACATATGCCCATAAAATGACGCCCAGGCTACAAACAATCACTGTTTGCTAAACTTGTTTTCGCCTCCACATGGCCGCAAGCTCTGCACTATTCAGAAGCTGCCCCCACCTTCTGAAGTCTTAGTACATAGTATTATGATAGCCGTGAACTTGTTGCTACACTTTTCAGTGTAGCGTAAATTTTGGATAGAGATGCATGAGCTGCACTGGCCATGGCAGAAGCGAAATCAAGTTTAGCTGCCCGAGAAAGTATTGTCGCTGCATGTGATAATAGTGTTTTAGTTTTGAAAAAAAAAAAAGAAAAACGTCAAGTTTGAGACGGCAACAGATTGGAGAACCAACACTCCAAAAAAGACGAAAATATTGCATGAGAAAAATAAAAATAAAAGTTACAGCAAGCAAAAAAAAAAAAAACCTAGGTCAGAGTACATTCATGCATTGGTAACAGTTTCGTTATCTCTCTGCAGCGCTGAACTGAAAGATGTTGGTTATATGGCAGCACTCGTTGTTGCTGCAGGATGGCATCACCGTACTCTACGCATCTGCACACTTCTCGCATTCAGTGTATGAGTGAGCTTCTCTTGAAGACGGAAAGAAAAACGGCCATCATCAACAATGAAAGAAATAATGCTGCTGATGCCATCCTGCTGCCCCGTTGTTGCAGAAGACAGAAAGAAAGTGTGTTGAAGGAAGAAACTTCGTTGCAAGAGGTTCAGGATGATGCACCTGGAAGATGATGGTAAGAGAGACTGAGAGAGGGACAGCAGGAAAAGGAAAAGAAGAAAAACATTTAGCTGTTATTTTGATAAATCCATCATGCATGTGTTTTTGGTTAACTACATTGCTTGCGCCCTGTTGAAGCACATTGTTTCGGTGCTCTTATAACCCTTTTAAACCATTTCAGAAAGTAATGTTACAATAATGACTCAACTGTTTATGGTGTGAAAATGTTTCACTTGCTTAAAATGCTAAAATAACCCTAAAGAGATGATATATGAAAAAAATATTTGTTTGTTTGGTATTATGTGCATATTCATAATGGGTGAGGCCTTTGCCTTGCAGTGGGTATAGTTAGGCTGATGATGATGATGATAACTATGTGGAGTGCTCACAGATTGAAGTGTGAGTGAGTGAGTGAACAAACTTTATTTAACCAGCGGATTGAGGCGTGGGCCTAAGCCGCACCAGGGGCGGTGGAGAGACCCTGTCTCTCAGCCGCCTCCCGTGCTCGCTGGATGGCCCATATTTGATCTGCTCGATCTGAGCTGATCAGCGCGGCTCTCCACCGTGCCCCAAGCTGTTCTGGGGAGACTGCATTGGCGTCCGGTATCTGTGCGCATTTCCATAAAATATGCTCTAGGGTGGCGTGTCTCATGCTACATAGCTTACACGAGTCATCTGGGTATAGTTCGGGGTAGATGGGATTTAGGTGCTTCGGGTTGGGAAATGTTCTAGTTTGAAGTTGCCTCCAGTCAACCTCCTGAGATCTGTCTAATGTGGAGCTAGGTGGTGGAAATCTGCGCCTCGAGTTTTGGTAGAATTGTATAATGTCGCAGAACCTATACATTGTGTCTCTCTCCCACCACTCCTCTCCTCCCGGCACCTCATGTGAAGCTAGATCGTGAGTGCGGTAAGCGAGACTTCGCGCTACGCGGTGAGCTTCCTCGTTGAGGTTGAGAATAGTGCCACTAAAACTTTTAGTACAATGACTGATATGTGCAACTGCTGAAGATGTCCATGTCATGTCATTACAAATCTGGCCAATGAAGGTATTGGCTCTGACATAAGCTTGAGTCAAAATTATGCCAATATGACAGATACCAAAAACTATGAAAACAAATATATGTGTTTTAGTTACCCTATGGTAAATTAGCCTTTTCTTGTTGCTTTAGTTGAACCATTTTAGCATTCAAGTGCAACATGTATGCTTGTATAACAACTTAAAATGTAAAAAGCCACACACAGACACGTACAGTTGTGCTCAATATAACCTGAAACATGGGAGCGCATGGCCTCACATGCACCAAGATCACCCACGGCTTCCACTAGCCCTTATTTCAACAACTAAATACCGTTATTTCATTTGGGGATGATCCCAAATAATAAAATATAATTTAGCCATGAAGATGTGGGCAAGCTGAAGCCTTGTGCCATCTTTAAACTCGTGGGGCAATGCACTTCTTTACTGCAAGTCATATTGAGTTCAACTGTACGTCAAAGCGCAACAGTTGACACTTATTTTGCAAGATTCCACATTTGAGTACTACTGCAGTTGATCGAGTGACACGTTTCTAGCCGACAATTGCTGGTTGTAGCATAAGGTAGAGCACTTACCTGGATAGCATCTGCTCGACTGTGCTGTGTTCATAGCTGGTCAGCCTGAGAGACAACATTGAGGGCAAAGCTGGCAGTGCTCTCCCCGCTTGCATCTGTAGCGATGGCCTGGTATTGGCCCACGTCGGTTACAGTAGACTGTGTGATGGTCATTGTGCAGGCTCGGCCGTCTTGGGCAATCTTGTAGTGGGCACCCTCCTTCAGGGCATCACCATCCTTCAGCCATCGAACTGCAATTCAGTCATTGTGCAACGTTATGAACTGCAGTGCGGTTGCATTTTCGTAATGCTGAGAAGCAGGTGTTATGGCTGCTAGAAATGCCAACGCGTGTTAGCAGCAACTCTGGATACAAATAAGAAAGCATGATTTGATGAACAGGCCGACAAGAAGGCCCTTTTCCTGCATTTACGAGAGCAGAATTATTCTCACAGTGAAATCCTAGCGGTGCTATCAAGGTAACTCTTCACAAAAGTCAGCCAGAGGGCAGACTAGTTAAGATACAAATCACAGTTTTGTTTGCGACCTTACTGCTGGCTTACTCAGTATTGCTATGACACTGCATGAGTACCATCCCCTGGGTGCATCTCATAATTTATACCATCACGCCACTTTACTTTCTGCACAGCTTTCGGGCTATTTCAAGATTTTCAGAATTTCACACTAAAGTGAATTTTATAAAGCAGCAGCACCAACTCTACGCTTGGCTATATTATTCAAGTTCATATGGCATTGTAGAGCATGATGGTAAAAACGCCTGTAACGTCATATTTTCATCGTATCCTTTTACGATTTTTACAGAGAGGGGTTTAGAGTTAAATAAATAAATTAAAAATACTATATAAACCATGTTCTTTTATTTGACTTTTCTTGGGTCCATTAATTTTTTTATTGTACATAACATCACGTTCCACTAAACAAACTAATTACAGCCTGCAATCCACTAAAAGTGAAATTTGATGTCTCAAACTGGTAATCATAACGTGTATCTGCAATGTACAACACGTTTTTATTGTGTAGAAGCGTATCAATGTGCAAATGATGGCACAGCGTATAAAAACAATGAGAGTGCAGGGCGTGGCTTTGGAAACGGTTAATACAGTTGAACCTCAATATGATGAACACGAATGTAAAGAAGCAAATGAAATATTAATCTTGCCACTATTACGGTGCAGCTGACATATGTTTATGAACAATACCTGTTCTAACAAAACTATTTGGGCAACACGTTAAACTTTGTTATTCCATCATTCAACTGTAATTAGTAGCGAGATGTCACACCAGATGACAAAGGCTGTTCCAGTTCGCTTCCACCTTCTTCCAATTCTTGCTGCTGAACTTAGCGTGACACTGCAAAAAGCGTACTTGGCTTTGGCAAACCAATAAATAATATAAAAAAAGACGTTAATAAATAATATATGTTTGTCACCACACTTGTTACTCTAAGAGGCGCATATTTTCTCCTCCGCATAAGTGCATGTATCCATAAATAGCCTCTGGCTAAAGATCCAGTCATTATTCACAAAATACATTTTACTGCACTGAACTGAGTGAAGCTATTATGCTTTGTTGTTGTTATTAAAACGAACAAACAGAAAAATCTAGCTTCAGTGCCTCTCTCCACTTATTGTAATAATGTTAGTGCCAAATTTCGAAAAAAAAAAATACGGGACCATACAGGTGACAATGAATTCATTTGAGCTACAGCAAATGCAAGTAAAATAGTGGCAAACCTCCGAGAGCTTCTTTGTCCGTGACACACTTGAACACAACTGGCTGGCCTTCTGCTGATGTTGCCGACCTTGGATATATAGAGAATCCAGGCCCCACGAGTGGCTCACCTGGAACTGAAAAAAAAAGGGGGGTATTCAATATAAAGTGGTGCTGGCTAAACAAATTTATGGGACATGCTGATGTGAAATTTTACAAGTACACATTTAAAAAGCTAATGTCAAGCCTTAAATATTGTTACGAGTAACTTATTTATTAAACTATATGCGATGCACAGAGCTCGGCGAACAAGATGGCACGAGTTCATCAACAACCAGCAACTGTCGTCGTCTTTCTCGTTCATGCAGCAAGGCTATGGCGGCTGTTCTGTATCAATATGACAGCACTGTGTATCCATAGATATTGTCATGTTGTGGTAACAACACAGAATTAAACGCTTTCAAAAGCACGAGTAAAAGATTGAACTCAACATTGGCCAAACTCTTGTCTGAAAGACAAACAAGACTTCTAAATAACAGCAGTGAGTGCGGACATCAGTCATAAAATCTGAACACACGGGTAAGGTATTCTTGCTATTTGCATAAAATGTGTCACAACACAATTCAAAGTAATTGCTAATGCTTTAACACAGCTGAGAATATGTGACAGTATTCACACCACATTTACAATCTCATCTGATAGTACTCTTTTGCTCTAGAATAGGAAGCGATAACATATTTCGCCAAGCACCAACTTGACGATAAAGACTGAAGAATGGTTGCCAGAATAAAGCAAAACAAGTGACAATACGCATACCTAAGACATCCAGGGTGCAGGTGCTGAATGCTTCCCCAACGTCATTGAAAGCTTCACAGGTGTAGGTGCCACTGTCTTCTGGGTACACTTCGGCAATCACAAGTTTGTAAACATCACCCTCTGTCACATATTGGAAGTCTTTGCTAGACTTAATCTCCTTTTCATTGTGCAGCCACACAACATCAAACTTGTTCGAACCTGCAATAACATTTTTGTTTATTAACTCAAACTTGTCTCTACACATTGACAATGTGAAACGTTTGAAATATTCCTTTAGCATTGCAATGAACTGCCTCCCTAGCAGTGGCTATCCCAGTTTGCAAAAAAATGAAGCCTCCTGGTTACTAGCCAAATCAAAAGTAATTTGGGAACTTGTTTGCATTGAGTTCCAGTGAGTAAAATATGGTGTGAGCAGGTCGTTTACCAAAAATCGTTAGAATTTTTTAACATGCTGCCTCATCAGGAAAGCTTTTGCTGCCTCCCGACTATGTTGTTTTTTGTAAGAATTGGCAGCAGAAACAAATTTTGCTGAAAGGCAGAGAAAGTACACATGCCCATTAAAGAACCAAGGAAGAAGAAGCCATGTACAGTGAATTCCTTTGACAATATGTGCATGCTTATTGATTGCTTTGTTCTTACCTCTAATTGTACATTGTAGCGTCACTGCATCACCATCCTTCACAACATGGCTCTTAAGGTGCTCAGCAAAGATGGGTGACTTGCCATCGAAGCCTTTTGATTCTACCTCCTCTTTCTCCATGGCTATTGCAGGAAAAAAAAAGAAAGAAAGGAAGAGAAGTGAGCAATGGTAGCTAGTCAGCTCATGTTTAAAAAGTGTCAACAAAGTAAATCTAATTTGAAAGCTCTTGCATATTTAGGAACACTACTGCCTTTCGCATCAACTTTCATTAAAGATGACATTTATACTGAAGTGTAGAGTAAATTTAAGGTTCAAAGTGAATAGCAATTTAGTTCAAATTTCAAATCGATTTGAATAGTATATAATAAAAATAATAAAAATTGAGCATATTTTTCACGGCCAATTAACCTGTGCAACACTATATATATATTTTTAAGCAGAGCATGTGTTAATGTCATTCTTTTTGATTCAAAGAAAGTGGAAGCAACTTTGAATAATAGCAGGGTTTCCCTTTTTCTAGAATGCTAGCGATAACTTGTAAAATACGCTATGTTTCAAAATTTACTATACTTAGAGCATATAAGCTGATACAAGAAGTGTAGTGGAGCTTTTAAACATTTAAAAAATGACGAATCGATATGAGAGTAATACGTTTAACTTTGAAGTGTGGCTTCACGGCAGTGCTAATTTCCCCTGGAAAAGTGTCATCACAGTTAAAATATATTCACTACAGTGAAACCACCTTTACAAAGATTTTTACATACACTTATTTGTCAATTATAAAATTTTCGAAATTTCCAACAATTTAAATTCGAGCCAAAGGGAATTTGGATACATTAATATTCGTTCAAATATTCGAAGTGCTCGAATGTTCGTACAAGGCTAATGACACTGCCAGTGCAAATGCTCGTAAAGACTAGACAAGTGGCTTGGTGCATGCGATATGAGAGTTAGTCGCAGCGAGAAGCTCTTGAGGACCAAATTTCTTCTAGTGAGCTGAATGCATTTCGATTTGTAATATAGATGTGCAAAGCATCATTAGTTGTGCTTTCTTACACTCGCATGGCGCATCAATTTGTGCTGCTTATACGAGGTTACTTACGCAGTACGGTGAGCTTGCTGCGTGTTTCCGCCTTGCCTTCGGCATTGGTTGCTACGCAGACGTACTCTCCTTCATCCTCGGGGTAAACTTCACCAATGGAAAGACTGGCTTCACGATTTTTGTACTTCAGGCTGATGATGTCCGAGGATTTTAGAGACTGCACACGTGACAAAGAAAGATTAATCAAAACGAGCATAATGTGTACTTTATCATTATCAGACTGTTTAAGCTGATTTTTTTTATACGACAAATGTTTAATATCGCAACTGCAACATGAATAAAGCTAGGCTTTAGTAGTTCTTAGTTTGTGAATGAAAAATAAATAAAGTATAGCTGTAGCTATTGGTAAGACACCTATAATGCTGCTCTAATTGAAAAGTGGACATATAGTGACCATGGTTACAGGGTCACAGCTATTGTACAATCAAGATTAGAATGAGAACTCAGAAAGCTACGGTTTAGGAATGGAAAAGTAATGAAGATAACAGAACATAATCAACCTCGGTTCTGTAGAAAGCAGAAGATCAGTGGTGCATAGACATTACTGCCAGTTATGCTCAATGCCCTGACTTCCGACATGACACAATGACCCAACAAGCTAGCGGCTTGACTCATATAACATGATACAGAAGTGTTAAGGAATTCAAACCTCGCCATTCTTGAACCACTCCACGGATGGCTCAGGGTCGCCGTCCACAACGGCTTTGAGCAGGAGGGGTTCACCATCCTTAATGCTCATGTCTTGAAGACCAACCTTGAAAGATGGTGCTACCATTGGCAGGGCTTCATCAGGAACTGTGAAAGAATGAAATGGCTTAGAAACTGATTTTCGCAAGCAGGTGCATGTCCAATATAAGTGTAGTTTTTTCTTTATTAGAAATAACACTGCCCTTTCTTTATGTTCTTAACCAGACCTTAGTACAAAACAGTAAATATATTTTTAAATAGAGGTTACTAACAGACGCGGTATATACACTTATACCATGTCCATATAGCAGATGTGGAAAGATAAGATGACTACTATCGGTACACCAAGAGTAAAGCAAAATATTTTCAACAGGCACTGTTACAATGTACCAGTCTTCTAACAGCTTCCAATTCAATTAACATGACCTTAGTTAGACAGATCAAGTCAGCCCCTAATGAAAAAATGTGTCAACAATACGTTGATTTAGGTGAGTTGCTTAATCTTTGAAGGGTACACAGACAGTGCAAACAAGGAGGATAAAAGAAACACGTATGACAGAATTGGTGCTGATCCTGTTTTATGTATTTTTTGTTCTTGTCGTTTATGTTGTATATGTACTTTGATAAAATGTTTCTGGGGGCACATAGTGAGGATGTAGAGAGATATTACACTGTTTACGAAGAGTAGCAAAAAAATTGCAATGTAGTGAAGGGTTCAGCCATATCTCAAAGTTCTTTGATGCAGAAGCAGATGTGGCGTGAAGTTCTGCATGGTAATTTTTTAACACAAGCCATCACTTTTCTCAACACATTTGCGGCTGTAAAGTTATGAATTCATCACTTTCAGAGGTATGAATTTCAGTGCTCACTGATTAGATGAGCTAACAAAGAAACACGTAAAGAAAGAAGAGAGGTATGCAATGGAACTTCACGTTAACTGAATTCTTATAAATAAGTGGTTTGTATAACGAGAGCAATTTTAGCCTTTAATGGTAAGCCTCCCATCAACACTATTTTTATATTGCGTAGCTCTGCAGTGCACTAAAAGAAATGCCCATCACCATGGAATGTAATACCAGGAAAATGTGAAGGGATCTCTGAGAGTGATCAATCTAGAATACATATTTAGTTAAAACAGGTGCATAATGATACTTACGTTTAAGCTCCTGTGTCGTAGTCCGAGAACGAGATGGGCTAGTGCCTTCTGCTCCTTCCTTCTTACCATAAGGCTTCTGAACACGCTTGGTGGCTCCAGTGTCTGGCGGAGGTGACAGCTTGGCAGCCGCAGAACTTAGCGTACTCGCAACACGGTCCTTTGCAGAGTCTCGCCTAGACAAAGATGACACATCCGAAGCTTTGTAGTCAGTTGTCTTCTTGTCCACCGACTTGTAATCAGATGACTTGTAATCAGACTTATAGTCGGATTTCGACTTGTAGTCTGACTTGTAGTCTGATGTGGACCTATAATCCGACGAGGACTTGTAGTCGGTTGAGACTTTGGAGGAAGACCTGTAGTCTGACTTGTAGTCAGATTTGGACTTGTAGTCAGACTTATAGTCAGACTTATAGTCCGATTTATAGTCAGATTTGTACAAACTGCTTGACTTGTAGTCTGAGCTAGCCAGGTGCTTGCTCGCAGACGAGTAGTCCCTGGCAGAATAAGATGACGAGACATCGCTGACCCTTGAGCTCTTCACAGATCGGGTATCTGCGAATTTGGAGGAGTGGCGCAAATAGTCGCTCTTGGAGTGCAGTCCTAGATCAGAGGCTCGTGCATACGAGGACAAAGAGGAGTCGTAGCCAGAGTAAGCGGGTTTGGCAGAGTAAGGGGTTGGCGAGGCAGGAGAGGCTCCTGTGTGATGTTGTATCACGGTCGGGGAATGGCCTTCAGGTAGTCTGCGGCGGTCTGCAGTGGAAATGGGCGGAGAGAGAGAGTGATCTGATGTCAGAGTCGTGCATGTCCGCGCATGTCGCCTTCATGTCCCAACTGATGAGAGGGCTTCAGTGCTTGGGCAAATGCTCCGTCAAAGGCAAACCAGGAAGCAGGATGAGCGGCTGCACTAGTGTACTCCTAATGTGCTGTGCTGCTGCGCCCAATAGTTTTTCGAATAAGTGTGATATGGGCCAGGCCTTATCGTGCCAGAGAGAAGCACTTGCTTGCATTTCTGTGCCTTTTGATCTGAACTTTGAGAAGATTTGTTGGTGTTTTTTACAACCTAATGTGAAATGCCTAACCTACAACTAAAAAAGAATAAGAGAGGCACTGCTTGACAGAGATGTCTAAATATAGTGTATTAAACTGGGCTATCTGGTGCATACTAGCGAAATTCAGTAACATTGCAAGGAACGGGACAAACAGTGCTTCATCTATCACAATCTGTCAGTCTTGCTCCTTGCGCTGTTGCCTGAATTATTCTGGCACACATATATTCACGATAAATACTGCTTACTTGAAATGAAACAAATTCAAAGCTACGAGCAGTGAAAATAATGTCGCATCATACCAATGCCTGTCGGTCTACCAAAAAGAAATTTTCAAAAGCACTTCTGCCCTCAGTCTTCAGAAGATGAGAATGCAAGTACAATGACAAATGACAGCAGAAATTATAGCCTAGGCGTGATTGTGGTCTTCATGCGAACTAATCAGCACATTAGAAGTATAACTTAGTGCACAACAGAGGCCAGGTATCTGGCAGCAAAAACACATCAACACTTGAAGCAAAAGAACTGATGTCCTGATTCCTGGTTTGTACTGGTTCCGACTTGTAGTTTATGCAGTTGTAGCTATGACTGCACTGAAGGTGTATTTATGTTAAAGGTTTAGTTAATCCATGTTGTTGTTCTATTCATTTTGTAAATTCCTAAAATTTAGCAGACATGTTCATGAAATATTGTGCTGTGGTATCTTGTCATAAAGTATGCTTATTTAATAACCTTTGCAACATGCATTCATGCAGCCAAAAAATTTTTTTAAGACCATATACTCGGGGAGAAAATTAAAAGTATATGGTGCTTTACCTGAGCGGTTTAGAGTTGTAAACTCAATATATATTGAGACAGTATTCTAAATTTTGACACAGTTTTAAAAAAAGAATGCATAAGCAGTCACTTTTGTGGCGAATGTCCCCAGACCAAAGAGCTCATGGCCAGACTATAGACTAAGTCCTGTAGGAGCAATGTGGTTGTCTATAGACTAAGTCATGTAGGAGCAATGTGGTTGTCAGCTGGGGTGACTTGATAGCACAGGAATGCTCAGGCTTCTATAAACCTCTACAAGCAGAGAGCAGGTCCGCAGCAATCAGCATATAGCTGTCATGCAGCTTCATGTTGAGTCTGACCTCAAGCAATATGGCCTGGGGACGATTGCAACAAGTAGTTCGACAATTTATTTCAAGCTTATCAGAAACTTCAAATTGAATAAAAGAATATGTTCTTAGTACGTTAGAGGATTATATGCCATGCCAGGCATAATGCGATTTCTGGGACAAGGATAATGCAATGACCACAGGACTTAGTAAAAGGTTGACAGTGTTGTTAATCCAACACATGCACTTCACAGTCTCAATGGTGCTGAGGAACTGTAATCACAGAGACATTATAAACAATGCATTCAAAAAAGAAAAAAAAAAATTGCACAAGTATTTACCAACACGAGAACACGACAAACATTAACAATGTCCAGGACGTGTGAAGGGACACCAAAGAGAAACATAGACTTATTTAGATTGACAGACTGCACACTAAAAACTGTGATGCCATATGTTTCACTATCATAAGTTCATTATTATCGGAGAAAAACAAATCGAAGTTTAGGTTTTAAATTTCACGCTGAAATCTGCACACATGACATGAAAAACTTCAAAACATATATGTCACATTTTCAATACATTCACTCGATCAAATTTCCTAAAAGGTTGTATCCTAAGTTTGTGGCATACACAGGTGACAATGCACTTCATTTTTATCAATTAGAAGCTACGTAGGACCCTGTAGACACCTTGAAAATTTATGATGTCATGGCGTTTAGTGCTGAAACCTTAAGGTGGTGTCTCCACCCCCATTTTCTTTTCGAGCGTTTCCTCGCTTACGAAGCGTTGGTCACGGTAGGAGTGGTGTTTCCAGGGTTGTGAAATTGTACTTTATTATGTAATGAATATGCAGAAAATCACTGTGCTCTTTAGTGTCCCTTTAATTTGAGCAGATAGTTTTCTCTGCTGGGTTGTAATTGGCACACAGAGTTCACTAAAGCTGTACATTAAAACAATTGTGAGACACGTCAGCACAGGAACACTAAACACATAAGAGCAAAACAATCTGTATTATAACAACACACAGACTTTGCAGAAATTAGGACAGACTAGTCACTCAGCTTGGTTCCCAGCCTGCTTTCAGGAAGTAACGGCGGTTTCAAAATACAACTGGAACCGTAACTTGCGTATGAAATGATGACCATTTTTTTGAGCCAACATAGAATCTGGAAATCAGTTTTCATTTTGGTGGCTGCACTTGATACGTAAGTTACGCCTGTAGTATGAACATACAGTGAGTCACAACATCAATGCATGCAGGGAACAAAAAAAATCATTCAGTGCTCTATTGTTGCACTGCAGCTCAAACCTATCACGAATGGTGTCCTGGACCAGTACTGACCTTCAACGATGAGGAAGCAGCTTGTTTCATCCTCTCCAAGAGCATTTTTGGCCTTGCAGACATATTTGCCGGCATCTTCTTTCTTGCAAGTCAAAATCTCCAGCGTCACTACGCCATCCGCATGGGACATGTTGTAGTCAAACTTGCTGAGCTCTTTGCCGTCCTTGTACCATTTGATCTGCAGTTTAGAAAAAAGTGTGAAGCTCTGCTTTTGGTGCTTCTCTAGACACAGTTTCTGAGTTTGTTCTCATGCAAGAGTCAGTAGGATGCACGTGCGCTGCATCAGACAGATATTTATGAACAAATATTTTTTTTTTACTAAAGCCCTGACCTCTGGATGTGGCTTTCCAGACAAGCAGCAGAGAAGCTTGACGCCAATGTTGGTCTGGATGACACGAGGCCGGAGATGGAATGTGAAGCAAGGAGCGCTGTCGGCGGGCTCCTCCCACAAATCGTACTTCAGAGGCTCTCTGCGCCTCCTGCATTCACACAATGTGAGAACATCAGTGCTTAAACTATAAGAAAAACTTGGGGGAATCGGTGGTGATCAATCGATGACAAGCTAGAGCGCTAATCATACAAAGACAGAGAAACGGTCTGTCCCCGTTCATTGCCCTCTCCTCCTTCAGCGCAGTAGCTTTTCAACGATGCATCAGTACTCAAATTTAATAATAGCAAACCTTAGATTGGTTGGTGGCTAGATTGCTTTTAAAAACTGACTCAGTCCTAACGAAAAGTATAACCCCCGTATTCACAAACGCTCCTCGACTCGACTTTCAGCCTTCACTTCACAGAGTTGAGCACTGTGCCACCGCTCAGCTGAAGATGACGCTGCGCTACTCAAGAATCGCAGCAGATTATCGGTGGTATGCAGTGACTTGCCGTGCCTAGAGACGGCGCTCCTATCGGCTTTCTCAAGTGAAGGTGAAGCGTTGAGTGAAGGGACGTTCTAGAATACGGGGTAAGTGTCCGTATATCCCGAAACTTCCTCTGACACAGCTATGAACACCAGCGCTTGCTGTTCATAGAATGTACTTTCTCATCAAGTTCACCCAGTGGTTCAAAACCCCTTTAAAATATTGAGTGCATACAGAAATACAGGCTTCTTGACTGCAGCGAACTCAGATATTAGCTGTAATTTCATTCAGGTAATGAACAAAAGATTTCTGAGAAAAAAAAGATGACAAAGCAGGAAATCAAGATATCTCACCTGACAGGCTCCTCTAGCCGGACTTCTGGAATCGTGATTGGCATAGCTGCGGAGCATATTAATAAAAAAGTAAATAAAGAATGACAGCATTAGCAATACATCAATTGAAACTACAAGCAAACTTGGACACAACAAATGCATCAATTATAGCATAAATAACTGGGTTAAGGTCATAGACACCTGCAGGGTTCTCCCTCAAGGGGGAGCTAAGTTTTCTTACACAATCCGTTCCACTCTCTCATCAGTCGAGTCCAAAAGAAAACTTGCATTTTGAATAATTATGGAAACATTTCGCACCCTTCTTAAATGATCAAGGGGGGTGGCCGTGCTACCCTACTGCCCCCTGTGCACACACCTATAGTTAAGGTAATCACACTCAGTTATAATTTTTAGTAAGTCGGGTATGCAGTGTTTAATATGTCACTTACTGGCTTATTAAATAGTCTACATTCAAGTAATTTAGCTACATATAGCATCTGAAATGTTTTTGTATAGCACTGAAAAGTGCATCATACTCTGATCCACATGCCTGGAAAGTAAATAAAGCCAAAGGAGCGATAGCTTGTCTATTACCTTGAACATTCAGGAAGACAGGCTCCTCTCTGTAGCCGTAACTGTTTTCTGCACGAATGATGTACTCGCCACGATCGTCAAGACGACACCGGTTCAGAATGAAGTAGTAGTCGTCGCCCTCGTAGCGCTTCATGTGCTTTACGCTCTGCCGAAGTTCGCAGCTGTCACGATACCTGTGACATAACAAATACATATGTGAAGGCCACCTTCTAGCACAAAGGAGCCTACTCGCAAATTAAGGGCTTGCTGAGCTCCATAGACAGTTAAAAATCTAAGCCTCGTTCAACTGTTGCGATGAAGCAGCGTAGCTACACTATATCTCAAGTTTACCATTTCACACATTCCATAAATTTGTCATTTTTGTAGTCACGTTCACATTGTCCACTTAGACAGATATAGAGTGCTAGAACATTTGAGACTACACTTCAGCATTACTTCATAAGAATGCTTTTCAACACTTATAAACAAGTCATAATTTCAGCCAAGCACCTTCTGCTTATCAAGTAGCACAGATGACATTCTGCACAATAAGTAATGCATTAAAACCTGCAATGTTTTGAAGCACAATAAATCTGTAAGCAAGGAGGAATGGGTGTGACAACATCGGAACTAAAGAATGACCATCATGTTCATTTGGGAGAAATAATTATTAATTAATCGCTGGAGTTTTACAAGCAATGACATGACTTTGTCACACACTGTTGTGGAAGACTGGATTCATTTCAACCATCTGGGGCTCTTTCAAATTCACATAAATTCAAGCAGACAGGAGCTCATTGGATTCAGCCCCCACTGAAGTGCAGCCACCGAGGCTACAAATTGACCTTGCTCCTTCATGTGTGAGAGAATAATGAACACAAAATAAATAACAATGACGGACATAATTTCTCACCATGTGATGGTGGCAGGTGCAGCAGCAATAACCCTGCAGTAAAATTTGGCGCTTTGTCCTTCAAAGGCAAATGCACTTGTTGGTTTGATGACAAAGCGCGGTGCCGCTTGTCGTCGATCTGAAAGCACAGGAAACAAAGCAACATTTATGATTATTCCCAAGTGCATTCACAGTGCAAGACAACTTTTTGGAAATGGACACATTTAGGAGTAGTAGGCATATAGGTAGATGAACAGTATGCTCATCAACTTCTTCAGAAAGTTGCTGCTTAAGACATCAGCTATAAAATATAGAGCATCTAATTAAGTTATTAGGCAAATGTGCAGAGAATGAAAGAGCTGAAGAAACGTTGCCTGCAGGCATTAGCTAGCTAGGTGTCATCAGTGCTTTCTTTCACTCTCTGCTCTGGTTTGTTAAAAAAAACAAAGATGGTTAATGAGGAACAAACACTGACCAAAGTAGAAGTCATGGATGTTGTACTTCTTGTCGTGGAGTTTTCGTAATGAGCTGTAGTTTGCAATATGACCAATGGGAACTGTGCATGAGTCCCAGTAGTGGCCCTGAAGAGTAGAAAAAAGGGGAAGATTACATAAGGGTTGAAATGATGAATCACCCAATTCAATTCTTGTTGATATACAGGGTGAAAATTGCACACTTACGTATTTGGCCCTGATGTGATCCCGGAACTTGATGTACCGGCTGTTGGGTATTGGAATGGTTGCCGACTCCTTGATATCACCCTGATAAAGAAGAATGAATTTTAGTAAAGCATGAGAGCAACATGGCTCAGACTTGAATCAATATTGGCATTCTCTTCAGCGAAACAACATACTTGACACATACCTTGAGCCAATTGTGCTCCAGACATTCATGCGCTGTCATACGCTTACTGCGGAAGAAAACATCAGATGTGAGGCATGCCAGCAATAAAAAAAAGGAAACAAACAAAACACAATTTATGAAAAATTAATGTGTTCCAAAGGCAAAAAAAAAAAAACAAAGCACATACTCCTTGTTTCTTGTGAGCAGACGGCGAATGAAGTCCTTGCCTTCTTCAGAAACATTTGCAAAAGCCTCGTCGTCAAAGTCCCAGTCACAGGCCTTGACATTTTTCAGTGTTTCAACGTCATTCTCACCAGCAAACGGCGACAGACCACTCAATCTGCAAAATGAAAGTAGGACACGCTTCAGTCATAATCAGGTCGAATAAATGAATAAAAAAAATGTGTTCACGGAGAGGGTGGTGCTCACAGGACGTATGCCAGCACGCCAACCGCCCACATGTCCGTGTAGAAGCCAACTGGCTCGCGGTCAACGATCTCGGGAGCCGCAAACTCGGCAGTTCCAGTTGATATTTTGACGACCTCATTTGGATCAAGCTTGGTAGCCAGTCCAAAGTCGATGAGCTTGACATTCGTGCTCTTCCTAGTCTGGCACATAATATTTTCGGGCTGGCGAAAATAGTAAAAAAAAAAGGAAACGGTGAGGAACAGGTGTGATTATATGACCGAAGAACAAAGCAATAGGATTGCACGAATAGTGAATTTTATGTTAAAAACAATTGAATAGTGATTTGGTTCGAATAACATTGAATCTAATTGGAATATACTCAAACCTCGATATAAAGAACCCGGATATAACGAAATATTGTTGTAACAAAGTAAATAAAAATAGTCTTGCAATAAATATAGTGTTAGGAATATACCATTGTAATATTTTTTGGGATAAAACGAACTTCTTTTTGTGTAAGGTGCAACTTTGTTATAATGATGTATGAGTGTAATACATGTCACATATGATAAAAAAGGCATATTTATCATTAGCCACCAAATCTGCAAGATAAGCTTTAAAAATTGAAAAAGGCCTGCGCTAATGCCATTCTTTTTGGCCCAAACGAAGAGGACTTTGAATAGTAGAAGGATTTTACTTTCAGTAGAATGCTAGTGATAACCTGTAAAATACATTACGTTGTAAAATTCATTTCACTTGGAGCATAAAAGCTGGTATAACAAGCTTTTAAACTGATGTAATGGGCATGATGAATAAATGTGAGGGTAATGTTCATTTAACCTTAAAATGAAGCTTTGCGGCAGTGCAAAATTTTCCTGTATAAATGTTTTCATGGCTAGCAAACCTTTACTGCAGTAAAACAACCTCTAAAGGGGTCACACGCTGACTACCTAATAGACTAATATACATGTATTCGTTCATTTCAAATACTTTGAAATTTTCTATAGCTAAAATTCGAATCGAAGCAAATTTGAATATTGTACTATTTGTTGAAATATTTGAAGGATTGAAATATTCGCATAAGCCTACAAAAAGGACTTCATTCTTAAATGCATGCACAGTACCTTGAGGTCAAGGTGAATAATGTTCTTTTCATGCATGTGCTTGACACCCTCGCAGATCTGGCGCATGTAGTTTATCACTTCAGCCTCGGACATCTTGTAGTCCTCATCTGTGATGCGTTCAAACAGCTCTCCACCAGACATGCTGAAGTTTTTGGGATGCAGAGGAGATGAAAGATGAGAATTGTAACATCATGTCAGAATTAAGATGCCACAAAAAATGATGCACCATGATCAATGCCAGTCATAAATGGTTGTGCATATTTTATTCTATGTTTTTGGGATTTATTTTTCTTGAAATTCGAAGGGTGTTTTCAGGAGTTTATTTTTAGGCAGAAATTCTGTGTCTCACAGGGTTTGTTTTTCAAAGTTTGCCAATCCAAATTCAAAGTTTAATTTTACATTATTCTCAATGCTCCATTATCTTAAATGAAATGATATCTGATCACGAAAACATCAAACCTCACAAATTGCACTTTAGTAGTCTTGAAGGGTTGAAAACATAAACAAATATAGACACTTGAATGAAACACTTATGTTTGTGCACATTACAACCTTGAAGCTTGTTGTGATAGATGCACACATATTTTATGAGGTCCGCATTTTAGACGTCACCTGGTACGCCCAGTGCCACTAGGAGACTGTATATCAAGATGTCGCCTCACGTTTATATTGGCCAAACCGGCCAATGTATCAATCACCACTTAGAACATGCCTTTTCAATTAAAGGATGGAACAAGTTCATCTTGGCCAATAAAATCAGAGTTTATTGAATAAATCTTAATTGTCAAAACTTTTACGGGCAAGTGTTTCTTCGGATTTTTTAAGATTTATCCGAAAACACCGAACCCAGCTGTAAGTCACGTTTACACATTCGTCACAGAAACACATGCACACCAGCCATTCCAAATCCAGGCTTGGGAGGCTACCAAATACATCTCTACAATAACATATAAACAATAGTATGATATCAGTGCACAATCAGTCGAGCAGGACCAGTATTTGCCAAAAGTGTCTAAGCCACGGCACATATAACTATGCCAGCTGGGTATCATACTTGGCCACTGTAAAAATTTCACTCCCTACAAGTAATGCACAAGAAACTTGCAGTACTCCTCAATACCGTTGGCTCTGAAGCGACAGACATTCTTCATGAGCATTACAGCAGCTTCGAATAACAGATTTTTTTTTTACCTAAATATTTGAAAGACTTATGAAAGGCCATATGAACTGATTACACATCAATGTGTCAACCATGGTACTATAAACATTTTGAGATTCTTGCACTAAATTTTAGCAGCAGCCTGTTATCTTGTAGGTAGAAAGCCTGTCCACGGGCAGCATTGGTGACCTTTCTGGGTAGACTACCAAGGCTTATCAGCTATAAGTAATGCTCTAGAAGCAGTCATGTTGTGATCAGTTGCACAATAGACCATGTGAGTTGTGTCTAGCAACACTGATATGAAAAATGAACATGACATACTTCCTGCAATACTGCTTAGTGAAGCGCAAGTTTCAGCAAATTGCGAATGGTACCAACATCGATAATAAAAACTGCAAAAAGAAATCACATGTCCGTGGGACTTACAATTCATAGATGAGCACCATTTCGTCGTCATCTTCAAAAGCATCATGAAGGCGGATGAGTTTGGGGTGATGCAGCTGGTTCATAATGTCTATCTCCTTGCGGATAATGGACTTCTCCAAAGGATGAGAAACGGGAATGAACTTGGCCGCAAAAATGTGGCCAGTCTTCTTCTCGCGGCAGCGATGCACAACACCAAAGGCACCCCTGGAGAGGAAAGGCAGAAACAGAGAAACTGACATAACAATTTTTTACTTATAACAAAGTAAATGAGGTGTCGTGCTATAGATACAGTATCATAAATATACATTTATAACAAATTTCATGATATAACAAAGCCATTTCTGTGTCGGATGTGACTTCATTTCATCGTATAAACACTGCATCTTATTCATCTAGAGCTTTTAAAGACATTGTTCATTATATTGCAAGGTCAAAATAAGCTGAATGAATGCTGTGAAAACACAAGTCATTCAAGATAAATGCCTCTGTGTATGTATTGATTTGTGAAAATTGTACCACAACATGGACCTTGCAAGCCGTGTTTTGCATAGATCCGTTATTTTTGTATGCATAAGCACAATAAGAGAGCATTAAGTTTCTGTGAACTGCAAGAATCCATAGAAATCGGCAATTAAAAATTGTCAACACTAAATAAGGGCTGTCTTAACAAGTGAAATATGACACAGCTCAAGTATAATTAGAAAAGAGTTATCAGCTGCTGGAGACATCTTGTCACGCAATGCTAAGCTAGGTTGTTTTTAGACGTTTTTTTTCATAAACGACACTAGGTCAGGCCCATAAACAGGGTCTTCCATGAGAAAAGTATTGAAACATGGTTGACGTACGTTCCGATCTCTTCGAGGATGTCGTAGTAGTCATACACGCTGGAAGTTTTGATGTCGATTGGTTGCGGAATGTACTTGTCAAAGTCATGCACTGCATCAGTAAAAAAAGAAAAAAAAATGAAAATCAATGAATCAGCTTTCCAGGTACAATGAGCAGAGCAATAAGTGCAACGACTGACTAAATCTGCCTAGTTGGGGCCCTTATTAAGCAGGTAGTGCGATGTGATAACTTACCAAATTGGTCATAGTTTGTAATTTTGCCCTCAGATTTTCCTCTGATCTTCTTTCCATGTTCGTCAACTGAAATAAATGACAAAGGCTAACGTCAAGTACAGTAAAGTGACCGTATTCCTTAGAGGCCGCTGAAAAAACAATCTTCAAGTCTATGAAGAAACAATTGGATATGTAAACATACCCATGTAGTCTTTCTTCTTTTCCTTCCTTGAAGCTGCAATGAAAATAAGCGTACAGCTTGCATTAAATCGTTACCAGAAATGAAAATCTTTACTATAGCAAAAATAAAAAAAAATAGTGTGATTAGCTTCGCAAGACTGGATCCTTACGCTTGGTCATGATGGGAGCTGTGGGTTCACAAGGCTCACTCCTTCCAAAGACGTTTTCAGCATACACGCGGAACTGGTATTCTTTGGACGGGTTCAAGCCATTGATCTGGTGAGTTGTGAACCTAGAAAGCAGGTACAGTACACCAAAAATTACCAGGGCACCTGTAGCTTGTTTGTAGTACTAATACAAAATGAATAGAATGTTTGTCACAGCAAGTGCAATAAGGTAAAAACAACGGACCAGTTAGATTGATTTTCTAGCTTGCACACAACTGGTAACCAGTACGAATGAAGTAACTATTTCATAAGACAGGTGCACGTTATCACCTAAGATATTGGCACTGCAGATAATGGGGCATGCGATAAGATGCAATGCCACTCTATGGCACTTGAAAAAGAAACACAAAAGAAGGATCAAGTAAAAATTGGTCATTTATATTCGGCATACATCACTCATTCCAGTAAAAACGTTAACGAACTCAAAGCATCAGCGTATTGTCAGATCAGAATGTTTTGTGGACGCTTTCGAGTCAAAGGTATACAAATAATGATTTATGAAACCGAAAGGGCTATGAATTAAGCAAAATGATGGTCCAAGAAAAGGGTTACGAATCAATTAATCATGACGCTGCTTTGAATACAAATCATGTAGCAACTGTATGAAGTTGAATACAAGTAATTCAGTTTACGAATGATTTTTGAGTGTAACTGCAAAACTTTGGCTAATTGATTCAGACTCAAGCAGGGCTATAATAACCCAACCATTTCAAACCTAGTCTTCAATTTCTATCACGTCACTACGCATTACTTGAAAACACTTCAAAGAAATGTTCAAATTTAGGCAGTCACTTAATTTGACAACCCGATCATGTGGTACTATCTGATCTAAAATTTTAAATAAAGAGTAGATAATCCTAATTGATACTCATTTTCAACTAGAGGCCAGAGGTTACTTTGCATAGTATGAGGTGCCACATACCTCGTGTTTCCACAGCGCACCCACGTGGTGAGTGGGCTTTCTCGTTTCTCAATCATGTAGTTCGTGACGTGGCTTCCACCATCCCACAACGGTGGTTTCCATGACAGCAGGCAGTTGTCATCATTGATGTTCTCAACCACTGGGTGTCTGGGTGGGTCAGGTTTGTCTGTTTGGGTGCAAAAAAGTTTTTGTCTATTTAATGAACAGGGCACGAAGAAGGAGAGTCGCAGAATGGCGCAAGCAGAGCAACGCAGGATGTACCACTGGCAGCAACGGGTCTGGGAGGCATCTTGGAAAAGCTATAGCGCCCACAAACAGGGACAAAAGAACGAACAAGCTTCTCAGGAAGTGGTCGGTGATTTTCACGAATGTACCAAATCGATCGTGATCAAGAGAATCGTGCCAGCAGTCCTTCCGTCACACTCTCAAAGAAGGGCATCGATTACTTGAACAACGATAGGCAAAGGGCAAAATGCGAAATGACGAGTGTCATACTCTTAGTTTATTTTTTGTTGGTGCTTGGCTTTGAGAGTGTTGTCATTGACTCGTTCAGCGTGTGTGCATTTCTATTCTTGAACAATAAACCATCCTTTTTAGTTTATTGATGTGTTTTTTTTTTCTTTGTCTCAGTCTGTGTGTGCTGAAAGGTTTCTGAAATGCAACATCGATCAGCTCACCAAACGAGCCTCGTGATTCAGGCAAACATTCATGTTCCCAAATGCCGAATGCAGTCGAACATTGAATGCAGAGCTTACCACTGATCTGGACCTTGATGATAGCCGAGTCCATGCCAAGCTCATTCTCCGCAACCAGGCGGTACGGTCCGCTGTCGGTCTTGTTGACATCGCGGATGGTGAGGATGGCGTGCCGCTCGCCAGTTTGGATGTCGAAGTGAACGCCGCTCTCGATCTCCTCGCCTTCCTTGAACCACTTGATGCGCGGCTTCGGGAAGCCCGTGAAGGGAATCTTGAGCACCACATTCTCGCCCTTCTCGAAGCAGGCCAGTTCGCGGAAACGAGGTGGCACGTTGATGTGTGGTGCCGCTGCGCATGGAAGTGTGAATGCACAATCACTAAAGTAAAGCTCTGAGGAATAACACGAAACAAGGTTCATTGACACAATAAATAGTTTGCAAGCTGGAAATAACACATGTGCAGGCTACTGTGTGGTTACAAAGAGTACTTCATTATGCTGCAACCAGATTTATAATTCTTAAGTGCTTTTCCTTTGCGAAATTGATTAATTCTTTCATATATTTATCTCTAAATAATTGATGCACATGCACCGTCACCTCGTACTATGCAAGGAAAGTGATGGATATCAGTGAACAAAAACCCTGGTTATTTCTATTGCGAAAAAAATCAGCCACCACTTCGTGTTTCCCTACCATCGTAAAAATTAACAAATCTGAGTGCTAAACCAGAGTGCATCAAAAGATGGGACTTACTCTTGATGAGCAGCTCTGCCCGAGTAGAACGGGTACCGCCCTTGTTGACAGCACGGCAGGTGTACTCGTCGGCGTCCTCCCCAAAGATGTCTGATATGATGAGGGTACACAGTTCACCTTCGCGCGTGATGCTGTACTTGAGACTCTCGTGCAGCTCGCGTGTGCCCTTGTACCACGTTATTTCGGGGGTCGGGTTTCCTGTCACCTTGCACTGGAACTGGGCGCTCTTGTTCTCAATGCCCATGGCAGTCTTGAGAGGCATGATGAACTCAGGTGGTGTTGCGGCTGTACGTGAGGAGATGGCATCACAAGGTCACACTCACATCAATGCTTTAATGCTACTGTCACCACTGGTGACCCAAATGCATTTGCTGCAGCGTATAGGCAGTGGATGTAGCGATAGTGAAGATCGGTGAACAAAAATTAAGATGATGCATTACGATATATCACTTGGTTATCATATAAAATGAGAAAAGGATATCTAGAAGCATTGAGCTATGCAATCTGCCCAATAAGTGCTTCCAGCCATTAAGTGGTTAAATAACACATCTATACTTGACCTAATTCCCATGTGATCTTATGCAACATTTACCACACAATGGTGCTTTGCAAGTCTACATATAGGTCTAGGAGTGCTTTGGTTTGGGCAAGTTCCTCTGACATCTGCAAAGTTGAACATTAAACTGAACAGGTCAGAACTGGTCCTCTGTGGGCATGTCTTCTTGTGCCTCTGTCTTTCGTGATGTTCAGCTCGACAGATCGGGTCACTCACCTTGTGGGTCCTTGATCTTGACTTGCTGGGAGTTCGAAGACGGTGGACTCTGGCCGGCCTCGTTGACGGCAAACACGCGGAACTCGTATTGACGATCTTCAATGAGGTTGGGGATATTGATTTGCGTCGGCAGGCACAGGTGCGCGGGGTTGACCCGCTGCCAGGCTTGAGTGCCGACTTCACGCTTGTCCACCCAGTAGCCGAGGATGCGCGAGCCACCATCTGATTCTGGTTTCTCCCACGACAGGTTCACAAAGTCGCCACCCACCTCAGTTACCACGGGTATGCCAGGTGCAGTTGGTGGATCTGCATGCACCATGCAAAAAAACAATTCTTGAGCTGAAGCTGAGAGCAGTATACTGAATGCTGTACATGATCATCAATGCAGAGAAGCAAGACAAAGAAGATGGTGAACTATAGCATAGTCAGTAAAAGTGAAAATCTAGGCCTCAAGGATTCTGGCACATGCAGAAATATTGGGTGTGCATGATAAGCCTGAAAGATTAGAGCAAACCATGTGGCTTTAAAAACAGTGATTTTTAAGTTTGTGCTTTACTAGTGATCCGCAAGCAAGGTTTATATGCCCCATCAGTGGATTCAATACAAATGCAAATGCAGTGAAAGCATCTATAGGCATCTAGAACAAAGAAATAAATCAAAATTAAAGTGTAGCGATGCACTGATTTATAAATTTAAACGATTGCACAAGAACCAAATGTGAGAGATGTGAAATCCTTTGCATTACTGACCAAATGGCAACTTGGCAATGATCGGGTTTGTTCCTTCCAGTGGAGCACTCTGGCCGTTTTCGTTGACAGCCATGACTCTGAAGAGGTACTCCCCATTTTCAGTCAGACCTTGTACTGTTAGTGTTGTGTCCTGTCCATACGCAAAAGAAAAAAGAGAGAGAAAGATAAAAAATGAAATTAGTTTTTTTTGTTTTTTCTAGCACAGTAATTGCCTATACACACAAGCAGAAGTAGATTATCATATAAGATATTTCTTATATTTGGCTGTGCATAAAATGAGGCAGTCATTTTTCCTATAAGACACACTGTCTGCAGAGCTCCTGTTAGTTAGCACAAGGAACTCACAATAGTATGAACATTCAAGGGCAGCCTTGCAAGGCAACTGCTGCCAATACCCAAGGTACAGACTTCTGCTCAACTCAACATACCTCAGCAATGTTTTAGATGCCGCACATTGGACAGTGCAAATGCGCTAAAACACTCAAGGTAACTAGACTTGCAACTTTTGCAGCGAACCTGGAGATAATCGATGTGTGAAACAAAGCATCTCGTGTTGCAGAATGTACTCACACGACAGTAAGTGCTCGCGACCACCCACTGGTTGTGAGTGGTTTCCCTGCGCTCAACAATGTAGTGGGTAACCTTGCAGCCGCCATCATACTTTGGTGGGTGCCATGCAAGTTTGCACGTGTGCTGAGTGATGTCAGACACTTCCAGAGGTCCAACAGGTGGGCCAGGTAAGCCTGTGAGTGGAAGTTCACATTCAGAATTAGTCTTGAAATTCAGCTCGTTAACTACGAAGGCTACAAATACTATACAATGTGTAGAAGAAATGGGCAGGATTGACGACGCAGCTTACGACTTTGAAATTGTCTCACATGTCTTATAAATGCCCTGTTATTAAACTGCATGGCAATTTAAACGTTTGATTAATCCAACCCCTCATTAACATTTTTGAGTACACAAGCCTGCAGCCCATAGGTATACAGCAGACTCACAGTAAATGAAAATCTCTTAAAAACAGAACTGATGCCTAAATGAAACAACTGCCTCCAATATGACTGGTTTCATACTTCAATTCTGTACCGTAGTTCATTTCTCCGTAATCAGAACTCCTGTTTAATAGAACACATTTTCCTGATCTCTTCGGGTTCTGTTAGCAAGAGTCTACTGTAATCTCTTATCTACTGTGCCAATCAGCTGACTGATGGGTCGTAGTAAGCTGCCTACTAGCAGGCATAGAAATTGACATTTATATTTGAACACCGGTAGTATTTCGCAGCCGCTAGCAGTTCTGACATAAACATTGAGAAACTTTGTTCGACTAACCGTGCCTAATAATTGAAGAAAATCACATTAAGCAAGCACCATTAGATTATGTAACATCTTGTGGCTGTCTTTGATATCTGTGGCACGATGTAACAGTGCCTGCCTGGATACGTTGCTTCCCAGCGAAACGATGAACACCTGTGACCCACCGAAAAAGGCGAGAGTTCCAGTAAATCTTCTTGCTCACCAGTGACGTAGAGTGTGAACTGGGCGCTCGCTGTACCGCTGTCATTCTTGAGGGTGAGCTGGTACTTGCCCTCATCTGGCTTCTCAGCCTCACGCAGGTACACAATGACGTAGTCATCAAACACCGTGTACTTGAGGTGGTCACTCTCCGGCACTTCAAGGCCTCCCTTGAACAGCGATACCTCCATGGGTGTTGAGCCCGAGAAGTAGATCTTGACCTTGCCGTTGTCCTTCTCTGGCACGTACACTTCATTCGGACAGCGCTCAATTCGTGGTGGCGCTGCAAGAGGTTGCATGATAAATCAGGAGTAAAAACATTTCTCTGACACTTTCCACATTTAGTCACTTCACACAGGAAACCCAAGAACACACTCAAATATTGTATGCTGACTATAGGTGGGATCAGGAACAACATTCTTTGTATTGCTTCTGAAAATTAAATACTACAGAAGAAAAGAAAAAGAGTTTTGTCTTTGTTTAAAATACCCTTATAAGGCCTGTCTGGAGATAAGCGAGAAAAACATCCAACTGACCAGCAATCTTGAGGTCAGCAGAACACCGCGCTGAGCCCAGAGGGTTGCTAATTTCACAGGTGTATTCTCCTTCATCCCCGTCTTCAATCTCGCTGAAGACGAGCTGGTAGACGCCTTCCTCTGGCTTCTCAACGGCTCGGATTCTCGTCCCACCACGGATGTCTCGGCCATTCTTTAGCCTTGTAAAGCAAAGATGATGGGCGAGAGAAATTGTAAGCAGTTACATCCAACACTGCATAAATTGGCTCACAGAGTACCAATCTGAATCAGCACAATTATTTTGGCTCCTGCTTGGAAATAGGGTTTAATGTTGACTTACGTACTGATGATATCCTGCAGCATAAGTAAAATACAAAGGATAGGAAGAAAAGTAATGTAAGAATGCGTGGAGATAAAATTGAACCAAAGAATCTGCATTATATTTCACTCATAGAAGGCAATGCAGTGGAGTTTAGAGAAACTCCCCTTGCTGCTTGAATTTGTTACAAAAAAAAATTTTGTGCCATCTATGAAAGCTATAGGTATCATTTAATTTAGTGAAACATTAAGTCTCATGCTCTATAAAATATGACGTATTTAATACATGATAAGCCCTGTATACAAGAGCTTGTTAACCACTTAACAAGCCCATGAAATGACATCTTTATGTGGGTAGCAGCCACAGTGCACTGTTTGTGCTTATGACCAAGCATGTCTGAACACAATACACAAAGTAGCTCAAATAATAAATATGTTACACAACCATGTGCTTTAGTAATAATATATTAAGTAGATATTACACAGGAAGAGTGACAGGCCAATAGCAACTGCATTGTGAAACGCACACAGCGAGATCAATTACAGCACTTTGATTCTGTCGTTTCTTTTAAGTATAGAGTTAAGTGATGCAACTATAAGATTATAATAAAATTATGTGATTTGATGCTTGCAAAACTTCCTTCATCTGACAATGATAAACAATCATGCTTAACATGCATTGAGATCTCAACACACAAACATACATGTTTTTCATGTCAACGGAAATGCAGTCATTATGACTGCTAATAAAACCCGCATCTTTATGCACAGTAGCAGAATGCTAGGGCCAATAGATTGTTAGGTTATATTATGTTTTATGCAGTAAAATGTTTGCAGCAAATTAAGAGAAGTAATGTGCCTTGGCTGTCCCTGTAGCAGCTTATTTAAAATCCTAGATAATAAAAATTAATTACAGGAGTCTGTCCACAATCCCTATGAAGTCTGATGTAACCACCAGCCATAATGTTCGACATTAACGCAGTACAAGAAATTGCAAGCAGTGTCATAAATATAAATAATATCACACTAATAAGGCCAAAAATATTTTTGCTCCATACATGCTACAACGACACACCAGCTAAATTTCAACTTTCAGTTGTGGGCTCTTGTCCACCAGGAGAACGAACAGCTTACCATCTTGCAGTTGGTGCAGGCTTTCCAATGGCTTCACATTCAAGAGTGACTTGCTTCTTAAGGCTGACATTCTTGTTGAAAAGTCGGCGCACAAACTCTGGCTTTACTCCATCTGTAAGGGAGATGACACAACTGAGCAGTTGAAAAAAATAGCAGAGTATTTAAGCGGGCACATCATGTTTAAATTATGAACACATGATGATATGTTTTTTATAGAGTCACAATGGATAGAGGCAAAATATCCTATCACTATTGACAGAAACCTAAGAGCTTAATGTCATAAAACTTTCAGAATGGACACCTTTAAATTAATTAAGAATACCCATGAACTTTTGGCCAATTTTAAATGCATTTTTATAGCATTAACAATATTACTACATACACAGTAGAATGCTTTCTTAACCTGCATGTTTTGCTATGTTGAGTCTCCTCCACTCGGCTCCACTCGGCTTAGTTGAGCACCTGGAAAGCCTATCGATAATTGAAGATGTCCTGGTAACAGCAGGTTAATATGGCTTCATAAATCATTAACTAAGGTGTGTTGGTACGCCATCCCAAGTTTATGCTCACCAAAGATTGGCAAGAAGGTCAAGGCACAAAATCACACAGAAAAGGGCTTCTGCTCTTCACTTTGCACCTTCTCTAGCTTTACTGCTAAGCCATGAGAACAGCACGTTCTGATCACATGCCTCAATCACGCAAATTGTCGCCACCCCCACGAATTATACGACAGTTCACTATTGCATCACACAAATAGAAGAATGCACTGCGAATGAACAAGGTACAAGCACACACCTTTGTACTCTGTCGCCTTCACTGGTGTGGTACACATAGATGGCTCACTCTTTCCAGCAGCGTTGACGGCGTACACGCGGAACTCGTACTCGTTGTTCTCCTTGAGTTTCATGTCTGTGTAGTCGCAGTCCAGGATTGTGTAGTCGTTCGACACCAACCAGAATGGACTGCCAACCTCACGTCGTTCCACAATGTAACCTAAAGAGGGAAGGTATAAAGTTATGGTCACTCCTTTCATTCATTTTCTTTTCTTGCTTGTTGTAAATATGTGCCCACTCTGTTAATAGGCAAACAAGATGTAAAAAAAAGGAAGTCAAGCTTCAGACAACTTTGCAACTAAATTTGTTGTTAATACATAAATATAAAATAATTTTATGAATGGTGCACCAAAAAAAAAAGAGTGCAGTAAGTACAAAAGCCTTCATATAAACAACATGCTATCGGCAATATGTCAAATACAACAGCTCTGGTAGCAATACTCAACAGACACAGTCAGTAAAAAGAAAACACCTGTTCTTTGCAAAAAAAGTAAGAGGCAAAGCTAGACTTTGCCTTTTGTTTTTTAAGAAAATTTAGGAGCAGAAAAGAATAAAACTACAGTCTGTTAGTGCGATGTTTAACGACAGCCATAAACAGAGCACACTATCTTGATAAACAAAATAGTAAATGATACACCGATGTTTGCTAATGGAATGAAACGGAATAAAAGCATAATGGAATGAAACTAGGCTTACAGAAGTTTAACCCAGCAAAATAGATACCTGTAATGCGACTGCCACCGTCTGATCTTGGCTTGTCCCATTTGAGGTCACAGTAGCTCTTTCCAACTTTGACCACCTCAACGTTCTGAGGAGGCGATGGAACAGCTGTAAAGGCAGCGATGTCACAAGTTAGCCTCCAATACGTACATATATGTGTAACGGAACATCTTGAGCAAAATGGATGAACTTACAGAATTTCGGTTTTAGTCTCAGGGTTGCCGTCGGCTCACTGGGTTCACTGAAGCCAGCAGCATTCTTGGCCTTCACCCTGAATTCATAGTCTTTGCCCTCGAACAGCCGAGTAACTGCATAAAGGATAGTGGGGTAAGAAACACATATGGCTTCTAAACAGCACGCAGCTTGCGTCACGATGAAAAGCTGGATATGCAGATGTGCAAGTGTGCATGGTAGCAAAGATACACTCTACGATCCGAACGGCAATAAAAGAGGCTCACCGGTGTAGGATGTGTCCTTGACAAGACCATCATTGGCAATGCGCCACTTGCCATCGATGGGCTCGCGGTATTCAACCTGGTATCCTTGAATCTTGGAGCCACCATCACTGGCAGGACGATCCCACCTCAGGCTTACACTGGTGACGTCATAGTCCACAATGTCTGGACGACCTGGTGGGCTTGGCACATCTGATAAATGAAGAAACATAAAATGAGACGTGTACTAAAAGCTGTGGACAGTTTAGCTAAGCGATTGATAGGGAGATGTCACGACGAATAAAGTGTTCAGGAATTTCACATTTGCAGATAAATCAAAGCAGTGATACGTCAGTAACCTAGTACAATGTACAGATGACACAAGATGATGAGGAGCTACGTATCAGACAAAATGTTGTGAACAGGCACTTTCATCAATCCATGTAGTACTAAATTACTGTAATGTACAGCTTGAATAGTCTTCCATGCACGATACATGCAATGTATTGCTAAAGTGACAGTAGACATTATCAAACAGTTCATATTATTAAGCAACTTTGTGCAAAATAAAGTAGGCACACATAAATCACTGTCCTTCTAAACAAAGGTGACCGGCATCGTTGGCATGGTGCCTTTAGGTTTTTGTGTACAGCTATAGTTTCTGCTCCCCACTTGGCTGTTGATCAAAGAAGAAAACCCAAGTGTGAACCTCATTAAAAAGAACCTTATTGGACTGGAAAAATGTGTTCCAATTAACTGGGGTTCTGTTTACTAAAAAAAAAAAAAAGAGATGCAGCACTATTGTTCACACACCCTTTTGACATTATTCGATATTTGCCAGCTGGTTTGTCCTATATGCTATGGTACACAGATGACAACTATTAAATGGGCTCAACTTTCTTAGTTTCACCTTGATGAACCCGGCAGTGACATGTTGAAGAACTACATCTATTACTCATTCAATCGATGGCTAAATAACATGCAATCTGCGAAATTTTTTATCGGGGTTTGTTAAAGATGGCATTCTGGATAGAAGACTGGTGTCACAAAAATATAGTACTTAAGACTGTCTGCCTTTTGGGAAAAATCTTTTAAAGCTTCTGTGGTTCTGTTTACAGATAATACTAGTTGGAAAAATTTTGGTTCCAATATAACAAAGGGGTATTTTTTGCATTACCTAAATATAAAACCAGTTAATTGAAATTATTTTTATTTCACTCAATTAAAAGTTCTATCTAAATAATTTCTGTTTACTAAAATACTACTCCATGTTTCTTTGACCTTGTGACACTTCAGCCAAACTCTACAAAGGTTGTCAGAAAAGTAATAAATGATTACATCGGAACCTTTAACGCTCAAACAATGAGAAATGCAGAATTAAACAAACTGCGTAGCTCGTGATGTTTCAAACCCAGTTCAGGGTGACTAAAATATGCCTTTTTTCTTACCGAATGGGAACTTGGCAGTGATGGGACGATCAGTCTCCAGTGGAGTACTGACACCGTACTGGTTCTCTGCACTGACCCGGAAATTGTACTTCTTGTTTGGTTCCAGTCCGATGACATCATAGTGGCAGCCCCGGACAAAGCTAGACAGCTTGGTCCAAATCTGAAGATCAAGAACAAGAGGTGAGCTTGAAGCAGACGAGCAATAGTGTGAATGCAAAAGCAATGATTATGGTCAAAGATTAGTGCAATTAATCAGTTAAAGAATCACATATCTGGGCATAGTGGAGGGCTACACAAAATAATACACATGAGCCTTTAGCAGTTCGTATTCTTTACTGGAATGCAGCTGCTGAAGCCAGAATTCCAAAATATGACCAAAATCTCAGCAGAAGAACGTCGTTGCAACTGAGCCACTGTGGCACACAGTTACAACATTTGGACACAACTAGGTGTCATAATTTGCCAAAAATATTAATATTGTGACGAAGGAACGCGTTTATTTACAGGAAAATGGTTGAGATCGGTACAGCTCAGAGCCAGAAACCGGCGACCGAGCTGCTCGTGAGCCAGACCGCTTCTACCTCTTCCTCTTCATGCGCCCATCGAGGTGTGTCATTTCCCCCGTTCGCAGACGATGCCCACTGGGCGAGTCAATAGGAAGGTTGGTGGTGATATGGCTTGAGGCGCGCGACGTGTGTCAGCTGTGTCTTGCTAGAGCGCCGACCATTGCTTGTGACGCCGGAGATGACGTATGTGACGTCACTGAGACGGTCAATGACTACAAATGGTCCGGAGTAGTGGGCCAGAAACTTTTGGCATAAACCACGTTTGCGGACAGGTGTCCACAACCACACCAGGTCACCCTTTGTGTAGGCAACGGAGTGATGGTGGGCGTCGTACCGGGTCTTGGAGCGCTGTTGAGATGCAATGGTTCGAAGGCGTGCGACGCGACGGGCTTCTTCAGCGCGGCATAGTGACTCGGCAACCGATGTTTCCACATCTAACGTAAAAGGCAGAATGGTGTCGAGGCAACTGCGAGGGGAGCGGGCGTAGAGCAGGAAAAAGGGCGCGTACCCTGTTGTCTCGTGTTTCGCGGTGTTGTAGGCGTATGTGATATAGGGTAGTACTTCGTCCCAGTTTTTGTGCTTGGCATCAACATAAATTGACAACATGTTCGTTAGCGTCCTGTTGGTCCGCTCTACGAGGCCATTCGTCTGGGGGTGATACGGGGTTGCGTGGCGGAATTGGCTGGCAGACAGGCGTAGGATCTCTTCAACGACGTCAGCGACGAACTGACGTCCCCGGTCGCTAATGACGACTCGTGGAGGGCCATGACGGAGAATGATATGCCGAAGCATAAACTGCGACACGTGAAAGGCTGTTGCAGTAGGTATAGCCGCAGTTTCTGCGTAGCGCGTCAGGTGGTCGACGCACACGATGACCCATCGATTGGCACTGGCTGACCGCGGAAACGGACCTAGAAGGTCGACACCAACAATCTCGAAGGGAGAGCTAGGAGGTGGTACGGGATGGAGAGGTCCGGGTGATGTAGTCGTGGGACGCTTGTGACGTTGACATTGTTCGCAACCCGCTACGTATTTTTCTGTGTCGCGTCGCATCTTGGGCCAGTAAAACCTTTGCTGGATGCGATGAAACGTTCTGGCGAAGCCCATGTGCCCACTGGTTGCGTTGTCATGGCAGAACCGAAAAATTTGGGGACGTAGAGCGCGTGGAACTACCAGAAGCAGACGGGCGCCTTGGCCGGAATAATTCTTTTTGTAAAGGACGGCGTCATGGAGTACAAAAGAGCTTGAACTGGCCGGGTCATTCGCGGAGGCAAACAGGTGATCTAAGCAATGATCCTCGTGCTGTGCTGTCCGGAAAGCCGCGATGTCAGGAAAATGAGAGTCAATAGCTGTGATAAAATCGTTAAAATTATCAGCTTCACACTCGGTCGTTGGTAGAGGAAGCCGTGACAGGCAGTCAGCGTCTGCGTGGCGATTACCGCTCTTGTAGCGGACCGTGAAGTCAAATTCTTGTAACCGTATGGCCCATCGCGCAAGTCGACCAGATGGATCACGTAGGCTCACCAACCAGCAAAGAGAGTGATGATCGGTGATGACTGAGAAACGACGACCGTAGATGTAGGGGCGAAACTTGTGTACGGCGAAAACGACGGCGAGGCACTCCAATTCGGTAACCGTATAATTACGCTCTGCCTTGCTCAGGGACCGGCTTGCATAGGCGACGACGTGTTCAGCATTGTTGTGTCGTTGAATAAGCACCGCGCCGAGACCAACTCCACTGGCATCGGTGTGGATTTCCGTGGAAGCAGAGGGATCGAAGTGGCATAGTATTGGCCCGGAAGTGAGAGCGAACTTTAGTTGCTTAAACGCTGACTCACAATTTGGTGTCCAGTGGAAAGGGACGTCCTTGCGCAGCAAGTCAGTCAGTGGCTGGGCCTTTTCAGCAAAATTAGGTACAAAGCGGCGAAAATAAGAGCATAGGCCCAGAAAGCTTCGTAGCTCGCGGATAGACTGTGGCTGCTTAAACTTGCTGACGGCGTCCACTTTCTGCGGGTCCGGCCTAACACCAGCTTTGTCCACAAGGTGTCCTAAAACCAGTGTTTGCCGTTCACCGAAACGACATTTTTTGAGTTCAGTGTCAAGGCGGCTTTCTCCAAACATGTTAGAACAACGTCAAGGCGATGATTATGTTCTTCAAAAGTTCGTCCAAAAATAACCACATCGTCCAGGTAACATAAACAAATTTCCCATTTAAGGCCTCTCAAGACGGTATCCATATAGCGTTCAAATGTTGCCGGAGCATTACACAAGCCGAACGGCATAACATTAAATTCAAATAGACCGTCTGGCGTTACAAAAGCCGTCTTCTCTTTATCAACTGGATCCATGGGAATCTGCCAATACCCGGATCGCAAGTCTACCGAAGAAAAGTAGGAAGCTGAATGAAGGCAGTCAATTACGTCATCAATGCGGGGGAGGGGGTACACGTCCTTCTTGGTTATAGAATTGAGACGCCGATAATCAACACAGAACCTCCAGGACCCGTCTTTTTTCTTTACCAAAATAACAGGTGCAGCCCACGGACTTGACGATTCTTGAATTACACCAGTGGCTAGCATCTCGCCAACTTGTTCAGCAATAACTTTGCGTTCGGACACGGACACGCGATAGGGCTTTTGTCGGAGAGGATGAGCAGAGCCAGTATCGATCTTGTGACGAGCGCGCGTGGTCGGTATCTGAGCCCTAGGCACCGTCCGTGCAAAATCAAATACTTTAGCATGTCTCGCCAGCAGTGCAACCAGGTCTTTGCGCTTCTGTGAGGAAATGGACTTGCTAACCATTTTTGAAAATTCAGCTTCCATACCAGAAGTTTCCGGACCCGCCCTTTCAAGATCGCTTAAAGCTCCAATGCAGGTGCTGCTCTGCTTTTCGAACAGGGCAAGGCGCATACCAGCCGGTAGTACAACCGACTCGGGTGAGCTGTTTATCACCCATAATTGAGCCGTCTCGTCTGCGAGAGATACAATGCACCGTGGTACAAAGATGTTTTTCTTGAGACAAGCTACAGGCAATGGCTCAATCACTATGTCACGTGAATTCAAACTCGAGTTGGTTTCCGAAGTGGTCACTTGTACGCTGGCCGTGGACCACGCTGGCAGAAGTACATCTTTAGCTACAGTGAGGTTACCTTTCTCACAATCAGACTGCTGGGCGAGAGTAGACAACAGAACCTCACCTGCTCCACAATCCACGGTCGCACGACACTCTCGCAAAAAGTCTATGCCAAGTATAACGTCATGCGTTGATTGAGCCAGTACTGTGAATTCCGCCTTGAACGTTTTACCGGCAACACTAACAGACGCAGTGCAGACGCCGACAGGACGCAAGAATGCGCCGCTCACTGCCCGAAATGTGGCAGGTTTGTCCCAGTGAAACATAACCTTACGGCCCAGTCGTTGCTTAAAAACTAAACTCATCACGGAAACACTTGCGCCAGTGTCTATCAATGCCATCGTGGGAACGTCGTCAACAAGTACCTGAACCTTATTCTGAAGCATAGAAACTGGTGGAGGCATTCTTTGATGAAAATCGGTACGTCCAGCGACCTCACCTCCGTCGGCCGCGCTGGCTAGTTTCCCGGTGGCGGAGACGACATTCGTGACCGGCGCCGTGGAGATGGTGACCGAGGTGGACGGGTGGTGGGCGGCGTTAAGCTGCGCACAGATCCGGGCGAATCACTCCGGTTGATCGGCTGGTAGGCGTGCCGCTCGTCAGTTGGGTTGGGGGGCCAGTAGGTGTAGTCAGGCCGTTGGCTTCGTTGTGCAAACGTCGCGGATCTCTGAGGGAATGTCGAACGTGGATTACGTCGCATTGGGCAAAATCGGGCGATATGTCCACGAACACCGCACTGGTAGCAGACGGGCCGTTCACGGGGCATAGGGAACGTCGCTGGATGTTGAGGGTACGCGGCGCTCTGTTCCCACTGAGACGCAAAAGGAGGTGGATGGCTGTTGTAGCCGTAACGACTGTGGGGAGCATGAGGCGGCTCTACATAAGAAGACGCCGGTGGTGGAGCCCTTAGCTGAGGGCCGCGGTTGGAATAGCTGCGCTCCTCGAAACTCGTAGCATTGATACTTGTGGACGGTGTATCGCACGGTGGTTCTCGGGCGTTCAAGGGCGCGTAAAGGTGACGACGAAGTTCCTCACGTACAATGAGGCGAATCGTTGACGAAAGGTCGGTAGGCACGGAGTCTTGGCACACATCGACAGTGGCGACGGTCGTAACATTGGCAAGGCGTCCGAACTTCGTAGTGATGCGGCGAGTCTTCAGGGCCTCAAACGTTCGGCAGTGCCCAATCACATCGGCCACAGACTCAAGACTCTCCTTGCCGATAAGGAAGTGGTAGACGTCTTCCGCAATTCCTTTGAGAATGTGGCCCACCTTGTCCTCTTCCGTCATGTTGGTGTCCACACATTTGCACAGTTTCAGTACCTCCTCAATGTAGGTTCTGCATGTCTCACCACAAGCTTGAGCTCTCTGCGACAACATTTGCTCTGCACGTTTCTTCTTCGTCGCAGGGTCGCCAAAGCACTTCTTGATCTCCTCCATAAACTGGTCCCATGTTGTCAAGGTGTCTTCGTGATTCTCGAACCACACTAAAGCACTGCCATCGAGAAATAGACCCACGTGGGACAACTGGCTGGCCGCATTCCAGCCATTGGCTCGGCTCACCCGTTGATAGTGGCTGAGCCATTCTTCAACGTCATCGCCAGGTTTTCCTGTAAATGTGCGTGGCTCTCGGTAGTGGAAAGACGGCGCCCTCGCGACCGGCTGCTGGATGTCTCCGTCCAAGTTCATATCTTGGGGTAGTGGTGGCAAGCCCGCTAGTCGACGGCTGCGGCGAAGCTCGTGCTCTTGCGGTTCCGTCGTTAGTAGACGGCTGCTCTCCGGTCTCGCTTGACAGTAGCTGGCTTACCCAGCACCTTCCACCACAACTGTGACGAAGGAACGCGTTTATTTACAGGAAAATGGTTGAGATCGGTACAGCTCAGAGCCAGAAACCGGCGACCGAGCTGCTCGTGAGCCAGACCGCTTCTACCTCTTCCTCTTCATGCGCCCATCGAGGTGTGTCAATATGCCAAAAGTTTTTATTTTTGATGTAAATCTGAGTGAATGAATACAGTGCTCAGTCATATAAAGCAGACGAACTCTGCTAAACCAGAATTAAGGCATCTGAGCAAGCCAATACTCTATAATAGCACGGAAACAATTTTTTTTTTACTGCCTACCTTGGTGGTTGGATCTTGTTTCTCAACAATATAGTTAGTGATCGGGCTACCACCATCATCCAGGGGAGGTCGCCACGAGAGTGAGCAGGTTTCAGGTGTAATATCCGATGCCTCCAGTGGACCTTGCGGCGGGCCTGGTTTGTCTGAAGATTAAGAGATGGAGATAGTAATTCAGACACAAGCAACTCGTCTCTAAATTTTTTCTGCGCAGCGTGCCAGCTTTCCTTTTCAAAATGCAAGCACATGTAATTGCTAAAAACAGATGCATACCAACAACAAGGACCTTGCATGATGCTGTGTCTGAACCCTGTGGGTTCTTCAACGTAAGCGTGTACTTTCCGCTGTCGTCACGCTTGGCCTTCTTGTTGAGGAACACGGTGAATGCCACATTAACTTCAGTGTGGATCCTGTCGTCAGGTAGCACAGCGTTTCCATTCTGAAATGAGTAGATGAAAGACATTTGCAGCCTCCGAATGCTGTCGCAGATGCGCTTCAAACAGCATAGATAGAGGACCGACTCAGACTTACGATAGTCCAAGATGCCTCTGGTGCCGGACTGCCACTGTACGGAACTCGGATAGTAAACTCCTCACCAGCCATGACCACAATGTCACGCATGGTGAAGCCACTATCAATCTTGGGAGCAGCTAAAAATGGAAATCCAAATATGGCTTGTAAGTATACACCATGTATAGAAAGGTTAATCACGTGCTAGCTAAAAACAGCTACAGTAGACTCTCAGTAAACGGAAATCTGTTAAACGGAACTGCTGCTTAAACGGAACTAATGCTTAAACAGAACTAATGCCTCAGTAATGCTTGGTATCGGACTTGTATTCTGCACCCATGTTCGCCTCTCAGTAAACGGAACTCCTGTTAAATGGAAGATATTTTCCCGGTCTCTTCAAGTTCCGTTTACTGAGAGTCTACTGCAATAGCATGCAGGCTTAAAGGGACATGAAAGTGAAAGTTGTTTCAGAGCTCTATTGTTAATTTTGTCGTCATAAGATAATTATTATAAGATAAAATTATGGCCAAAGTTTCATTTTTTAAATTTTATGCCGAAGCTTCAACATATAAGGTTGCCATTCCGTTTTGCCGCACCAAATTCTTTTCAGCAGCCTTCTTACCGAAAACAGCCGCCGATTGGAACCACCTTCCCTCTTCCGTTGTATCAATAACAGACCCTTTGTTATTCAAGACTGCAATTTCTCAGCAATGCTTGTAATTATACGCAGTTTCCACTATCTATCTTTGTCTTGTATGTGCTTGAATTCTTATACATTTTTAGTTGACTTATGTTGCCTTCCTGATTTGCGCATCTGATACTTGTTTCTTTATTTTGTCTTTTTTTCTTGTGTGTTATATATGTTGTACCCACCCCCTCTGTAATGCCCTACGGGCCCTGAGGGTATTCTAATAAATAAATAAATAAATAAATATGAACATCAGCGTGACGTCACGTATTTCAAGGCCTTCGTTGAGTATTTTGGCCAGAATAGTTCAATAAAGTTTTCTGCAACTTGATACTTTGAGACTCTGGGTCTCTTAAAAAGTGATATAAACAATCTTTAATGATAAACAATTGTAATGTAGGCCCCAATAGATGGTGTCAAATTCCATGACATCAACAGGGGCAGCTGCAGAAACTTCAAGATGATGTTGCCACCTTTATTTTTTTTGCACATTTTCTTGCTAATCAAGCACGTTACTATGGTATGAGCAGCACCTTCACTATTATGAAACTATAATTTTAAAATATGCGAAAAATCATAGAGCTTTTTACTATCCATTTGAGAAAAGTTTATCCTGCAATAAGACAGAAAGGTTATGCCAATGAAAGTGGTAACGTAACAGTGGTGTCGAAATAATGGAGTGACATTTACCTGGAGGAGGCCTTGCATAGATGCCCTCTGAAGCATTGCTCCAGGGTGACTCCCCAGCTGCGTTGACGGCACACACACGGAATTCATACTGCTGGTTTTCAGTTAGGCCTGGCACCTTGTGTGTGAGATCTGGCACAGGTGTCGGTGTAACGCGGCTCCACTTGGTGTCGCCAACTTTGCGCTTCTCAACAAGGTAACCAGTGATTGGTGAACCACCGTCATTTCGTGGCTTGTTCCATGCGATGGTGATGGAGTCGGGCGATGTGTCCACAGCATGTGGGGCTCCTGGTGCACTTGGTGGGTCTGGGAAAGTGAATGGCATGTGAGGTAAGCAGCTGCAAGAAATATTTACATGTATACGAACTCAGGCTTCAAACATTTTTGCACAGCTGCTATTGTCATTTTTAAAATGACACCACAGCTTTTGCACTGATGACAGGCAAGACAGTTTGCTAAAAGAGGGCCATTCTTGTGTACATGAAAATGATGTGTTCATGCCAAAGCTAAAACTCTCTGTGTTAACTGGCCCAGATAAAGACACAACGAAGTTATAATGCAACCCAGGTTGACGGTTATGGCAAGCTTTGAAGTGTTAGAAAAGTTTTTCCCAACGATTCGTTTTGGCTTGAAAGAGGGTTGTCCTTACGGTAGCAGATTATATGAAAACATAGCAGAATACGTCAACTACATGCCATTAAAGTTCACATGTTACCTTTTCTGACACATAAGTCTACACCAGAAATCCAAGTACACAGGTTACATAACAGGACAATTATAAACAAGCAGTCAATAAATTTTTCTCTTGCCAGGTACACAAGTACACTTGAACTTGAGTGATTCAATAGCAACGGCAAACACTAAATCGCAAAAGAAAAACTGCTACCACATACCAAATGGCAGCTTGGCAAGTATGGGCTCAGCGGTCGTTGCAGGATCACTGGTTCCAAACTGGTTCTCAGCCATGACCCTGAAGTTGTAGCGGCGGCCAACGGTGAGCCCACGCACTCGAAATGCAGTGCCCACGACGTAGGTGCCGATCCGGTGCCAAGACTTGGTGCCCTCTTCTTGCTTCTCCACAACATAGTTGGTGATTTCTGCTCCACCGTCGTCCTTTGGTGGCAGCCAGCGCAATGTCAGGGAGTCACCATCCACCTCTTCACCACGCAGATTTTCTGGTGGTGCTGGACGATCTGTGGTGATAGATAAATGAATTTAAATATAAGTGTTTGCACCGTGCTTTCTCAAAGCCATCAGTTCTGGATTCGAGCCAAAGGTAGGGTAAAAATAAAATGCTGCACGTCTTACCTAGGACAGTTACCTTACAGTAGACAGTGTCAAATCCGTGCTTGTTTTTGAGGAACAGCTTGTACTGGCCAGTGTCATCCCTCTTTGCCTTGGTAACAGTCAGGCTAGCATTCTCTTCTGACACCTGTGGGAGAGCAGATGGGGTTGCTCATGACTGGAATGGTCTATGCGTGTTGAAAAAACAGTTAGCGCTTTCACACATTAGGTATCCACACCATTAAAATGGCAATGAAGGTTATTGCTAACACTGCAATTATTACAAGACTATTTTTCATTTACTTCGTTATAAGTGATATTTTATTATATTTTTGTTCGTTATATTAAGGTTTGAATTGGTACTATTGCACTTGCTGTTTCACTAATACATTTCACAATGACAAAACGAAGTAAGTTCTCGTCATTTCAGATGACTCATATTGCACGTTCTTCTATGCTTGTCTGCTAACGACACACTGACCCAAGCTTCATTAGAAAACTGAGCCCTTTTACCATTTTAATTTAGTCATATAGTCATACTTCTTTTATCATTACGACAAAAAAAGTATTTACCTTGTATGTCCTTCTCGGCTCTTTGTCATCAAGGTCAATGTCATTCTTGGACCAGATAGCTTCCGGTTTGGGGAAGCCAGTGAATGGCACATTGATGCTGAAGTCCTGGCCAGCCTTCACAACAATGTCCTTCACAGCGCCAGCATTGATTCTTGGCTTGTCTGGTAAAACAAAGCATCAGAAACATGTTTATCATGCCTAACGAGCATAATTATTCATAACTATGTTCAATTAATGTAACATGGCACTAAACGACCCCTGTTATTTGACGCCTCATTGAGATGTGCTTCAAAACTATTTAGGGAGAATGGGAAACCTTCAGTTAGTATTTTTTCGTTAGGGTAAATCAAATTGCACTAAGGGTGAGCAAGGTAAATAGTTGATTACACGCATTACAAGACTCACTCGATCATCACAACGATTACAAGAATATGATGTCAAAAGGACACTGAAAGGAGACGCTGTCTCAGGTTGCTTTGGTAGGCCTGGTAGCAGAAAAACAAATTCTGGGATAAACTTCTCTGTTAATTTCTTCTAAATCCTATAGTTCTTATGCAAGAACTATGACAACAATCATACTGTGACACAAATTTACAAAGTGTGCATGTTAGTATTACATTGCTTTAAAACACTTATGTTTACAAGAATGAGGAAGTCGTTGCAACAAAGTTGGCTTTGATTTTAAAAGCACTGTAACTTTGTTTAACGTGAACAAGTAAATATGCTCACACATACATTTCTACAATTTGAAATGACATCAATTTATACTCTAGAAGCACAATTGGAGACAACATTTATATACAAACTTTTGCATTGTCTCGGGCATCAAATGACTCCGTGCTTTTTAAATACAGATGCTTACTCAACCGATGCACCTCAATTGTTATTTTGCTTTAGTGTCCACTTAGATTATTGCACATTTGCAAGATCTCACCTGGCTGCTCCTCAACCAGCACAAGACCCGTGGGCTTGCTCGGTGGGCTCTCGCCGATGTCGTTGACGGCCACCACCCGGAATTCGTATTCCTGCCCTTCGTCCAGGTTGGGCACCGTGAAATTGGTGTCTGGGTGAGGCAGGATGTTCACCGGCGTCCAGTCCTTGGCATCCTTGGGCTTCTTCTCGATGATGTAGCCCTTGATCTTGCTTCCACCATCGTTTGTGGGTTTGTTCCAGGAGAGGGTCACCGAGTTCTTGGTGATCTTGTCCACACGTGGCGTGTCCGGAGCGCTGGGAGCAACTGCGAGGTTTGGAGGAATCCAAAAAACACGACTCTTAGTACATTGTGCGACTATATCCTTGCTCGAGAACAAAGAACACATATAGTAGGGCTACGTAAAAAACATGAATGACACAACACAAGTACGCACGATGGGCTGGGCATACATATTTTTGCATTGTTTGCAGCATAAAATGTCTCAACTGTTGCTAAATATAGAAGCTTACTCTACCAATACCCCTCAAAATTTTTTCGCTTGTGTCCATTTACATCGTTCGAGCATTGGCAGATCTCACCATGCTGCTCCTTGACAAGCACAACACTAGTGGGTTCACTTGGTGGGCTCTTGCTGATGTCATCGATGGCCACCACATGGAATTGCACCAATCCTGTGTAGTTGTCTTTTTTCGTACGTGTTTTTTTGCACAGCGCTGCTACATATTGCTATATGCATTCAGGAATGTGCAAACTAGCCCAAGCGAGAAATCTATTGAAGCGGGAAGCCCTGTAGTCCACAGACATCTGATAATGAAAATTTTCCCGTTCATAAATTAAATATGAAATGTTATCTACTGCCGACATATGATGCACCTCACTGGGCAACTACAGGCCATGCACTTGAGCAACGTGGCCTAGGTTTGATCTCTGTTGCTGCTGTAAGACAAACTTATTTCTTTCAGCCTGCCAACTGGCGAACTGTGTTGTAATGTACGCATGGCAGCGATTGGCTTTCGATGTATTCACAATTTCACTCTTTGGATGATTGATGTCTGTAATTTGATTCAATTATCCCTCCTGAAAAGATTCTCAGTGACTGTTTGCAATACAAAAATTCTTTATCAGATTTTGAGTCTATATGAAAACACTCCCTTTGATAGATGTGATGTGATATTGCTTATAATGAGAGTGTTTTTGATGGAAAAAAAATTCCTAGAGTGATGGATTTAGTAATTGTAATAGTAGAGAGCCAAGGCAGTAATAACCATCTGTTATCTTTAAGAAGAAAGAAAGAAAGAAAGAAAAAGAAAAGAAGGAAGAAAAGATGTACTACTCTCTTGATACTTTTATGCCAAAGATGAACAACCTTTGCTGCCGAGCAGAAATTCATGTAACTGGAAAACTGATAAATGAGCAGCACTCAGCACAGACAAGTTGCGACATAATATGAGGCTTCACTTACACTTGGGCTCCTTGGCCACAACAGCAACACTTGGCTTGCTTGGTTTTCCAGGGCCGCCCTCGTTGACAGCTGTCACTCTGAACTCGTAGGTCTTGCCTTCAGTGAGGTGAGGCACTGTGAACTGGGTGCCAGGTGTGGGTGCAGCATTGGCCTTGACCCATTCGGGATGTCCCCGCTCACGCTTCTCCACAATGTAACCTGCACACGGCACAGAACGCATACTGTTTGCACACGCAGAGAAAATTTTCACGCTTGCTTGAGTTTGACCTTTATAAAACCAGCCCTAAACAGTGAACAGTAGCAAACAGCACAATAAAAATGATTGAATTATCTTTTATAAGAATCAGTCACAACGCAGAAGTGAAACATGTCTTTACAGGAGTAGCTGCAGTGCAGTTAGACATTATAGTCAGAGTATAAATTTGCAGTGTCTATGTCCGAATATGGCTGTAGATCCAATGTGCCCTTTAAAAAAATTTTACACACAGCATACTTCCCTCGCATCTCTATCTTTCACCCTATGCTCCAATGAACATGGCCTGGTGTGTCTGCCTGAGCTCAACCATCTTTTTCCATAAAAGGTGTCCCTTATCTAGGCTACATCAGCAGGTGAGGTGGAAACAAAGTGAGTTAAGAGGCAGGGATCTCACGTAGAACTTGAAAACTAGTGTACTCTGTCACTGAAATCACTTGAGTGACAAAAATAATATAGATAAATCCTTGGTGAAGTCCAGCATTAAACACTTTCATTTAAAAATGTATGTGGGTACAGGAAAATAAATAAAAAGCTCAAACCTAAAAAATGATATTAATTCTTGGTGAAGTCTAGCATGAAACACTTTCGTTTAAAAAAATGTATGTTGATGCAGTGATGTACTATTGTTTGTTGACTGGCACTGCCTTGCTTCCATGCTTGGCAAGATTATGACAAAGAGAGACATGCTTTAAGGAATTCCTCTTTAAAATGTTACGCTTTTCCTGATAAGGTGAAGTAAGGAGGTGGTTGAAAAAAAAGCGAGACTTCCAAAACAATATTAACTGCACCAAGATTTTGACATAATGGTGCAGTGTTCAATGCACTAACCTTGAATTGGACGCCCACCATCATTAGTTGGAGGTGTCCAAGAAATGGTAGCAGCAGTCGGGCCAATCTCATCAACCTTTGGCTGACCAGGAGAGTCGGGTGTGTCTGCGTAATACGTAGATAATGACCCATATTAAATATGTGCAAGTCACACTGCATCTTGGTTGCAGTGGAAATATTTGTAAATGACAAGCTCTGTCAAAAATGAGGGAGCAGTGAAACATGTAGCATGTGTTTCGCATAAAGATGATACACTTTCAATTTGGGACCTGTAGAAAAGATACTGCCACAATGAATTCTGCCACAATGAAAATGAAGATACTGCCACAATGAAAAGGTACTGCCACAATGAAGAGTCTGCTAGAAACCCCTGCACCAACGAAGCAAATCGATAGAAGAAGTTAAACGTAACAACACTTCACACAAGAGAACTATGAAGCTTCAAGAAGGGCACAGTAATCGTACCGAATGGGTTCTTGGCAGTAACTGGCTTGCCCTCCAGCGGTTCACTGATGCCGTAAATGTTCTCTGCACGAACACGGAACTTGTACTGCTTGCCTTCCTCGAGGTTGCGCACAGTGTACGTTGTGTTGGGACAGTAGCCTGGCACGGGCTGCCAGAAGTCGGAGCCAACCTCGCACTTCTCAACAAGGTATCCTGCACCGATGAACACACAAACGTTGCAAAATAATTTGTACGATTGATATCAGTACGAAACATTCTAGCTAAATACAAACATGCCCCAAAAGCATATATGTGCATATGCATACACACACACAGAACAAGAGCCACAATAGAATGCTGAATTGAACAACTGTGTCCTGTCTTTACTTGTTTTATCATAGAACATCTGCAGTAACAAAATGAACAATGCATCATTATCTATCCTGCCAGCAAACCTTAATAAACTCCAAAAAGTACTAAAGAATTATGGAAATATTTTTAAGCACTTCAAGACATTACTATCTATCACAGAGGACACATATCCATGCACTCTGCTACAGAACACAATTTTTTGTAGGTAAAGAGCTTTCATGCAGACAAAGCAATGACTGGGAAACAATTACAATATTACAGTGCATCTACGATGCTGCCAATTAAGCTGTTGTGTGCAGATGTACAGCCATATAAAGTGAATCTAACAGAAATATGTTTAAGCATCACGAACTGTGTTGGCAGAAAGAACTTTAATGAAATGAGCAAGAAATAGATTAATGCTGCAGATACTTGAACAAATGCCTAAAAAGATTCAAGAAACTGTGCTGCCCTCTTTAAATGTCAGCCAGTTTGTGTGAAACACCTTACTTCCTAAAAAATTTATTGAGGCATTAATAAAATAGACAATCATACCTGTGATCTCTGCTCCACCATCATCTTCTGGTTTTCTCCACTTGAGCACCACTGTAGAGTTAGTCACCTCAGGATATTCTAGTGGTCCTTGAGGAGGTCCAGGCTTATCTGCATTATAAAAAGCATTGCTGTTAGGAACTATCCTATTCTAGCGAATACTACTCGGGCAACGTACCATAGACGAGAACGTCGATGTCAGCCGAATCTTCTCCATACATGTTCTTTGCCTTGATGGTGTACTTTCCTGTGTCACCTCTCTGCGACACTGGAATGGTGAGGTTGACGGCCTCGTCAGCGGTGTCTGTACGGATCCGGTTGGTGGGCGGGATCTCCTTGTCGTTGATCAACCACGTGACAGCAGGTGCAGGGGCACCCGTGAGCGGGATGTTGATGTTGAGCGGATCACCCGCACGCACGCGGATACCCTTTCCATAGAGGCCGTCTAAGTGCAGCTTTGGCTTCTCTGTAAATCATGCAAAAGCCACGCAAATGTCAGCAATTATTAAAAAAGAAAATAATTACGGTAGGTTAAAGACAGGGCGCTTTACTGCTGTAGGTAGCGAAACATAAGATTGTGTTACCACATAAGGACTGAAGTAACATAGAGTACTAGGCGTGTTGATATATGTTCATGTCAAAGCGTAGCACGAAGAAAACTGGGCACAGTAAAGAACACACAGTAGCGTACTGTGTGTTCTTTGCAGTGTCCTGTTGTCCTCGTGCAACGCCTCGACATGCACATAAGGACTACATCAATTTACTGCTGCTCTTTACGCTTGCTCGCACATTATTAAGGTAACTCGCTGCAATGAAAACCCGATTACAAAGAGTTTTGCACACGTACATGTGACTAATTCTTATCGAACAAAATACTAAAAGCAGACATGTAAAATGTTCCTAACCGAATTTCCTTCCTTCCTTGGAAGAATCACAAAGCTGCTCATGTTCACTTCTCTATGCACGCTTTAAACATTAAATGCTTCACAAAAATCTAGTGTTGTGCTTTCCTATTTCGCAGTACTCAAGCTCTTACCTTTCATTGGTTTGGCAGCAATCGGCTTAGAAGCCATGCTTGGCTCACTTGGGCCGGCTGCGTTCTTGGCAACCACTCTATATTCATACTGGTGCCCATCTGTCACATCCTTGTCTGTATACTCGGGCGTCTAAGATAAAACACAAGAAGAGATCATTAGAGGAAATACAGAGATGTGAGCCTGCTACTATTGTCAGGAAAAGAAAGGGAGTAAAAAGAGAGTGATAATGACAAAAGGCAGTAGGAAACGCAGTACGCTTGGTTGACTGTAGTACACCAGAGATAATGTGCGACATAACAGTGAGAACCTTATGATATAATCATTATCATTTTTCAGCTTATTTTATACTAACTGTCGAACAAAAGCCTCTTCCAATGATCTCCCATTTATTCTGCCTCGTGCTAGCTGGTTACATGTTATGCCTTTAAACTTCATAATTTCGTCCCTCCATCTAAAAATTGGGCATGCCCAGCTAAATATCTCATCTTTTGGTACCCAGTCAATTGCCCTGACCGTTGATCATTTGTCCTTCATGACATGGCCTACCCAGGTTCATTTTTTCTTCTTACGGCCAGCTACAAAGTGGGCAACCCCTACACAAGCTAACCATATCAGCATGGTCATTAGTAGCAGAAAGCATATAGGTAACCTGAACACCCCCATTAAAAGAAAACAAAACAAAACAAGGGAAGTTGGTTCTTATCAAAACGTGAAAAATACTAAAGTTATGACAACAGGTGAAGAGCAGAGCATTCAAATAAGCAGTGTTGTAGATGTTGTAGAACAGTATGTTTTTCTAGGGTCCAGAATAGATGCTGATGGTAACTCTAGAAAAGAAATACAGCAAAGAGTACTAGGAATGAGAACTATGAGTAAACTTTCAAACAGTTTCAAAGAAAAAGTCTCGTAACTGAAATTCATCCTTTTGACATCCCGTTGCTTCATCTTAATGTACAGGTGCGAGCCTTAAACATGGGAAAGTACAAGAAGAAAAAGCAATGTTCTTTCTATTTATGGTGCTAGTAGTGGAGAGTTTCGTTTTGAGGATACCACGAACTGCGAATGAAATAAATATCTGATTTATAAGAGAGATCAATCTTGAATGTTCTCTGAAAGAAAGGTTCAAACTAAAGCTTATGTTAGTCAAGCTACGCCATTTGCCAGTTAAAATCCTCCTAATTGCATCATTACAATACAAATGTCAAATGCAATAACTACGGAACATGTTTCCACATTCTACACTATATAAGCGATTTTTATGTGGTAACATCAGTGCATGTTTCACATGAAAAAATTTATATGGTTTCCTGCAGACTGCTACAGTCATACCTTAATTCTTTATCAGGCAGCTTTCTATGGTTATATTGAAAGTTATTTACATTGCATATAACCATAGAGTTGGCACTGTGTTACTGTGTAGTTCCTCTTCCATGTGCTCCATTATACTTTGCACTGAAGGTTAGGTATAATTAAATTATCCTCCTTCTTTGCATTATGAGCTGCAACTCATAAAAATACAAGTTCTATACAATATCTGTTCAGAGCACAAGAATGGATTTCCTCGACTTTTATAGGAGGCTGATATATGAATACAGACATGCAGTTAGATGTGCACAATATTATGTAACAAAAAGAAGCGAACAACAAGAAGGATTTCGGTGCGAGTAGTACAAAACATCTGGCTGAAACCTGAGAGCACCACACATTTGACTTACTCGAACAGGTTCCTTGTTGACGCGCACCCAGCGGTTAGACTTGGTGTCTCTGCGCTCAATGTCATAGCCTGTGATGGGTGAGCCTCCATCATTGCGTGGCGGCTCCCATTTGATTTTGATGAAATCACGGTCATGATCCACAGCTTCAGGCTGTCCAGGCTTGCCTGGGGTACCTGGAAGCATTAGGAGAGAGAAAGCACGAGATTAAAAAATTATTTAGACAAACATAACATAAAATAAAGATGAAAAAAATATTTTGTCTCTGAAAGCTAGTTCAGACGAGAAATAAGCATTATCAATGTGCCTTCACAACAATGCAGCACAAATTACAGATAAACAGGAGCAAAGCATATCAACTAAATTCATGCCATATAACTTCCCCTTGGAGAGTTTAACTGAATGTAGACAGAATGTGTTTACAAAGAAATCAAAACAAATCCTCTTTGAAATCTGTTTTAATTTGCTGGCATGCTGAACAACCGGAAATGAAACAGAGGTCTCACCATATGGACTCTTGGCCACAACTGGACGAGTTGTTGTAAGAGGCTCAGACAATCCCTGTGCATTCTCAGCCATAACTCGGAACTCGTATGCAGTTCCTTCAATGAGTTTCGGCACAGTTGCTTCGGTGGCCGTTGGCGGCACAAACGAAACCGCAGGCACCCACTGGCCGCCATGGGTCTTGTCCCGCTTCTCAATAACATAACCCCTAAAGGCAACGAGACATGCAATAAGCATTTATAGCAAAAATGCGACATTGTAATGCTTTGCAGGCTACATTGACGCATGAAAATTTGCGTGCAACCCATAGCAGACACTTTGCTTGCATTCTTCTGTGAAATTATTACATAGTGCTATGTAACAAAACCTACGCTAATGAGAGCCTCTTGATTGCACACTTTGAAAATGCTCATGTTACATGCACCACACATGTGTTAGGCATGTATGAATATTCTAGTGAATATTGAAGCATTTGAATTTGCTTCGACACGAATTTAAATTGTTTGAAACTTCGAAGTATTTGAAATGGACGAATAAGTACATATTAAGCCCCATGTAACCTTCCTGTAAAAGTAAGTTCACTGCAGCATAAAATTGCTATGCTGTGAAAACACCCACCCAAAAGAAATCGATTTGTCGTGAATGCGGAGAAGTCCTACTTCCCAGTGAAATGAACATACTGCTCTCACATCAAGTAATCATTTTTCAAGTTTAAAAGCTTGTACGGACTTGCATGCCCTAAGTATAGTAAATTTTAAAACATAGTGTATCTTGCCAGTTATCACTTGCATCGTACTGAAATTTAAACCCTGCTACTATGCAAAGTCGTCTCAACTTAAAACCGAAAAGAGCAAATTCGCACATGCCTTACTTCAGTTAAAAATATTTAATATTGTGCTGGTAAGTAGGGTCATGACTGATATGCTCATTTTTCTTTTATAATATTGTCATGTGCTTGTCAAAAAGAAAGACAATGGCAGTTGTGCATGTGCCATGAAGTACAAGGAAATGGATGAAAAAGAAGAACTCTTTTGCGCGTTTTATTAAAAGAACCGACCTGCTTCTGGTGTCTCAATCTCTGCGGCAAGACCTCTGTTTTGAAGTCTTGACATTATGAGATATACTTCAACCAAACTATTCGACTTGAAAGCATTCAACCAAAGCACTATTCGCTTCCAACCTAAATTTTACTATTTGCACATTCCTTACGTATTTACATATATTTATATATGTTACACCATATTGTCACGGCTAAAGGCCGGGCAGGAAGACAGAGGACGATGAAGTGATGAGCGTGTACCGCAACCATGATTCTTCCGAGGAAGACGACGTCGAAGTGGCTGTTCTTTTTTTGTTCTGTCAATACAGACCTTGTTTTTCCTGGTCGCACCATCGTTCTGTATCCTGTTCTTTTCACGTCGCGACAATATGTAGATATCAGCCTTCGACGAACATTCCAGCACTTCGAATATTCGAACAAATATTACAGTATTTAAATTTGCTTCGATTCGTATTTAAATCAGTGGAAACTATGAAGCATTCAAACAAATAAATGTATGTTAGTCCACATGTAATCGACCCCGCAAAAGTGGTTTCGCTGTCATGAAAGAGTGATAGACCACAAATGCACCTATCCAAAAAAAATCCCCACTGTCACAAAGCCTTATTTCAAGGTTAACTGACCATACCCTCACATCGATTCATCTTGTAAGTTTAAAAGCCTTTTACGCCAGCTTATATACTCTAAGTATAATAATATTGAAAACATAACAATTTCACCGCTTATCACTTGCACTCTACTGAAGGTCAAATACATCTACTATTTAAAATGGCTTCCACTTCCTCTGAACCAAAAAGAATGACATTTGCGCATGCCTTGTTTCAATTTTAAGGAGATATTGTGCAGGTTAGTAGTGTGATGACCAAATATGCACATTTTAATATATACTATTCTAAACTATCCAATATATAAAGCACATATGCACTACATATGTGGTATGTACTATTCAAATTTGATTAGAAATCATTCAACCAAATCACTATTCACTTTAAACCTGAATTTCGCTATCTACAAAAGCCTCGTAAATATAGATAAGCAAAAACAAAAAGTGCACTTGTGTTGTATTTCACTCATTCCGACTGCTTTTTATGACGCGAGTGCACTATGTAAGAAGGTACTGCATTGTCATTACAAAATATTTCAAGAATCAATGACCATGGCACCAAGTGATATTCTGTAATTATCATGGGCACTGTAGGTTTCTAGGCTGCCAGTGCATTTAAAAATATTCCTTATGCCTCTGAAGCATGACTGCCGAATAATTGGCAAGCTCAACATTACTCAAGCAGATTTACATCCAGCTCCAAAACATAACTCCTAAATAAATAAATAAACAAAAATTAATAATCCACTTGAACACATCTATATAAAGCTTTGTTACATAATTCAAACACTACTAACGTGATGTCACTTCCTCCAGTGTCCTTGGGAGGCCTCCAGGAAAGCTTCACATGGTCCTTGTCAACTTCATCGACATTCAAGGGACCTTCAGGTGGGTTTGGTTTATCTGAAACGAGAAACTTATGGTTAGTACAGTGTCTCCTCCTTTGTTACATGTGGGTGCATGCATCCTGTCATCACAATGTATCCAAGAATAGTAACTGATGTAAATGAAGTTATAATATAGCAGATTTACCGACACATTTACAGCAAGAAAACGGAGAGAGAAAAAAAGGCATATAATATTCTGCAAGTCAACCTGCATGAAAGACGACAATAAAATAAAGACATGAGCCAGCACTGTCACAAGTTAGGTAGTATCATTTGCTGCAGTGCTCAAGATGGAAAACTCAGTTATATCTTAATCTTAGTGTTCTTTTAAAATTTCATAACCAGAATAATAGACTGGTGAAAGCACAGTCTCAAACATATTTGCTTTGGCTGTGGATATTGCAATAAAAAGTGTCACTGGCCTGTCAGATATGTCACATAGAGTTGTCTAAAGTTTGTTATCCAATATATTATTTCACATAAGCCCGATTAGCATAAACTTACCCAGAATGACAACTGGCAGAGTTCCACTGTCCTCGCCACTGTCATTCTTGAGGTGTAATGTGTACGCCCCACCGTCAGACCTCTTGGTATCAACGGTGTTGATTATGGTGTGGTCGTCAAAGTTGGATATGGTGACCCGGTCATCCGAGATCAATGGCTTGCCATCAACCATCCACGAGACGGTCGGTGGGGGAGCACCGATGAACTTGATTTCAACATTTAGGGTCTGGCCGATCTTGACTTTCACTTCTTTCATGGGGCTCACAATCTTGGGTGCCACTGGGAGACCATGACAACAGAGCACAGTTTAGCTGCTGCAAGTCACATTGATTACGTACATCACTGCTCGTTTTAGCTGTCAGTAAATCTTTTTTCTCAAATAAGTGCGCTGCAGTCTCAACTTGTTGGAATGAAGATTGTACGATATGCGACAGTAGTAAAAGACTGTTGCTTGTAAAGGCACACCACATTTTTTTCTATCCTTGGAGGACAGAGATGTCTTGAACAGATTTCATCTTTCGACACTACAGTTAGTGAAATACAACTCGTTTAGGACTACAGCACCAATGTTTCTATAGTATTTACATGAAAGCATGATATCGCAAAGGCATCATCTAATCAACTCTCGTTGTGAAAAAGTTCTGGATACTGCCATTTTACAAGGAAGACAAGTCAGTCCTTGACTTTACCAAAAGCAACAAAATTAGTAGTTTGCAAAACTCCGTTTCGAATACTCTAGCTGCGTAATATGAAAACCAATTACTCACAGAATCTAGGCTTGCATGTGATGAGATCTGATGGCTCCGAAGGCTCGCTCTCACCACCGGCGTTGACTGCAATCACCCTGAACTCATAGTCCTGGTTTTCTCTGAGATCTGGCACAGTAGCCTTTGTCTGTGATGCCGGAACCTCCTTTGCCTTTGTCCACAGGGGAGAACCACGCTCCTTCTTTTGGATGATGTAGCTCTTGATCGGGCAGCCGCCATCATCAGTGGGCGGCTTCCATTCCAGGTCGACGTGATCCTTATCCCAATCAGTCACCTTGGGGCGGCCTGGCTGGCTCGATTTCTCTGCAAAGCAGTAGGGGTCCACGATAAGGCACGCTGGAGCTCACCGACTTGATTGCCTTTGGCATCTGACCTTAAAGACCGCTTTTTATTAGCATTGCTCAAGCATAGGATGTAATATACAACTGTAATTTGCTACGGGCATATATTTCGATAGAAGTGACACACCAGAAGCCCATGCACCGTGCGATGTTAGAGCATGTTAAAAGACCCCAGGAAGCCGATTTTATCTGGAGCTCTCCCCTATGGTGTCCATAGTAGCCCGAGTCACCTTGAGACATTAAACCTTATAAACCAGCCTAATTTACTGGTTCTGTGATTAGCTGGACAACCTAAGCACACTCCTACCACACTAAGTGGGAGAGAAAAATGTTACTTGCATAATATACTGAAACAGCAAGTAAAACTTTCTCGATTCTGCCATATGTTACATCGGTAAGCTAATTTATTGTGTCATTGGCTGACTGCATAGCAGTTGCAATATAAGCCCTTTTTCCATGGTTGCACTGCTTTATATTGTGCCTTCCTTTCTTTGAGTGCAATAGACCCCACAATACATACTAAAAAAGACCATGCTGCAGTGGTCTAGTTGGAAACCAGGATGCACCCTCAACTTACCAAACTGATCCTTGGCAATGATGGGCTCGGTCTTCTCGAGCGGCTCCGACTCGCCAATCTCATTGACAGCCTTCACGCGGAACTGGTAACTCTTCTTGTGCACCAGTTTAGGAACCTTGAAAGTGAGGTTTGGTGTGGTGCCTGCCTCCACCCAAGTGCCACGAGACGTGTCCATCTTCTCAATGAGATAGTGCTTGATAGGAGTGCCACCATCGTCTGCAGGAGCCTTCCAGGTAATGGTGGCTGAGTTCTTGGTCACTTCGGCAATGCCGAGAGGTCCTTGCGGAGCTGATGGGCGATCTGAAACCACAGCAGGCATTAGTACTGATCCTTTTTTGCCGAGTAATTAATACTTTCAGTTTATCTCCGTGACAGGCTGTGCTGAAGCATACTTTATTCAAAAATCTACTCAAGAAATGTGCTTGTATAACTGACACGGGACATTTAATTGTAAATAAAAGCATTTTAAAGTTTCAAGCTACAAAGCCAGCAACTCAGTAAAGAAAGCGAGTGACTAATTTGTGCTCACCAAGAACGGTCACATTAGCAGAGGCTGACGTCTTGCCATGGTCATTCTCCAACACCAGCGTGTACTTTCCAGAGTCAGAACGCACGGAGGATGCGATGTCCAGCAGTGTTTGGCTGGCTGTATTGGTGACCTCGACACGGTTGTCATGCACAGGCTTGTCATGAATTTGCCACTGGACGGTAGGCGCAGGTTCTCCCTTGATGGGCACTGTGAAATTGATAGGCCGTCCAGCCCGTACCTTGATGTCCTTCAGGGCAGCCTTGTCCAGCGATGGAGCCACTGGACATCAAGAGCACAGAGCAACTGAAACATATCTCAAAGCATTGCAGTTTACTATTTTGGAATGTCAGACAGCTAAAGGCTTTTGGCCAAGACCAAAACACACAGAGCAGGCTAGAGAATCTTGACTTCCTCACTATAATACATCCACTTAGATACTTTTTAAATTTTAAAATTTACTGAAATTTAGAGATGTTGTAAACGAGGTGCTACAGTTATTACTTTTGTATGCTGCAAGATCTTCATGTCGTAGGCTGTGCTTACTTCACGAACAGAGTGAAAATACAAAACCACTAAGAAAGGAAGACACAACATAAGTGCCGTTGTGCTGCATGTTCCTTTCATAGTTCTTGATGCTGTCTTGCCGTTAGTGAAAGAAAACATGCATTTGCACTGGCTTGCCTGATAAGCTACAGTTGTATAGGCTATGACGCTATATATTAGGCGTCATAGCCATATATATTGCACTGACCAAATATTTGGTCAGTGCAATCAATCTTTTCATACGACTATTTACAGCCTGCAGCACTAGGCTTACATAGGTACAGTCCACAGGTCTGCTTATCTCATAGGTCCTTTGGAATTCGAAATAACCCACACTTACACTTTCGGGGCTTGGCAACCACCGACTTTGATGGATCGCTCGGCTCGCTGGGTCCGGCCTTGTTGAGGGCGATGATTCGGAACTCGTACTCCTCGCCTTCCTTCAAGTGAGGCACAGTGGCCTTGGTGGCATCGCCAGGGACGCGAGCGGCCTCTTCCCACAGCGGGCTGCCCTTGTTGCGTTTTTCGACAACGTACCCCGTGATCGGAGCACCACCATCACGTGGAGCACGCCACTCAAGGTCTACGTGGTCGGCGTCCCAGTCGGTGACCTCCGGAGGTGCTGGTTTGTTGGGTTGGTCTGAAGCAGTGTGATCAACATTTTTATTAGTCATAGAACTGTGAGTAATTTGGACATTAAGATTTTAAAGCACTCACAGATTGAAGCACAACATCAAAACTTCCTAGTATAGAAACTGGCATGCGCTCTTTCTTGTGATAACTGTGTCAGGCCATTACAAATCTGGCTGCTCAAGGCGATCCTGGGCCTCACTGAAGTGTAAAAGCCAACTCTACAGTGATGGGACATGCACAGAAGACTGCAACAAAAATATTTGTTCTTCTTACTCGTAACTTGTAAAGTTTCAATCTTTGAGTGCTGTACCTAAAATCCTAAAGCTTGTCATAGTTACTGACCCAAGAAACAAATATTTTTCTTTGAATTAAAAAGTAAAAAAAAAGTATCATATGCTGGCAAACAAAGCATACTTTGCATGAGCAGAACATGAAGGTGATTAACTGAAGTTCAAGATTGAAGATATGCTGCACCATGGCTGTGAATTATCTACAGTTGCGCATTGTCTTTGTTTTAATCTACTCAGCCCATATGTAGGGTATAATATTGGATAGCATCTAGTTAACCTCTATACCGTTCTCTCTCTCTCTGAACTAAAAAAAATGTGTTGAATTGGTGGAAATTCATTTTTTTCCACAATCTGCTTTACAGCAGGCAAGCTTTCGAGAACAAGCAAGCTAGTTCTCATGCTCAAAATAAATGCTCATTTTTTTTGCCAGTGTACGAGCTACTTTTTAAAAAAGTGAATCACTGTATGTGTAACTGATACTGCATCTTTTTTTTCTCAATATTGCATCATTCAACTTGGAGTACCGTACATATAAAACTGTTTTTCATAACACAAATTCTTATCCTCATTTTTAAGGTAAGACCATGCTGTCCTCAGCGTGTGGCATGGCTATTGGCATTTATCATTTGGAATTCTTGGATGTTAGGGATACATTACTACGCAACAATGGGAAAGCTATGCACACGTGCAATTGAGGTCACAGCCATACTGTGTTAAAAAAGGCAAAACAAAGCACAGCTCAAGCATGCAAACTCTTTGCTGCTAAAAACGGTGCCTAGCATTAGCCTTACCAAGTTCTGTTGAACTTAGCTGTAAGCTTTGAGAATAGTGTGATAAATTTTCTAAACAGCACAGTGAAGCTCTTGTTTGCTCACCGAATGGATTCTTCGCAGTGATGGCATCCTTTGTGGTTGCGTACGGAGAATCGCCCTCCTTGTTCACCGCCTTCACCCGGAAGTGATACTGATGCTGGTTGGCCAGGCGTTCAGCCTTCACTGTGGTGCCCATGGTTTCGGCAACAGGTGTCCAGATGCCAGAGTCCAGATCCTTCTTCTCCACAACATAATGCAAGATGTCGCAACCACCGTCATCCTTTGGAGGCTTCCATGATACTTCGCAGTTGTCCTTTGTGATCTTGTCGATCTTGATCAACTGCGGTGCCTGAGGCACATCTGCAAGAAATAGGTTTCCATATCAGAACATGCTAGATGTTGTTTGCAGTGTTTGTATTAGCACAGGTTTACTTGTCTAGTGTATTAAACTGTAGTATTAATAAAGAGGTATATTTACTGTCTAGTGTCTAATTAATAAAAAAAAAAGATAAGCGCATAAGCATGTGAAAGTGTGCATATTAAGAGATTGACAATGCCAGAGAAAAAATTCAAATAAAGTGCAATGACTGAAACGAAATATTACAATGCATATCTAAAAGTGCGGCTCCTTTCAGTTACCACAATCAAGTTTTTATTCTGTGATGTGTTCATGCATAACAACAACTGTGTAATTTATTTAAGACATCTTACTTTTACATACTTCAACTGTGTAATGATACTAACAAACTAACTGTACACAGTAAAATGTTCGACTATATTTCTGAATGCACACTTGATATTATATGCTCAAATACTACTGTATATCAAACACATTTGCTTGAAATGCTTGTGCACAACTGGATTATAGCATTGCTGCATCAAAGCAAAATAAACACTGGCTGAAACAGTAGCAGTCTACTTTTTGCTCTGAAACACTGCAAAATGAACACATACAACTGGTACTTTCTGCAGTGCATTAACATGGGAGGGGTCATGCAGTAAACATGGTGCTCACCCATAACAACGACATTGACTTTAGCGGTGTCTGTGCCATTGGGATTGGTTGCCGTCAGGGTGAGGGTGCCACTGTCACCACGTTCAGCATTGCGCACAGCCAGCTTGGTCTTGTAAGGTTCATGCGAGATGGTCCAGCGCTTGTCGTCCTCTATGCTCTTGCCCTCCAGGGCCCACTTCTTGTTTGGTGGTGGCTCACCAAGAACGGGCACTTCAAACTCGAAGCTCTTTCCAACCTTGATACGGATGTCATGCAGAGCAGTGCGATCGATTCTTGGAGCCACTGTAAAAAAATAAAACAAGACACAACACCACACAATTGTGATACACAGCTACAACAAGTACGGCTACAACAATACGGCCACAATAATATGGCTACAACGTACCGCTACAATACAACAATACGGCTGCAACACACCGCTACAGCATAACACTACAAAATATGGCTACAACATATGGCTACAACATACAGCTACAACAGAAGGTGTCAGCACTTGTCATCTATATCAATGGTATGTTCCGTCTAGATAGGGTTCTGTGATGGGTGGCTCTACGACAGTTTTGGCAACTTTATGCTAATCTTGTTGATGTCTTAACTAGTCGTTGTTGCAATGCGATTCCGACAACTAGAAAATGAATTCATTTGTACTCAGCAGAAGAACTGAAAGCGATATCTTTAGAGCATGGCCGCAGGCATTTTAGTGAAATTGAGGGCTACTAGCATTTAATACATTAATTTCAGGTCAAAAACAACATGCTTTCACTTTCACTTGCAGCTGTAAGCTGCAGCTCATGAATAAGTGAATGCTTTTTCAAGGCTTTCTAAGCTTAGAAAAAAGCATCTCAGGCGGTCAAAATGTAAGAACAAATTACATTGCCTTAACCTTGCACAGTATTTAAGTAAACATTGTTAGTTCACTCTTTTATACAACTTTTATACATGTTAGTTCACTCTTTTAGACACACTGGGGAAGAAACTTTCCTCTGTCTGTTTTACCCTGACCAAAGCTCGACAGCATTTTGAAACTGATATCTTGCGCACCATCTACTTCTCTCTGTTCCAATCTCAGATAACATATTGCATCGAGTGTTGGGGATTCACCTATCACACATGCATCAAGCACATAATATGCCTACAAAAGATAGCCTTGAGAATAATAAACCATGTTCCCCCTCGTACACCCTCTCAGCCTCTATTTTCCAAAACTGCAATAATGCCCGTGCTTACGCTACGAGATTATCGTATAACTCTCTTGGTATATAAAATAATTTGTAACAACTTCCCCTTTTCTAGAACTATTTTCCAAACACCAGGTAAAAGTAGTCGCTCTGCCTCCGAAGGCAAATTTTTAATCCCTCTCTCTCATAACACATACAAACAACGCCGTCTCAAGTACGCCGGGGTTAAAGTTTGGAATGATCTCCCGTCATCCGTCTTACAATCAACCAGGGTAGATCAGGCTTTAAAAGACTTTTTCTTGCATCACACAACATCCAGCTTATCGAAGAAAAATTGAAAATAACATCAACTTATAATACCTTGTACATGTTTTTCCTACTGCTGCTCTTTTGGGGACGACGATAAAATTTGCAGCCTCTACCACTGACGGTGTACTGCAGTCCTGACGTGTGGTCTTCTGTATGTGTGTTATTGCAATGAGAACTATACACAGCTGTCTTATTCATAGTTTTTGTATAAACCGAGCGTTTGTTTTTAGCACTGTAATTTATCTTGAATATGTCTTTCCTATTCATACACATGCTTTTTATGGACAATTTTTTGAACACCTGTATATACTACATTTCCCCCCAAACATGTGGTTGTACATACATAGCCCCTGATTCATTTGTATTATGTTTTTAATGGATCCATTACTAGCCAATAGGCTAAGGATCCAGACATTCATGCATGTATTTGGTGAAAATGAAAAAGAGACAATAAACAATCTTGAATCTTGAATCTTGAACTGTCTGCAATGCAAAGAATTGTGGTCACCAAACAACAAAGATGATATTTAACATTTAAAAACCAATATGTAGGCTTGTGCGAATGGTGTATTTTAAGTTTGATGCGAATTCGAATAGGATATATCACATGTTATGAATAAAAATGGCCATATTTGCCATGATGCAACTAACCTGCACAATATTTTTTGAGCAAACCTGTGCAAATGTCATTATTTTTGTTTCACACGAAGTGGAAAAAACATTGAATAGTAGCTGGATTCGACTTTCAATAGAATGCAAAAGATAACCTATACAATGTGAAATTTGGTGACGAACCACTCCGATTCAGGAGATGCTCAGACAGAACTATTGCCGGATATTTAGGCCAGGCTGATCCTGCCTATTGAAACACCACTACTTACATCACCACTATATGTTACATTTTAAAATTTACTATACCTTGAGCATATTAGCCGGTATAACAAGCTTTTAAACTTAAGAAGTTATGAATCGGAGCGACAACAATATGTTGGGACTTTGAGGCAATGCGGGTTTCCCCTTGACAGATGTTTTCATGACTTAGCATTACTTCATAACAGTGAAACCACTTTTACAAGCAGTTACATGCAAATTATTATACATTTAAGTAGCTGCTTTCACAGCTTGGCAATTCTTCACTGCAATAAAAACACTTTTACAAAAAGTTACGAGCAAATTACAATGCTTATTTTCATTTCAAAATTTTCAACAAGTTAAATTTGAATCAAAGTGAATTCAAATAAAGTAATATTCATTCGAATATTTGAAGCATTCAAATATTTCCACAAGCCTACCAATATGTATTCCTTGTTTACAAGAGGTTGTACTGAAGACATTTAAGAACAATTGTCAGTGAAAAGATTTATCACGAATTGTACATTGCTTCTCTTTGAGTCAAGCGAAAACTCACTGTTTTTAGGGCGGGCAACATGTTGTCCAGTGGACTCGCTGGGAACTCCTGGACCACCCTTATTGACTGCCCTGACACGGAACTCGTACGGAGTACCTTCGATGAGATCACCAACCTTAGCCTTAGTCTCATCTGCTGGAACTTCCATGACTGGTGTCCAATCAGGACTGTAAGAAAGATGAAATACAATTCTTTTGAAGGCAGTCACTGCGAAACTCGTCGTAATTTTTACTCGAATAATGAACTCCACGAGACATGCAATTCGCAAATTGAAATTTCAAGCCCATCAAGATGCAGGTGTTTGCTTCTTTAACAATTTGCAATGCCTAAAGTTATACACGCATACTACTCAATTCACAACCCTTCACAAATTTGTTGAACCTGATATTGGGCTTTTGTGTACACTCAGTCTAGGGAATGTTAGCCACCACAATTCATAACCAAGGCAGTGAGTGTGGAACACACTTGCATTTTTTGCAGGATACTGTTACGCAGCACATCGACCATAAATACCCAACAAAACTTATGAAGAAATGCTCACCAAAGTAGCTCAATTAGTAGAGCATTGGATCGGTAATTAAAAGGTTGTAGATATAGGTCCCACCAACAGCAAGGTGTTTTTTCGTCCAGTTTAATATGTTTGCATTCATGTCACAAATACTACACTACAATAAAAACTATATATCTCATTTCCTTCACTTAATTGTTTGTTGGCTTCATTAAGCTGTGACAAACAGTGATGTATCAAGGAACAAAAGTGGGGCATGAGATTTTGATGGCAGGCGTTCATAAAAGCTGAACTGTTTGAGCCTTTGGTCCAGTTGAGACTGGAGGAATCACAAAAATTACATTCTGATAAGACTCCAAGTACAATAAGTTCTTCTGTTTGATTAAATTTCTTCACTAGATTTCCTTCAAGGCATTGACAGAAGAAGGCCTACAACATTCCCAGTATGTCAATATGAGCGATACATGCAATGCACACTCCACAAAAAAGCATATGATAAATCTCACTTGTATTTATCCTTCTTCTCAATGACGTAGCCTGTGATAGGTGATCCTCCGTCATTTTCAGGTGGTGTCCACTTGAGCTTCACAAAGTCCTTGTCGTAATCCTCAATCTCTGGCTTGCCGGGACTGCCAGGTTCATCTTGGGAAAGAGAAAAAAAGAAAGAAATTGTTTTGTTTTGGCAGCTGTGAGCAGAGAGTAAAGAGTGGCCCAAAGCGAAGTGTGCTGATGATTATACAGCTTGCCAATATCAAAAGATAATTTCAAGATTAAGTTATTTTCAAACAATTCAATGGCTTGGACAAATGCTGTGAAATTCTATCGGAAGGCAATAATAAAAATATGAAAACAGTAATGATGCAGCTTAGTGGCAAGTAGTCAAAGCCAGCCTACAAAAATACTTGTACTACAAAAAAAGACCATGAGGCATATTGCTGACTTCGGTTATGGAGCACACACTGGAGAGTTTTTTTTTTTTCTTTAATATATTATTATCCGAGTTACCAGTACTTCTGGACATCGGCTATAGCATTGGTCTAGATCCTCACCACCTCTCATAATGGAGTCCTTGATATCTTTAGCTAGTTTAACTTTAAAAGACAAATCTGTTTGTACTAGCGAAGCCGATAAATGAACTGTTCCTCATAAGAGAATTGGCAACGGAAATTAGACCATCTCATTTCTCCTGTCAATGATTTCAAACGAATATGAAAAAAAAAGAAGTGATAGTCACCTACTTACCCTAACCCATGGAGAGCATAAAAAATATTTTGTAAGGTACTACAGTTTAGAGGTCTCTTTTTTTTATTTCTGTGTGTACTTCTTTTTTTGTTACAACTTGCACGGGTCTATTCTTTTATTTCTTGTAAGTTACATCTTTATTGCAATTATTTCAATTTTCGCTTGCTGACTGCATTTAGTTTCTTGTGTCATATATGTAACATGAACGTATTTCTGTTGGACGTCAGGCACATTTAAGCCACAGCTTTGTAGCTTTTGGTCTGGGGTCCATTCACCTTTCTGTACGGTAAAAATAGGGACAATTACATAAAAAAAAACTGTAACAGCCTGAGGAAAATGTGGGCAGGCTGTTTAATGAGGGTGAGAAAAGTAACAAAAAAGTGGCTATCCCTTGCGAAAATGTGAACAGACTAAACAAAAATAGCGTAATGTGATAAAAGGATGCAGAATGAAATATCAATACTATCCATGGCAAATAATTTGAAAGAAGGCTAAATGTTCAAACATCTGACATTACTTTGAAACCGATTGGTGAGTGGCACGTTTTGTAAGAGAAGTGATGTTGCAGGTGTGCATGCGATGTCAGCTGCAGAGCATGTATGCCCATTTCTAAATGACCGATTGGCAACTGTTTGAAAGTAATTGAAAGGAGCACTTGACTAATGTCAAAACAGAGGGTAGGAACAGAACACAAAAATGGCATTTATCATTCATAAGAAGATTACCGAATGGATTCTTGGCAACGATGGATTTGTCAGCCTCGAGGGGTTCAGACTCTCCTTGGCGGTTGGCAGCCTTGACTCTGAACTTGTAGGTCTTGCCTGGCTGCAATCCCTTTACCTGCATGGCATGTAATGAAGAGATATAAGAAACCCGCTATGCTACTAACAAGCTAAAATTATGTAGCCGTTGTGAGGCCGCACATTCTATTATTTAAGAGAAGTACGCTACATATTATGCACATAATGACACGCAGCTTAGATGCTTAGCAGCACTTTTTAATTTAGCAAACACATTATAGAGCAAATTACAAACAGTTAGCTGAGCACCTCTGCTCAGTGTGGCTACCTATCTGCATAAGCAATTGCTTTTCCTTGCTGCTGTTATTGAGTACTGCTGTGGCTACACAATTAAACTTGATTAAGCCCTCTGTCACTTTTAGATCACAGAAACCTTACTAAAATCTACCTAAGAGAAAATTTTTTAGAATGAAAAAAAAAACATTTTTTTGGAAAGCACGCAGCTTTAAATTTCTAAGCATGGTGCAGCGGTTATTCAGAAATGCTAAAGCAACATATATATTAGAGCTGTCCTGCAAAAATTCTGCTCTTCTGTTATTTTTCTTTTCAACTACATTGATACATAAACTGATTTCCCATCGATAGCGTGTACCTCAGAAGCTACTACGTCTGTAAGCCTTATGATATTATGTTAATGATTAATATTTTCAGTATTATGCCTAAAACTTTAAATGCTTTGTGGTCCATATTGGTGAAATGAAACACCACACTTTCGTGTTTAAAGGCGTTTTTCTTGAACTGCAGATGGGCAGCAAGCAACCAACCTTCATCTGAGTCTCAGGCCCGATGGTGTCACCAGCTGGGACCCACAATCCTGTATTGGGATCCAGCTTCTCAACAACATAGTGATCAACAGGCATGCCACCGTCGTCCACAGGAGGATTCCATTTGAGTGTGCAACCCTCCGCATGGACGTCTTCAATCTTGAGAGGTCCTCCAGGAGGTGTTGGTTTGTCTGCACAAAATGCGGCCATTCCTCAGGTTCATGACAGAAACTGGTGAACACAGTTCTGACATTTTCAGTCTAAAAAGAAGAAAAGCACTTTGAATATGCCACTACCATTTACAAGGAGAAACAAAAAAAAGGGGGGATACCTTAGATTCTATTACACTAGGTGTAGCATGATGATCACCAACACAATGTCACATTTCGAAGTGCGTAAATCGCTAACGGAGTATAACATTTTGAAGTGAACTTAGAAAAGTCCTTGTTGATGTAATGTTGCTTCAACAGGCAGCTGTAATTTTTTTGATATGGCAGTCTACTAGTATAACAAACAAATATACAAGTATGCATTTTCCTAAGCTTTGTACTGATAATCAGTTTCATCTGCCATGGTGGTGCCATGGTTACGGTGGTCCGCTGCTGACCCCACAGGAGTGGAATTGATCCCAGCCATGACGGTTGCTTTTCGATGGAGGTGAACTGCTAAAGGCCCATGTACTATGTGAAAACCTCATGTATTCCAAAGCCCTTTACTACAGTAAACCTCAAAATAGTCTTGTGGTTTTGGCATGTAAACGTTCAGAAATTATATACACTGTCACATGGTTGTAACAGTGAAGAAAGCAGGATTCAGTCGGTAAAGATGAAACACTTTGTTGGGCAAACTTGTGTCTGGTAAAAGAAATACTAAAAGTACAAGCAACAATCGCTGTACATTAATAACAGCAGAGCACTGACGTCAGGCATCGACTAAGCAGCTTGTCTGTGAAGAGCGTAAACTTTTATAGATGCCTAATAGAACCTTCCAATGTTACCACTGGTGCTCGTGCTAGGTCTAGAATAAACCTGGGTACTCATGTTCTATGCGTAATCTCAACAGAACTAGTCTGACATGGTCGCGATTTCCGAACATTGTGGCACAGTCTGAGATGAGCAGTGGTAGTAGGTTGTGAGTAGGGCGCAATTGCATTGAAATAAATGAAATAAGTGCATGTGGCAATATAATCGTTTTTCTGAAATGTCTCTTGAAACACTGACTCACCAAGAACAATGACTTCGACATCAGCGACATCCTTGCCGTGCTCGTTGACAGCTGTGATGGTGTAAGTGCCACTGTCGGCGCGCTGAGCATGCCGCACATTCAGCTTGGTGTTGTAAGGAACGTTGGTCAGCTTCACGTGATCCGAAGGGAGCACCTTCTTGCCCTTCAGGGTCCAGGTGACCTCTGGTGGCGGCTCACCAATGACATTGACGTCAAAGTTGAAGTTCTGGCCAGCCTTAATGCGCACCTTGTCCAAGTTGGTACGATCAATCTTGGGTGCCACTGCAACAGCAAATCAAGAAAAAAAACAGACTGTCACCACTACTGGACTGAGTGAGGTGCAACTGCAGGATCTTATTTAATGTCGAATTAGTTTAAAATTTCCTGTTAAAAGTGCCAATTCATCATGCTCCATGTCTACCAACCAACATTAATGACTACTGAGAAACCCTCCACACTCGTCTTATTGAAGTTTTAATTCTGTGATGCAGCCTCACAATGGAAGCAGCCAAAAAGCATGAAGTTAGATGCCAACATGCCACCTAGATCACCATAAAATTTCTTGCCCGCATAAGTGGAATTTGAACAGTCGTTGCTGCACACACAAATCTTAAGGTGGGAAGGGCTTGTCAGACATGCATTCCTTTTACCTTGGGTCATCTTTGAATGGCCCTGACTAGGCAGTAACACATTTTGAATATTACATGAAGCTAGTGTGCAATGTGGACTGGTCTAGTTAACGTGTTGGAGAGATCGAGCATACTTGCCAAACAAAAAGCCGTGATTGTTACCCCTGTCACACATCACATATACACTCGAACCTCATTATAACAAAGTTGCATTTTGCAAGAAAACAAGTTTGTTATATCTGATGATTTATTATAAACATCATTCTAGTATTTAATGCAAGGGTATCTCTCATTTACTTCGTTATAACTAATATTTTGTTATACCTGTGTTTGTTATGTTGAGGTTTGAGTGCTTATTAATTTCAGTGTGGGGCACCTTACTCATTAGACCAATTATGTTTCTTATGGAAGCACAAACACATATGTAATGTAATTCACAGTAAATGAAACTCATTTTAAATGTCCTTGCAGTCCTATGTTCCTAGTTTATACGGGTGTGTACAAAATAGCATTCACAATTTATGTCGGTGTTTGTCATCAATGCAGTGCGATTTTTGCTTGCCATCGATGAAACTGTTGAGTTTGCTTCCTATACCTGGCGGACAGAAACCGCATGTGAAACTCTGACCTTACTACCACATTACCTCACCAAAACAACATGGAGAAATTTGAAAAAGACACCACACCTGCTAGGAAAGTGCAGCACAGTCACAGTGAAAGCTGGAAGAGTTGATTTTCTAGAGACACTTCTAAACTCTGTTCAGGCTGCTAATACAAGTACACTTACAAGGTACTGTCTACACTATAAATCATAATTTTTGCAAAGTATAGGAACATCCAATGTGCCATTAATTGTCATTCTGCGAGGAGTACTGCACATGTGACACACATGTAAGGCATTATGTGCACTTTATTGATGCCGTGGCTGATGACGAAGAAGTCTGGCTGAGCCTTTTGTAATGAATTCAAAGCATTCAACGACACACTAGTAACGCAATTCGCATCGTGTGGTGCCTGGTTGCTATTTTATTTTTCTACCAGGCGCAGTTACATATGTCAACATCAATCCTTTCTGACATGAAGGCTGGATCGGGTCTTTTTGCGAAAGAGTTACAAGCAGCGGCTGTGATAGAATACTAGGGCCCAGGTTTGAGCTTGTTCCATACCGAATATTTTCTCTCACTTCATTTTTCTCATTATTTCACGTCATATCAGTTATGAACACTGGCGGACAACTGTGGCACCAAAAAAAAAAAGCTGTGTTCTGATCGCATTACGTAAAATGGCCTTAACACCTAATCACACTCACTGCAATTGCACGCGATGTGTGGCAGTGGCATATTTTTTTTTCTCAACAGCAGATGTGATCACGAAACGTCTAGAAACATGTCTTAAATTAACTCACGCTTGCGTGGCTTCGTAATTATGGGTAGTGTGGCATCACTGGGCTCGCCCGGTCCTGCCTTGTTGACGGCTATGACACGGAACTCGTACGGCTGGTTGGCTGCCAGGTCTCCCACCGTGGCCTTCGTCTGGCTGGCAGGCACTTCAGCGGCCTTCTCCCAGTTGCCCCACTTGTCTTTCTTTTCAATGATGTACTTCTCCACCGGAGCGCCACCGTCGTTCTCAGGCGGAGTCCACTTGAGGTCCACGTGGTCCTTGTCCCAGTCGGTTGCTTCGACATTGCCCGGCTTGCCAGGCTCATCTAGTGAATCGGAGCAAACGCAAGTGTGAGAACTGGTGGTCCCTCAAGCTTCACCTTTAAGAGTCGAACACGATAGATATATCCTGTGTCTAGTGTGTACTTCAACCTTTTATTACATGCTTTTTATTGTATGATGTTACTTGAAAAGCTTAAATTATGCATCAATACAGTATAGTTGATAAGGTTGAAAGTGGTTTGTGTCGGTGAAGCTTTTGCACATGGCAGAATTATGTTTAATGGATAGCATGCTTTAAACGACAAGCAATTATGTGCAACAAGCAATTATCTTTTCAAACTTGCTATGCACCCACCTCTTGGTTTTAAGGAAATAAGCGCACTAGCATGTCTTTTGTAATGGGTAACTAGCTTTAAACCACTAAGTCGTAATCATAATCATATTTTCTGATGCCCAACGACAATGTACGCTTGTACCACTTACGGTAATATTACTGCGATATTAAATGTTGTATTGCCAGCCTGCATACAGAATGCGCGTGTTTGTAAAGCGTGAATGTTATTTTCACTGCATTTTAAAGCAGACGCACAGCTATGTAGCAGTACGCCTGCTTGCCGCACAAACGACCTGGGTTTGATGCTCACTTGAACCCGGAAAATTTTTTTTTGCATCTTCCTCGATTTTTCGGTCACACAAAAGAAATGATAATTCTTTGCTGACAACCAACGATGCAGGTGCTGGAAATTCTGCGAAACGAGCTTTTTAACGTTAATGCATTAACATCGGTATGGTGCACCTTAGTCATTAGACCGATCATGTTCCTCATCAAAGCACAATTCCTTCAAGAAACAAAACTTATTCAAGGTTTAATGCTTGGAAAATATCAACAAAACAGTGCTGAGCACAGGTGTAGCTTTCCCAGTTTGCATGTAAAGAGAAGGGGGCACAATAAATCATCGCAATTGTGATGTTAATGTGCACTTGACCTGTTTACTTACCAAATGGATTCTTGGCAACAATGGTTCCATCCATCTCGAGAGGCTCACTCTCTCCTTCCTTGTTCAAGGCCTTAACCCTGAACTTGTATTCTTTTCCTGGAGTCAGGCCAGTTACATCCATTCCTGCATCGAAGTGCAGTGCCGCCATGAATACACAATATCATCAGCAAGCCAAAAAGCAGCTTGCTGGTACCAGCAAAGAAACAGTGGGTACGCTGCTGAAACCAGTGGGTAGCCTGCCGGAACCAGTGGACGCTCTGCTGGAATCAGTACAACCAGCAGAAAACCAGCAGCTCATCTGCTGGTTCCATTAGAAATTAGCAACAGCAGAAAACCAGCAGAAAATTTTCATCTGGGAATGCATTACAAAACATCTAAAAGTGCTGGGCCAGTACCAATTGGTCAAGCTCTTAAATTGAAGTTGACAACAGAACGGAAAAGGCATTCTGTGCCATGCTTTCTTTTGTAGATACCACTATATTCTGCTCTTCAATGATCCAAAACGGTAAGTAAGTGAGAACAAAGTAAGAATAACCTAAAGTTTGTTTTATTTGCATGTTGATTTGTGTCTATGGTATAACTTGGCAAAGCTGTGGAACTTATAACAGTGCCAAGATTAGAATATGATAAACTCGCAATTACGACCAAGTATTAACAAACGGAGTTATCTTGGCTTACCAGGCTCCTTGGTCTTGCCCACAGGAACCCAGACACCAGTTTCAGGGTCCATTTTTTCCACAAGGTAACCATCAAGTGGCATGCCTCCGGTGTCCTTCGGTCGTTTCCACTTCAGCTTGCAACCCTCCTTGTGGACATCAGAGACCTCCAGAGGACCTTCGGGATTTCCTGGGACATCTGCAGCAGACGCACAGCATGTCCTTAGCGATGTCGCAATTCAAACAGTCATAAGGGGTGGCTAAAACTCGTCTTTTTATGCTGTCTTTCTTTAAATTACCTTAATAGAAACTTAATTATTAGGCAGGTTTCTGTAAAACCTTAATCTACGTGCCACCTGCAGGAGCATCGCTAGGATTTAATTTTAGCGGATTTCTCCATAGTTATGTGATGTGCATATACAAGAGTTCTTCCCCATGATGGGCAGTGGCGAAAATGCTGCCCCCGCTCCACTTCACCACACACCACTCTAGATGAACATCCACTGATTCGATTAACCACCTCGAAATGAGTGCCTGAAGAACCAATAAATAATAACAGCGCACGTGCAACACCAATGAGTTGTGCATCCCATCACATGCTTATATGTAAAAAACGAGTTTGAGCAGGCGGCCTTGTGATATCAAAGATTGCCAACTCTAGTGCCAGTGCTAGGAGAGAAGAGCCCTTGCTTCCACTTTTCATCATAGATGCTAGAAATGAGGGACCAGAAATTAAATGTACAGGGGTGCTGAAACACATGAAGTTTGAAAACATGAAATTCTTAAACTTCATATCTTTTTTTTTATTTGGGCATAACACATACAGGGTTTGCCCGCGAGGTAAGGCAAAAGGAGGACCTAAACCCCCTGACTAGGCCATACCTCGCTGGGGCAGCAGAGACAGCGGATTCGAAAGTTGCAATTTCACTAGAACACAATAAGTCAACATGAACATAATCACTAGTACAATAAGAACATGATCGCTAATTACAGTAAGAACGTAATGACAGTAATGATATAGTAACAGCAAGAACATAATCACTAAGCAACAAGAACATAACAATGCAGTGACCAGTAATGCTTATTTACAGTAACACTTAGTACCAATGTTATGCAGTAACCAAAGATATTAACATTTACACAACACATCCAATTCCGAAGCAAGAAACATGTTCATTATTGACTGTTTAAATTCATGAATTGTTTTACAACTTCTGGCTATTTTAACAACATTAGGATATATATTACATAAAGACATAGTTTCATACTCAATGGTTTGCAAACCATAGTTTGTCCTGGCCTTCTTCATTACTATTGATGTGTGGCGTAAACTGTACCCTGTGTCTCGACTGAGGTACCGGTTTGAAAATGTCTCAATGTTGCTGGAAACTTCTTTAAACAGCCGAATGCAAATTTTCGATCTGTAAGAGTTTCTAATGTCAAGGATATTGTAGCACATCATTAATTTAGAAGACCCTATGTATTGATTTGAAGAGTTAAGCAAACGAACAGTTCGAAGCTGTAGTACTGCTAGTTTTTCTATATCGGTTTTGTTTCCGTTCCCCCATACGAATAAGCCATAGCTAAGATGCGAATGTACAAGTGAAAAGTACAGTTGTCTGACGAACTTGACAGGCAGATAGCATCGGATTCGTCTTAGTAGGCCAACAGAGCATGCTACCTTGGTACGGACCTTATTTATGTGCTCTGACCAGCTTAAATTTTTATGAAATATAACACCTAGAAAAGAATGGCTTGTCACATGCTCTAGTTGCGATCCACAGTATAAAAGTTTTACATCGTAGCTTATTTCTTTATTCTTAGAACAAAAACCGTAAACTTTGTTTTCTTTGCGTTTAGGTTAAGCTGATTTACATATAGCCATTGGTGAAGTTCTTTTAACCAAGAATTTGCAGTAACTTCTAGTTCCTGAAGGTCAGCACCAGAAAAAAACACATTAGTGTCATCCGCGTACATGATCGTTTCATCTGTGAGTGGAATGTTTACTATATCATTTATATACGCGATAAACAATCTTCTACCTTCAAACCAATTAAAGTGCTTACCCAGGACATTGACTGTAACTGTGGCTGCATCTTTGCCAGAGCTGTTCGTGGCAGTGATGGTGTACTTTCCAGAGTCACCACGTTCAGCCCTCCGCACAGACAACTTGGTGTTGTAGTCCTCGGTTTCAATGTTGCGATGTGTAGTGGGTTTCAGGGTCTCATCATCTAGAGACCAGACGATGGTCGGCGGAGGCTCGCCCTGGACGTTCACGTCAAACTTGATTGGCTGTCCAGCCTTGATGGTCAAGTCGTGGAGGTTCTTGCGGTCAATGCGTGGTGCCACTAAAATGAGACAAAAAGGCTCTGATTAGTTTATCACCATTACTTTTGTTTTAACATATGAAAAATAAACCTGAAAAATAACAAAAAAAACTCTAGAAGAAGCAAAAGGGACTACCCAGCACGCAATGGAATGAAGAATAATAGGCAAAACTATAACAGATATAAATACAGGAGAGTGCATCAGAGAAAAACCATTGGTACCCAATATACTAGTACATATTAAGAGAAAAAGTAGACCTGGGCAGGTCTAGTTATGAGTGAGGACAGATGGCCAATGGCCAGTTATAGCATCGAAATGGATACCATGAGATGGGAAACACGGCTGAGGATGGCAAAGGGTCAGGTGGAGTGACGAAAATAAGAGATTTGCAGGCGTCAAATGGAATCAGCTTGCGCAAGACTGGGTGCATTAGACATCATTGAGAGAGGCCTTCATCTAGCAGTGGACCTTTCAACCAAGGGCACGGCATTGCAGCTCTCAATGCACACAATTTTACATAGTGCAACAAAAAACAAAAGAACGAGTGGGATTGATTACACTTGAGCTGTACAAATAACTGCGCAAATGTTTCATTCACCCATTCCAATCTCATTCCTGGCTTTGTACATAATGCTGCATCCATATTGTACAAGAAATCAGAAATGAGAGGACGTCTTACGGAATCTTGGCTTAGCCACAACAGGCTTGGAGGCTTCACTGGGCTCTCCAGGACCGGCCTTATTGACGGCGATGACACGGAACTCGTACTCCTTTCCTTCGTCCAAGAAAGGAGCGGTTCCCTTGCACTGGTCGCCGGGTACCTCGGCTGCTTTCTCCCATCGAGGGCTGTTCTTTTCCTTCTTCTCGATGACATAGTGCGAGATGGGAGCGCCTCCATCCTTGTCCGGTGGCGTCCACTTGAGGTCCACGTGGTCCTTGTTCCAGTCCGTGGCCTCTGGCTTTCCAGGAGCCGACGGTGCATCTGTTCAGGTGAAGGAAATAAACAGCAACGTTGCACCTCACAAGAACCTCAGAAGAACACAACAGCGATAGCACAATAAAAGTTAGCCAGTGACTTCACTGCAGCAGACAAATAAAATATGATAATGTTGTTTGGTACATTCTACCCTACCATGCCGTGGCACTGAAAACTTTTCATTGAAGGCTAGTTTAAAGTGGCAGAACTGATGGCATGCTACATATATGTTGCAGGCACGGTCCCAGATAACCAAGACACGCCCTTAGCATCTTTTTGCTTCCCCTGAGGAGCGTTTTGCACATCTATGATCAGGAGGCCTTGAATGCGCATGCTTTGTGCTAGTTCTTTTGCTGATATGCAACACCTACAGTCTGTGTCAATGTTAAGCAACTATAGGTGTGTCTGCATTGTTTAAAATTATGCAAGCCTGATGATGGCCATACATTACTGTCTTCAGAGGCAAGGAAACCTGTCAAGCAAACCTGTCAAGCACAGTGCTCATACATACATTGCTAAAATGGATGTTATGTGGCTCTTTCAAGTAAGCTGTAATGCTGAAGTACGAATTCATAGTAATCACTGTTTAATTTTCACAGTAAAAGGAAGAGATAATTTCAACGGTGTAGTATAGGCTGTAACATTTCAAGAACATACAAACCACGATTCTAGAGATAGATGGCGCGACTTACCATACGGGTCTTTGGCTGTGATGGGAATGTCAGTCTCCAGAGGCTCCGACTCGCCTTCCTTGTTGACAGCCTTGACACGGAACTTGTAGTCCTTGCCAGGAGTGAGCCCCGTGACTTGGAACTCGGGCAAGTGGCTCGCGCCAATGGGAACCCATGCACCCGTGTCCGGATCTTGTTTCTCCACCACATATTTGGTGATAGGCTCACCACCGTCATCCTTAGGCTTGTTCCAGGCCAGTTTGCAGCCGTTCTTGGTGACATCAGACACCTCCAAAGGACCCTCAGGTTTCGAGGGTTTGGCTGCACACACATTTTATTTTTGTTCTTACATCAGGTACAAAAATCTAAAGCAGATATCAGACATTTTGTTATTAAAAACTTCCACCCAGGGGCTCGTAAAAATGGCCTGTTCATCTTAATCTTCATCTGTACTTTAGTCTCTTTCGTTTTAATCATTCAACACAAAAGACAGGAAGTATCCAGCAATGGAAACTGTATGAGTACATAAGTCGCTTATGTTACTACTTCATCAAAATTAAATTAATTACTGTCACCTGTGAGAACAAGGCCTTAAACACTTCTGCGAACTTTGCTACAGCAACTCATTACAGGAGCGAGTGCGCATCATATTCACTGTCATGCACTGGGACAAAGACGGATACAGCACTTTTGTAGCTTACAAAACCTGTTTGAACAATATAACTGTGCCAAAAAATGTTCAAATGACAAAAATGAGTAGCTCACAGATGACGTTGACCTCCACTTCAGCCTCGTCTGTTCCGTACTGGTTCGAGGCAATGATCTTGTAGACACCATTGTCTTTCCTCTCGGCACGGTCGCAGGTCAGTTTCGTGTTGTACGGAACATTTGTGATGCTCAGTGTGGGACGTTCAGCCACTGGCTTGGATCCAAGCATCCAGCTGATGCTCGGGGGCGGTTCACCTTGAACCTTCACATCGAACTCAAAGTCTTGACCGACCTTGATAGTGATAGGCTTCAGGCTGCGGCGGTCAATCTTGGGAGCCACTGCAGAAAATATCAAGGACAGGTGTTAATGAATTCGAACCTTATAGTGTACACACGAATATAATGCCTAATTAAAGATTTCTAGAACGCATGATGGAGCACTGGAGTAATTCACTTATAGTTCTCTTTCAAGTTCAAAGTGAACAATAACTATTTAGTGACAATTCAATGACCTGCAAACATTTATTAATGACACCTAACAGGTAATCATGCCAAGGAAAGTATAGGGAATGTTAAATGAGGTGATTGTAATGTAAATGTAAAGAAAGAAAAGTGAATGAAAAGATAACTTGCTGATGGCCAGGGATTGAACCTGCGAAATTCGAATAACATGTCTGATGCTCAGCCAACTGAGCTAACAGGGCAGCTATCCCCGCAGCCACTTTATTGGATACATATATGTGAATGCAGAAATAAGCAGTGTTGTTGTAGACAAATCATAGAAAATAATAGACAGTAGTATTATCAAGCTTAAATGCAAAATAAATGCTTCATTAGATTTGATAAAAACAAATTGCAACTGCGCTCTTTACAGAGACAAAAAGAAGTGAATTACAATTAATAATAGCTACATATCATTACTTAGATCATAGATCAGTAAGAACCATGCATTAAAATTTTGCAATGTCCCAAAAGGTAGCCTGCAATGTCCTTGCATTCAGTTTCAAGAGAGGAAAAAGAATATCCAGCAGTTCCCACGCATTGTGGGAATCTATTTTTATGACAAGCAGTCAGCAAACAGAAGCCTATGCTGGATTTTTCACTTTGAGATAAGTGTTACGAGACAACTCAATGACTATGCATTGAGTAGCTGTGCACATAGTGTGTGCTTACCGAGCACGTCAAGTACACTGGAATTTACACGGTAGCAGATGGTCCAATATATTGGAAGAATTTTCTTTATATAGTCGTCTAAGCAATAGTGTAAGAGACCCACAGAATTTTTCATCCCTTGCAAAACAGCTTTACTGAGCAACATGTACATATGACATTCTTTGAGGCCTTGAGTTTTTTTCAGGTTGGCGACAATATTTACGTCTCATGGAGCCTCTTACTTTTACATCTTGCAGAGCTCCACAATGCTGATACACCATAACTGGACAGCAGAAAATGTGCAACGTGATGATAAAACACAAAAAAGCACTCACATTTTCTAGGCTTGGCAACCATAGGCTTGGTGGTGTCCGATGGCTCTCCGGGGCCAGCAGCATTGACAGCTCGAACGCGAAACTCGTATGTCTCGCCAGGAATGAGGTCGGGCACGCGGGCCTCACAGGTTTTTCCATCCACTACAGCCGCCTTGGTCCAGACAGGGCTGTCTTTCTCTTTCTTTTCCACAATGTACTTTTCAATAGGGGCACCACCATCTTTGAGTGGGGGCTGCCACTTCAGGTCCATGTGATCTTTGTCCCAGTCTGTGACTTCTGCTCCCGTTGGTTTACCAGGCGCGTCTACATGGTGAAGGGAATGCAATCAAATGCAGTACTAGATGAGGAAATGATATAAACTGGGCCTGAGCGAATATACTAGTACTTTGCAGCTTAGGCATGCTATGCAGTGAAACTGTCTACTCAAAAAAAAAAAAAAAAATCTACGCTGCCACAAAGCTACACTTCGTGGTTAAGTGTGCATACTACCTGCACCCTGTTGTTCACCTTTTTCTCATGTTTAGAAGTGTTATCTGACATACACGGGCTGAATAAGGCAAGCCTTAAAATGCAACATAGTATTTTGCTGCCCACAGCCTGTGCCCTACTACAAATAAAATCCCGCTACTATTCAAATTCATTTAAAAATTATTTTATACTAATTATTGTTCACTTCAAGTTCACTTCAAACCAAAGAAGTGAACAGAAAGGCAGCCATTCAGACTGAAGGCAGAAACAGAAGTCTTGAAATGAATGAATGAATGAATGAATGAATGAATGAATGAATGAACGAACGAACATTACCATAGGGATTCTTGGCGATGGTGCCCTTCTCTGTCTCGAGTGGCTCCGACTCTCCCTCAGGATTGACGGCACGCACCCGGAACTTGTACTCTTTGCCTGGCTCCAGGTTGTTGACCTCCATTTCGGGCTTTGTGGGCCGACCGATGGGCACCCAACGTCCAGTATCGGTGTCCATTTTCTCCACCACATAGCCATCAAGCGGCTGCCCACCGTCGTCTTTTGGTGGGTTCCACTTAAGCTTGCAGCCTTCGGCATGTACATCTGTCACCTCCAAAGGTCCCTCGGGAGGTGTGGGTTTGTCTGTAAAAGGAACGCCACTTTGGCTTAGTGATTGTCTGAGAGAGAGAGCAGTTTGTCGGGTGGTTGAAGTGATGCCGATACTTGCAGCACATGTACATACTCGCAACATATCACTCCAGTTTTTCGCGATTTCTCATTCTCACCCACCCTATGCCTTTCGTAATTACTGTCTTTGAGAGCAGTGGTTTTTTGATGATAAACTACTATCTGAAACCACGGTCTGTCCTTATATAACAGTGTTCAGCTTTATATAGTGCAGAGAACCCATGCATAGAAACTGTTTTCTCTTTGTGGAAAGAAGCCGACTTCAATGATTCCCTTTGCCTCGCTGGCAATATGACCCATTGGTTAGAAGCAAGGTTTATATTGTACGATACATAAAGAGATGCGGGTTTTGTTCAGGGCAATTTTTAGGTATAACTTCAACTTTGATTCACACATGGCTTGCATTGATAGATCCTGCCCAAACTTACCTAGTACTGTGATCTTGACGGTAGCCTCATCTTTTCCAGAGGTGTTTTCGGCCACTAACTTGTACTCCCCTGTGTCCTTGCGCTCTGCATTGTGGATGGTGAACTTTGTGCGATAAGGCTCCTTGTCAATTGAGTATGGTCCTCCGTCCTTCAGTTCGGTCTTCTCTAGGAACCACGTAGTCTTTGGAGGAGGCTCGCCGATAACCTTTACGTCAAATTTGACGCCCTGTCCAGCGTGAATGGTCACGTCCTTGAGCGTGGAACGATCAATCTTGGGAGCCACTGTTAAGACAGATAAAAATGAAATGTGAACAACCATATCGAATGCTAAAAAAATTGTATCAGCAATGCCCTTGTGATATATGCATGCAAAAACAAAGAAGCATTCATCACTACACTCTTGCATTTAACGACGCGTGTGTGTCAAGCGTTGCAAGAGCTTGGAAGTGAATTTTTCGGGATGTGCGCCAAATGATTCGCTAAGAACAATGCTATACCGTACATGAGAAAGAACGTGGCACATTGTCAACAATGACATTTTTGATGTTCCTTTATGTATAGATTTGTAAGAGGTGTCCCCACTAAAGGATGTTTTTTTTTTTCGTTAACTCTCCCTTTTATGCTGGTGTTACACCATAAGTTGAACAAATAAAATTACGACGTTACGAAATCTGTGGACATAAAATAAAAATCAACTTGTGTAAGAAAGGGTGAATTGGAGACCATTAGAATAGGCCAGTGCATTGCAGTAGGCATAAAATAGGCAAGTTATGATGATGGTGTAACGGGTAACTTTTACTCACAGAAGCGTGGCTTGGCAATGACCATATCGCTTGCATCACTGGGCGCACCAGGACCGGCCTTGTTGACAGCCCGGACGCGGAACTGGTACTCCATGCCCTCAATAAGGTCGGGCACTCTAGCTTCGCACTTGTCGCCGATGATTTCGGCAGCCTTCTGCCACTTGGTGCTGAACTTGTCCTTTTTCTCCACGATGTAGCTTGTCACCGGAGCGCCACCGTCGTTAGTCGGAGGCTGCCAGGCCAGGTCGACATGGTGTTTGTCCCAGTCCTTGGCTGTTGGCTTGCCAGGTTTGCCCGGCTCGTCTGTGCATGACAATGTAAACGTATTTCTCCACTGAATGCACATTCAGATCAGTGCACTTGTGGTCTCGTAAAACGTGGGAGGTGAAATTGCAAGGAGTTACTAAGTGGCAGCTTGATAGTTCTTGCACATTCTGCAAGCTTCATCAAATGAAATTTTGTGGATTTACACGAACGAATTATAAAAAATGAGCGTTAAAACAAATATACACTTGTTGCCAGTTTACACACCCACAACTATATATATACGAAAAGGAATTGGCTTCGTGTGAGGCGCAGTAACGGTAAATATCTCTGAAGCTTGAAACTAACATTAACATCATAGTTAATTTAACCTTAGATCACTATAATTCATTCTTGTAACAACAACGAAAAAAATCTGTACTACTTCTTGAACTACACATCACTGACATGCTCTATTGACATCAAGTGTGCTAGCTCTTCTCAAAAGAAGATACTTCAATTTTACCCACTGTATGGACACTATATATAAGCTGTATTTGAGTAAACTGCATCTGAACAAATAAAGTAAAATCAGGGATCACCAATGCTGAAATAAGGCAAAGGTCTATGGTGCAAAAGACAGTAAAGATGGCTTGTGCCGTACTGCTACTCAAATCCTGCTACTATGCGACTTTTGCTTCAAGAATATTCTATAATCATTATCATTCATTTTGAGTTATCACAATACTAGGTAAGAGAGCTCTTCTCAGCATATGAAATTCAAGCACGTCTCACTCACCGTATGGGTTTTTGGCAATAATTCCCTGTTCTGTCTCGAGTGGTTCTGACTCGCCCTCTGGATTGACGGCACGGACGCGGAACTTGTACTCCTTGCCTGGAATCAAGCCCTTGACTTCAGCCTCTGGTTCCTTGGTAGTCATGACTGGAACCCAGCGGCCAGTGTCTGTGTCCATCTTTTCCACAACGTACTGCTGCACGGGCTCGCCACCGTCATCTTCCGGTTTGTCCCATTTCAGCTTGCAGCCTTCGGCTGTCACGTCCGACACCTCTAGTGGGCCCTTGGGCTTGGATGGCTTGCCTACGTGCGCAACAAAACATGATGATTGTCTCTATGATTGTCACAGCACTGCAGTCATGATTTACTGGACACTGTCGGTAACTTGTGGTACGAAAGACTACCCTCCATTTGATACGGCGTGTAGTGCTGATACAACTAAAAAGGTAATCTGGGGAGCATCAATCAACGAGCTGCCCTGAACAGATAGTACCCAAATTAGGTACCTTGTTTCCCTTAGTGACTGTTGCTAGTGAGAAACCATACAGGGCGCCCATAGAGAGTGCCCGTCATCCCATTACATGCCACCTATGGCTTGACCACAAGGAAAAATGAAACTTCTTTTACTCAACGAGATAATAACAACTGCGGGGGTTTCCCATGCCAAAGTCATAAAATGATTATGAGGGACATCGTAAAAAAGGGCTACGGATAACTTCGACCACCTGACGCTTTTTGAACACCAACACACAGAAAATCCATCATAACTAAACATGGCTTGTTATGACTAGTTAACCATAAGTAGTTTCCCATAAACCTTCAGTCTAAAAGGACAGGTTGCACTTTGAAGATAACACGATAGGATAAGGGTGGCAGAGGACAGCACCTCTTTTTGGGTTCAATAAACCCTACAGATTGCCTTACTGTTACATGAAAGTACGCAGCACAGCTTTACAATTCAAGGCACATGATCCTAACATCCATTTTTTTATTCGCTGTAACTACACCTTTGCTTTAGGTTGGTGCTATGTCGTGCACAGTCAGTACAGAGTCAGTGCAAATGTTGTGCTTTGTTTTTGTAAAACATTATGAAGTGTTGCAGCTGATTTTGGAAAAGTGAGACAGGATGTGTTGTACACAGGCTTGAAATCTGTTCCCTGTGCTAAAAACACACACCACAGCCTGATAAAAACTGCACACGGTGCTTTGGATGCACTGTATTCCTGCCATTCATAACTTCTTTTGTTTCAAGCACGGGTGTGTTCTATTACAAAATAATATTTTGTTTGACTACATCTTGTAACCAATTCCAAGCTGGTTAAAATATACTAGGGGTCATTTTGTACAGCATTAGCATGTCAGCAGAATCTTAGTACACAGGATATGAAGTTTTTTAAAATTTAATAAGGTTTAACAGTGCTCGACAAATAACAGAATTGCCCTCTACATATCTACTGTGACTGCACGAAAAACAAAATGCAAATCAGAAGCTATGTACGTATGACTTCTGACTACTTAATCTACAGAATGTACGGTTGGCATACTCACTGAGCACTTTGAGCTGAATGGATGCCTCATCAGTGCCATGCATGTTCTTGGCTGTGATAGTGTAGGTTCCAGTATGAGCACGCTTGGCCCCCGTCAGGATGAACAGAGTGTGGTAGTCCTCAATGTCAAGTTTGATTTTGTCGTTCGCCTTGAGAGGCTGTCCATTGAAGGACCACTCGATAGTTGGGCAGGGTTCGCCCTTGACATCCACGTCAAGTTTCAGTGACTGGCCGCTCTTAATAGTTGTGTCCTTGAGGTTGGTGCGGTCGATCTTGGGTGCCACTGCATAAGAATGTGCAATAAGTGCAATTAATATAAAATATACAAATAAACAAACATGCAAGCGGTCTACTCATGAATAAGAATATATGCTTGCGAAGAACAAGCAGATACATATAAACAGCAAAGAAATAAAAATTATGCCAATATCCCTTGAAAAGGGCATAAACTATGTTCTAACCCATAATTTGTGCTAACACATGTGCTAACACATTCCGCACTCGCCACAACGGCAACTGGTGGCACTGACTGATGCTCCCACGATTAAATGCACATATAGTATACTCCACAGAGTGGACGGAGGAATGACCGCCACTGTAGCTAAGTGGTAGAGCATCGGACGTGTTGTTCAAAGGAGGTCGCAGGTTCAATGTCTGCCGTGGGCTAGATATCTTTTTGCCCACTTTTTTTTCTTTGCACTTACATTACAATTACTTTTAATAACATCCCATATACTTTCCTCGGCATCATTGTCTGTTCCCATTAATATTGTGTCTAACAAAGGAAACAGGCCCTTAAATTTACACTTCTTTTTGTGCTAACATGAAAGCAGATTATGTCAAGTTTAGTTCAATTTGACTATACAAAGTGCTTAAATATTCACACAGGTCTACCAAATAACTCATCAATAACTAATTAGCAAGATCTGTCGAGCATTCATAATGATATAAGTAGACATGAAGCAATTTTTAATGATATCCCCTGATATACTAGTCTAACATATTTTCCGACTTGCTACTCCTGGCCTCAGTGATGACTACGATACAAAGAATGACAGCGTATACAAAAAAGTAATACGGAAGGTTGAAGGACTCACACTTCCTGGGCTTGGCCACCACGGATCTGGAAGCGTCGCTAGGCTCGCTGGGTCCTTCCTTATTGATGGCAATGACACGGAACTCGTATTCCTCTCCCTCTTCCAGGTCGCTGACAGTGGCCTCGTTGCTGGTGCCAGGCACTTCCTTAGCCTTCTGCCACTTGTGCGTGCCTTTCTTGCGCTTTTCAACTGCGTATGCTGTGATGGGAGTACCTCCATCGCTCTCTGGTGGTGACCACTTGAGATCCACATGGTCACTGTCCCAGTCTGTCGGCTCAGGACGGCCCGGTTTGCCAGGTTCGTCTGCATAGGCGCACGACCGGTCACAATAAGTACTCTAACATCATTCTTTCTAACAGACAATTCTTTATTATTACATACATTTCATTTCACTAGTTACACTTCAGCTGTTTTGCCCCATGGCCATCGCCTAGCATGGGGACCACTAAAAAAAAAACACACACGAGAAAAAAATTTTACTTCTTTTAGTGCATTTATTTTCTAACTTCATAGAATGTGTTTTTTTAAGAATTTGTTGAACAATTGCTGAACAGAGCATTTCCTGCTGATTGCTTTAACGATTCTTCACAATTTTTTTTTATGCAGTGTAATTCAAGGCTAGCTCATAAAAGCACTTCCAACAATATTGACATACCAATAGGCTTGTGCAAATAGTGAATTATAGGTTCAAACAGAATTCGAAGCAAATGGTGATCTTGGTCGAATAATTTCGAATCGAATACGAATAGTATATATATCACATATTATAAAACCAAAAATTGTGTAACTGTCATGACTTGACTAACCTGCACAATCTTTTTTTTTTTAATTCAAAATAAAACTTGTGCAAATGCCATTTTTTTGCTTCAAAGAAAATGGAAATAATTTTGAATAGTAGCAGGATTTGATTTTCGGTAGAATGCATGTGATAACTTGAAATATATGTTACGTTTTAAAATATGCCATACTCAGAACATATAAGTAGGTATAACAAGCTTTTAAACTTGAAAAATGAATCGATGTGAGGGGTAACATCTTCATTTAACCTTGAAGCAGGGCTTCGTGGCAGTGCGAACTTCTGATTATGTGTTTTCAGGGTTTAACACTCCTTTACTGCAGTGAAACCACTTTTACAAGAATTACATGCGGTCTAATATACATTTATTTGTTTATTTCGAATACTTAAAAATTTTCAATAACTTAAATTCAATTCGAAGTGAATTCGAATACTATATGATTTGTTTGAACATTTGAAGCATTGGAACATTCTCAGAAGCCTACATAATAAGTCTCAACCATAAGACACATTTTCTTGCTATTGTCTCTATAAACTGCATTCACTGAATTTTAATGTGCATTTTAATGTGCGTCAAGAGCTCCTTTTACAGCATATACACAGATGCCAGCAGTGTATTTGCATTGCTTACCAAAGGGATTCTTGGCAAGCGTGCTCGTGTCCGTCTCAAGCTCATCAGAGTCGCCTTCCTTGTTTACAGCACGCACTCGGAACTTGTACTTCTTGCCTGGAACCAGGTTCTTCACCTCCAGCTTGGGCTCCGTGGACTTGCCAGCTGGCACCCAGCGGCCAGTTTCCTCGTCCAGCTTCTCCACCTCGTAGCACTCGATCGGGCAGCCTCCATCGTCATCCGGCTTCTTCCAGCTCAGCGAGCAGCCATCCTTTCGGACATTCGACACTTCCAAAGGCCCATTAGGCTTGCCTGGCTTGCCTGCAAGAAATCAGAAAGAAAAAAACTGAGCTGACGATTTTCTCATATGACTATTCAGAGATTTCAAGAAAAACTCCTCTTTTGTTGCACTGTCATGTGGATAGAAAGTTAGAATAGCTCTAACCTCACTATGACGAATACAAATATAATGAAGCAGTGGTTGCAAGGAAGCAAATGAAGAATGATTGTGCCATGGATACATTGTTACAAATATAAGTTTATAATAAATTCTCAGATATAGCGGAGGTTACTGTTGTGCCAGAAGTGACTTCTTAATAATGAGAGTTGAGAGTAATGATGTTTAAATAATGGCAAAAAATTTTCACAAATCTGTTACGACAGGGTTGTGGCAGTCATTTCACTAAATTATAAGTAGTAGTGTGTACAGCACAGGGGTGTTGTGCTCGAAGTGAAGAATGGCCAAATGATTACAAATTGCAGATAAACATGACTGTGATGAATTGTGGTGCGTGTGCTTTGCAAAAGACCTCGTAAGCACTTTGGCGAAATGACACAATGCTGTTTTTAGGAAACTGCTGTTTGTTCCATAAAAAAGACGGTGTTTCCTCATCAAAACCATGGCTCTAGCAGGGCTGACGAAGGCTGTCATTTACCTTTTAAATAGGGCAACACTTTGCAGAATGCCTCTAAATATATTGTACAGGCAAACATGTAATGTTGCTTTTGCTGATCATCTAGTAAATGGACTGAATTGCATTATACTTTGAATGCTATAACATTAAATAAGAGACTGTTCTTCCAGACTTCAACAAAGTAACATTTCTTAAGGCTATAAATACTTTACCCACCTAGGACATTGATCTCCACTTCTGCCTCATCTGTTCCAGAAGCGTTGGTAGCTTTGACCTTGTAGACACCAGTCTCCTTGCGGGTTGCCCGCAGAATGTTGAACTTGGTGTTGTAGTCCACGTTGTCAACCTGGTACACCTCATCAGACTTGACCTCACCTTTACCCACATGCTCCCATGTGACCGTTGGCGGTGGCTCACCAATGATGTCCACGTCAAAGTTGACCGCCTGGCCAACCTTGATAGTCAGGTTGCGCAGGTTGGTTCGGTCGATGCGTGGCTTCACTGCAGTAGTAGAAGAGAAAGGTTGTAAAATAAGACAGTGTTTTCTCCATTTTATATCCCAACTGAACCTCAACTGGTTTTATCTAAATAGAGTATAAAATTCGTGTAAGTATTATGGTGCCTGAATAAAAAATGCGTCTTCAAAAGGAAGGTTGCTCCATACCCTCTCTTGTGAACATGTCTTGTTTGCACGCCCTAATATCTCCAAGTATGTATAAGACACAAGGTCATCAACAAGTTCTAGCAATGCAAAAAATTAATGACACCTACGCAACTGTATAGTGATGACAGCACTTACAACATATGCACTTTACTTCTACAGCTAAAAGTGCGCATTTAAGTCAAGAGGTTAATCGCATTGGTTTTTCTAGGCAACAGTATCCAACTGCACAGTTTGTCAAGTGAGACTTCTAGAGGAAAATGAAAGTGGACAGACAAAAGAGAGAGGCCAGACTTACGGTTCTTGTGCTTCATGAGGTGAGGTGCAGTGGCCTCGCTTGGCTCACCCGGACCAGCCTTGTTGACGGCTCGCACACGGAACTCGTACTTGTCACCTTCCTGAAGCTTGTCCACCTTGCCCTCAGTCTTGTTGCCAACAACCTCGGCAGCGGGCGTCCAGTCGTGGCTGTACTTGTCCTTCTTTTCAATGATGTAGCCCGTGATGGGTGCACCACCGTCCTTGATTGGTTCATCCCACTTGAGCACCACAAAGTCCTTGTCGTAATCGGTGATGACCGGCATTCCAGGCGGCCCGGGTTCGTCTGCATACCATATGCAGAATGAGTCTAGATGCCCTTCCTCTCCATATTTGTATATCTAAATACTTCTAGCACTTTAACGGTTGTGTGAAGTCAGCCCTCTTCCATTAACAAACTTGATGGACTTCACCCAACTCGTAGAGGTCAAAGTTCCTGATCTGTCTGGCTTTAAATGCAGCTCAGCACAAACTGAAGATAAAAAATGTGCATAAAAAAGCATTCAAAATATAGACCGTATGATATTGTAGGTCAGACTTAAAAAGCTTTACAGGTTTACATGAGGTGAGGAAACTTTAAGAAGCACCGCTATTCCAGCGCAGAAAAAGGTAGCCATTGTCACTGAAGCTACCCAGCCTTGTGACACCAACCTCAACAGACAGAGGAGCCCGACTGTGTTTTTGTTCCCAAGCACACGTTCAGAATAGCCACAACCAAAAGTCTTTTTCACAATGCTTATTAGACAAACTAGGTGAGTACAAAGTAGCGTGGAGTGGTTCTCATAAAAATTATGGTGCTTCAATACTCAAAACTTTGTCAATATACAGATTACGTGAGCTTTGTTAGCTTCCATTGCAGTTGCACAACTAACGTCTCTGCCCCGAAGTTCCCATGGCACCAACACTATTATCAGAGGGCACAACTAAGTAGAGATATATAGAGACTAAATATCTTTGGAATAAATAGCAATGAGCTCAATTTTGCCACAGCAGCCAAATGTTCCTATGTTCCTCATAGTGATGAAAGTTTTATAGCAATGCTAGCGCTTACATCAGGCATCAACTCTTATAAAGCATGATGTAGCTTTAAAAGGGCTGTATTGAGCAGCTCACAAACGTATTAGTATTCACACAAACTAGTTGCACACATTCACAGAAACTTTGTGTAAATATATTTAAAGGAACGAAGGCACCCTGGAGATAAAGAGGGTGAAGTGAAGTTGCACTCACCATATGGGTTCTTGGCTAGGGTAGACCGCTCCGTCTCGAGTGGTTCCGATTCACCCTCGTTGTTGATGGCTTTGACGCGGAACTGGTACTTCTTGCCCGGTTCCAGTCCAGACACCTTCATTTCAGTGGTATCCTTGTCAGCCTTTCCGCAGGGCACCCACCGTCCAGTTGCAGTATCCATCTTCTCCAACTGGTACCCCTCGATTGGAGTTCCACCATCATCCTTAGGTTTGTTCCATGACAGCTTGCATCCCTTGGCATCCACATCTGTAACCTCCAGTGGACCCTCGGGTTTGGAAGGCTTGTCTGCAAATAGCATGGGGCCCCATTGAAAAACTATGTTGGATAGTGTAACTAGCAGTTTTCATTAAACCTCATTATAACAAAGTTGTATCTTAAAAAGAAAAGTTTGTTATATCCGAAACTTTGTTATAAAGTACATGCATAACAATACATCTATTGCAAGACTATGTTTTAGCTACTTCATGGTAACCAATATTTCATTATATCCGGGTTCGTTATATCGATGTTTGAGTTACTTGGCCAGAAAAAATCATAATACTGGAGTGCTTAATGACTACAAAGCAACAGAAAAGTGCCATTGACACTGACTTAGACTAATATGCAAGTTTCTCACCATGTACATTAATATTTTCATAAGTGCTACTTAAGGAAAAGTTATTCCACCATAACTCAGCGTACAAAAAGGTCATTAAGACAACAAAGAATGCTTTGTTGTAAGTGCCGACTTTAACAAATTCAGTGTTTTGAATAGGTTTCATAATATAAAGTAAACTACTACACCTATAGTCCTGTTGGTATAGCACTGACAGCTGCGGCTAGTCCTAATGCTGTGAAGACCTAAATGTAGCACTTCTCAGAATGCAAGTTCTCTTTCCGCCTGATAAGTAACCTCAGTGAAGGGCTAACACTTAACGAGCATCTGTCTGGCCTAAGAAGAACAACAAAGTTGGATGTTGCTTACCAAGAACAAGGATGTCTATGGTCTCTTCATCTTTTCCTGACGAGTTCTCAGCTTTTATGGTGTACTTGCCAGAGTGCTTGCGAGTCACCTTGCCTATGCACAGGAACGTCTTGTAATCCTCATCTTCAATCTTGACAACATCACTCTTCTCCAGCTCTTTCCCATTGAAAAGCCATGTTGTTTTCGGAGGAGGTTCACCTATGACTTCCACGTTAACCTTGGCAATGTGTCCAGCGCGAACAGTGATGTTCTGGAGATTGTCCCGCACAATTTTCGGTGCCACTGCATGTGGTAAAATTAAACTTCTCAGAATGTTGTACGTGCAACACAGTTGCATAAGTTGTAGTAGGACAAACGAAATGTGTCTTCACAAAGTAATAATACCACTGGCTTGGATGAAAGCACCCTAACATTATTAACATTCGTCACCTCATTTCAAGGTGTCAACTACAGAAACCGATCACTCAGTTCTGTAAAATTCTGTACCTGAAAATTGGATTTCTCATTATTAAACGTGCACTCCACTTTACTTTCACTGCACAGTAACTCCATGCATACCACACCTAATGTTGCCAATATGTGTAAGAAGCATAAGACACAACATATAATACTCATGGCCACATATCATCAATGCACTAAAAGTAACTGCAAAGATGTGCCAAGAACAGCTGGTTGTCTACTTATATCTCCATATCAGCTGTACACAGTGTTTGCCTACGTTGAGATTAAAAATGCAAATAAAATTTACGAAAAAAAATGGGACCACTGCATTCAATTGCATTCAACATGACCTGGAAGTGTGAGCGAGAGATTTTTGGTTGAATACGCCTGCAACCAATGATTTGCGAGCAAAAAAGTATGCACAGGGAAGCTGACCATCTAAACTAAGCAGCAGATTAGCTACTTCTTTGGTAACATTACGCAAAGCTGTCAGTCACTGGTCGCATCTGGCCAACCAACATCAGCTGCTGTATAGTACGAATGTTAAGAAGTCAATCTGGTTGATTGCATGAGGTATGTCCCAATGCAGCATCACGTCACAAAACAAGGGTGACTGGAAACTCTGTATGGTGGTAAATTGCAATGGGACTCGGCACAACGGAAGGCTCTGTAGCGGTGTGTATGTTTAAAATCTCATATCAAATTACACACTTTTACACAATTCATGCACTGTGCTTAGATAAGCCTGCTAAAAAAGTTGGACTTTAAAAAAAAATTCATCAGAACCATTTAGAGCTCCTTTTAATTCATGTGGAAGTCTCTTGGTGTAATTTAAAGCAGGGTAAATACCAGGACAGAAAAGCAAAGGATGAAGTGAGGGGTCTGTATATTTTTCTGTGCCAACATTTTAATGTATAATAGAATAATAAATGACCTTTACTTCGCCCTCGAACTTACAGAATCGCTCCTTGCAGAGGTGGGTTCCTGTTGGTTCGCTGTGTTCGCCGGGTCCAGCCTTGTTGACTGCCCGTACGCGGAACTGGTACTGCTGTCCTTTGACCAGGCCTTCCACCTTAGCCTCAGGCTTGGAGCTGTTTGTCTCCAGGCAGGGCTCCCAGTGGCCACCGACCCTGTCCTTCTTCTCCACCACGTAGCCCGTGATGGGAGCCCCTCCATCGTCCTTGGGGGCGTCCCATTTCAGGTCAACGTGCTTCTCGTCCCAGTCGACAATCTCAGGCTTCCCTGGCTTGCCAGGTTCATCTGCACCACAGCAGCAACACAGTGGCACAGGTCATCGACAGGAATGGCAAGGTAAATTCGGGCGATTTTGGCTAGCAAGACATTCGTAGTGTTAACATGTATGTTTGAGCATGTAGTCTTCCCCTATGCATATTTACGGCCTTTTAACAAAATTATGTTTGAAACTTATCCTCCTTTAGTGTCTAGTCTCAATATTATGGTGTACCAAATTAGAAGTCATGAAGCTAAAATGAGATGCTCGGGAGAGAGAAACCTCAATTTGGACATCATTTGTGGTTATTTGCTGTTGACCAGTTCAGCATGCCGCCATTTCTGACAGAAAAAAAGAACAATTGAGTGTGATGCTCCCAAAGTGAGTAGATGTCTAAAAAAAGCCTTATGTGGCTGTATCCCTTTAGGTGCATAAATCATCAACATCCACATCTCCATAATATTGAATGACTTGTAGAGTGCCATTAATATGACAGACCAGATCCTCTCCCGAGGCTGACTTCATTTAATGAAAAAATATGCAAGAACAAAATTTTTGTTTATTGCAAGAACCCTCCTCTCAAATTTTTAAGCCTCATTTACAAATTTCACCTGCGGTAGTAAACTGGTATGAAAGTAATTCTGGATGTACATGCAAGCATTTCTAAGTGCGATTCAAATGCCTTTATGTAGGCCGAGAAATCCAGGCTATGAGCGGTTAATTGTTTTAGTCGCTGATTTTGAGGATCAGATTGCTTCACAGAAAGCTGTTGAGACAAGGCCGTCAAGAATTGTTAAACACCTACCGTATGGGTTCTTCGCAAGAGTTGGCCCATCAGTGACCAGAGGCTCCGATTCTCCTTCAGCATTGACCGCCTTCACACGGAACTGATACTGCTTTCCGGGTATGAGGCCGGTCACTGGACACTCGGTCTTGTCGGGGTCCACTCGTGCCACAGGCACCCAGCTGCCTGTCTGCGTGTCCATTTTTTCCACGATGTACGCTTGAAGTGGCTTGCCACCGTCGTCTTCTGGCTTGTTCCACTTGAGCTTGCAGCCCTTGTCGTGCACGTCGGACACCTTCAGTGGACCTCCTGGTCTTGATGGCGCAGCTAAAAAAAATGAAGTTGTTAATATAGGCCAAGAACAGGTCAACCAAGTGCAAACTGTCAAGTAAAGTGTACATTTCAGAGCAAGCAGAAAGAAAAAGGCAGGCCCACACACTACGCGCACCACAGTCACAGCGAACGCTGGAAGAGCAGTCTTTCAGAGCCTTTTCAAACACTCTTTGTGTAACTGCTACAAGCGCACTTGCAGGGTGCCCCCAACACCATATTTCATCATAATTTTTGTGTAGTGGGGAGGCATTCACCATGCCATCCTACGTCATTCTTCAGAGAAGCGTGGTACCGGCTACACACTTGCAAGAAATTTTGTGCAATTTTTTTATGCTGCGGCTGACGACGATGAAAAATTATGCCTGAAGCTTTAGTAATAGGTTGGAGTATCGGCGACCCACTATTTATGCGATTCGCATTGTTTGACATCTGGTTGTTCCTTGGCTGTGCTAAACCACTTTATTACTCATACTAACGCGATTCCTTTCCCGACATCAAGCATGTCTAGGGTCAGTTTGCGACAGAGTTGCAAGCACCGGTGTGGCTCAGCAGTAAAACACTGGGCTGGGCACACAGGGGACCTGGGTTCGAATCCCATTGTGTACTTAGTGTTCTTTATTCACTAGTGATAGCGGTCACAGACACTGGCAGTGGTGGCGGACAACCACCGCACACGTGACCGCTTTTGTGATCTCATAACAGCATTTGCTGTAAAAAAAAACTATGCTGAAGAACAATGTACAGTGCTGCTATCTACAAAATTATACATAAAGGCACTGCACAAAAAAATTTCTAAATTGTAATTTTTGATCAGAACATCCAGAAGCAAAACAACAAGAAATGCCTGCAAGCTGTGCCCGCCTTTTTAGTATGTCGTTGTTTACTAACCAAAGGCATACTAACATGAAGGCAAGTAAAAAGTTAATCAGATGAAGGATTCAAAACAAAGTTGACTATCAACCAAGTTTTACCTTAATTATGACCTTGCAAATAGCTTAAAGCTTCACTGGCACAGCTCAAGGGTCAACATCTTTCTAATAAGCCCTTGTCCTGGAGCTTTTACCAAGCCTAGATTGTTTTTTTATCTCATTTCGTTTCGACAACAGTGAATGCTATGTCATCCAAACTGCATCTTCCATACACACATAATGCCGTGTTTGCAAAGTACTGCACTTAAGTTGAAATTAAGTGTGAAGTGTCAAATAATTATGGTAGAGTGACAGTTGATGATAAATACTCACCAAGAACGATAATTTCAACTTGCGCTTCATCTTTTCCGTGCTCATTCTCAGCAGTGATCTTGTAGAGGCCGGAGTCCTTGCGCTGGGCATCGTTGATGTTCAGTTTTGTGTTGTAGTCAACGTTGACGACCTCTACATTGTCTTTAGTCTCGACAATCTTTTCCAGCAACTTCCAGGTGACCTTTGGCGGCGGTTCACCACGGATGTCGACGTCGAGGCGAAGTTGCTTGCCCTTCTTTATCATTTTGACGTCCAGGTTCGTGCGGTCAATGTATGGCTTCACTGATAATAAGAAAGAAAAAAAAAACATGAAAAAAACATAGTGAGCATGCAAGCTACCACAAATGTAACCTCGTTTATCTTCATATGAGATAATATATGCTTACGCTTATTAAATGCTACACGACTGTTAATTACAACATTTATTGTCCCCTGTGTTTTTCCTGATCTAATTGTTTATTGGGTTCATTTGGATGTGCACAAGGATTACCTCAAGAAAATTTGAGCAGCAGAGAAACCACTAAGCGATGAGAAAAGTGTTATATTACTGATCGGACCAACACTGATGCTCAACTCATTTAGGTATGTTGGACAAGAAAGAATAACACATATTGTTTTGGTCATAGAGTTTTCTAAAGTTAACTAAAACTAAATAGGAATGAAGGGTAGTGCACAGGTTTGCCTAGTCTTCGTGCTTGCGGGTTTCGAATAAACTTATGGCTTTTTTTATTGTTGTGTTTTGGTTTTGTTTCAAATAAATGAACAGACTGTAGTCAACTTCGTGAGCCGCTTAGAATTGGTGAGCCCAAAACAGTCACAGTGTGTAAAGTGCAACTGCCAAACATTTGCTGAACTTCGTCTTGCGACAAAGTGAATTCCGACCCCCGCAAAGCCAAACAAAGCCAAAAGAACACATATTAGACGAATCCGTGTACTACCCATCACTTCCATGCTAGCTGAAGCACTGCGAGTTGCAGCTCCTATAAACATTAGCACCAGAGTTCCTTCAAGTGATTTTATAGGAAACTCTTTAAGTACAGTTTGTGCAAAAATGTGGGCTGTTATATTTACACAGTGTTCTAGAACCTAGCCTACACAGCTTTCATCACTTTAAGCAGGCGTATCAATGTACACACCTGCCACATCAAGACAAAGCTTAGGTGTCGACCTGTGAATTCATAGTTAGCAACTTTGATCAGTGGCTCAACTGACACCTCACCTATTTCTCCACCATGCAAACTGTCAGGATACCCTAGAAAGATGTGTTGTCCCTCATCATTTTCACTATCGATAGTCCGCAGTGCAATGACCAATCTTGAGATCTTAGTCAAATCAACAGTGTGGATCTAGTACAGCTCTTTAGAGAGCACGCACAAACACTGTAACAAACACAATGAAGAAAAGCACTTCAAATGTCCATGAGCTTTGAATATTCAAACAAATATTACAGTACTCGAGTTCATTTGGACACAAGATCAAAAATTCCAAAATACTGAAGTATTTCAAACGAATAGACTTATTTTACTGCATGTAACTCGCCTAAAAAGTTGATTTCGCTAAGCCTGCGGTTGCTATGGAGAGAAACTGCATATTCAGGAAAAATTCACACTGCTGCAAAGTCCCAAGGTTAAGCGCGCACATCACCTGCACCTCAATTTATTGTTTTTTATATAGTAAGTTTAAAAACATGTTATATGGGTTTATATGCACTAAATATGGCATTTTAAAATGCCATGATTTTTGTTATCATTCATAACTCACACTTTCATACTATTGAAATCTGGTGACAATTCAAATTCAATATGAAACTATTTTATACAATTCAGCATTCACTCCGACTTAGCTTCAAACCAGGAAAGTGACATTTGAGCAAGCCTAGAAAACAGTTTTACAAGGTCAAACCAGAGTAGTGACTTACATTTCCTGTGCTTGACAGTGTGCATCTGTGTTGGCTCGCTGGGTTCGCTGGGGCCCGCCTTGTTGACGGCCACCACCCTGAACTGTAGCTCGGTCTTTTCCTTGAGGGGGGCCACTTTGGCCTCCGTCTTGGAGCCAGGCACTTCGGCAGCCTTCTCCCAATCAGTGCCAAAGCGTTCTTTCTTCTCGATAATGTACTTCTCGATCGGGGCACCACCGTCGCTCTTTGGGGGCTCCCACTTCAGGTCCACACTGGTGTTGTCCCAGTCAACCAGCTCAGGCGTCCCAGGCTTGCTTGGCTCATCTAGGAGAAAGATGGATGTGTTTGACTTACATCCTGCACCTCATGCATAACTGTCTAGGGTATGCCCTTACAGTAGACCAATTAAAGTGGTATTACTAATGAGGATAATAAGCCCCAACTATGGCCATGGAGCCCACTGTAGATTATAATGTTATTTGTTTCTATTTTACTATGTCAATTTTTTCCATAATGAGCTGTCACAGTTTGAAGTGTATTTTTTTCTGTTTGTTTAGTCATATATAATCTAAAGCAATGTTAACATTACATTGCCACATAAATTACTGCAAAACTTTTTTTCTCATTCTCTTTCCTGTGTACATATATTTCTACCCCTTCCTTCTGGTTCCTCATTTTTGTACATGTTTTAACACTTCGTTGTATAACCTCCTAGGGATTTCTAAGGACTTCTGAATAGATAGATGAATTGCCTTTCTTTTCTTTCTTTATGGTGCATCATATGAAACTGAAGTAAGCTAACTATGCCTTATCTTCTACCTTACTTAGTGTTGTCGACATAAATCCATTATCCTTACCTCTAGCACTTTCTAGTTGCACTCCTGTATACTTATGTGAATACCTATACCACAATGCCTGAAGACTGTTCTATCTTGTTCTGACTTCTAACCTGTCCTTGTAAAAATTCCTGGTTCGACTGACACTGTCAAGTGATAAAAAAACTCCCAAGTGACAATTTAACCCTATGTAATGTAACCCTATGTAATGCTTTAAGAGAAGTTGAGACTAATCGCAGAAGGAATTTGAAAAATGCAGCAGATGAGAGAAAAAATGTATAACGATCACGGATTTAAATAGGACAACTTAGGGCTAAAGAATGCACACGTTTTCAATATTAGCATCTTCAGTTCAAGTCGTATCGGCATAATTTTGATTTGAATACATAAATCAGAGCCAACATTATCTCCAGCAACCACATTCATTGCAGCATGACGTGATTAACTCGAGCAATTGCACGTACAAGTCATTTTGCTAAAAAATTTGATGTCGCTTTTTAATCTGTGAGTCCTGTATGTACATTGGCAATACCTGCATGATTCGTCATAAGTTGTGGAAGCAATTCTTTCGAGCCCGTGTACTCATTATTCTGCTGATCACATTCCCTCAACTGTGATAACTCTGAGTTGCAGTAAGCCATGGGCAATTCAAGGAGTGTGGCGCCTGTTACACTCGAACTTTGATAGAACAAATGTGGATATAACAAAATATCGGTTGTAACAAACAAAATGAATGATTTCGCAATAGGTGTATTGTTAGTAATAAACCTTTATAACGAATTTTCGAATACAACAAACTTATTTTCGTGCAAAAAAACTCTTCGTTACAATGACGTTTGAGTCTACGACCAGCTAATGTCAGCACAGACAATAATGACACAACCTTTTTATACTAATTTCTTCTCGAGGCCAATGCTTACCATATGGGTTTTTGGCGACTGTTCCCTGGAGTGTCTCCAATGGTTCGGATTCGCCCTCATCGTTGACGGCAACGACCCTGAAGAGGTACTCCTTGTTGGGCGTCAGGCCAGTGACCTCAATTTCTGGCTTGTCTGTCTTGCCAACGCGGGTCCAGCGACCAGTTTCCTTGTCCAATTTTTCAACTTCGTAATGATGCAGTGGACAGCCACCGTCATCCTTTGGTTTGTTCCACTTGAGCTTGCAGCCCTCCTTGTGGACATCCTTGACCTCCAGTGGTCCTTCGGGCTTCGCTGGTTTGCCTTTGGTAAGAGAAAATTGCAATTCGCAAGTACTGCTTAGAGAGATTCTATTAAATATGCCTTGGTTCTCCACAAACCCATTGGTAATAAAAAAGGAAGAGAAAGTGCGATGAAATAGTTCAATTGGCTTAGGCTAGATTCATTGATTGCAGTTCACGTACTGCAAATTTGAATTTGTGACATGAAAAACCTGATCACTCTGCACATGAAGTAATAGTCCTAGGTTTTTCCCATTCAGACATACAAACCCATCTGATTGTGTTAACACCCAATGTAACAATATTTTCTTTTTTACAAAGAAAATTTTTTGTTCTCCGCTACTGTATTTCTACAAAACCCAAGGACACTTGCTATTATAAGGGCTGGCTACGTAGAATATCATGCATATTGCCTCTCAAAGGTGAGGCATTCTGAACTAAACGGAGAAGCCAACCTCGAAATAAAGTGAATACTGAACAACACTGACTGAATTGAGTTAAAACAAACAGAGACACTCACCAAGTATAGTAATGTCAATTGAAACAGAGTCCTTTCCATTCCTGTTGGTCGCAGTGATGGTGTATTTGCCAGACTGCTTGCGTAGAGCCTTGACTATACCAAAGGTGGAATGGTAGTCCTTGTTCTCAATGGTAGTGTTCTCATCGGGGCTGAGTTTCTGCAGACCCTCGCCAAATGTCCAGACAACCTCTGGTGGCGGCTCACCGATGATGTCAACCTCATAGGTGTGAGACCTTCCCACCTTCAAGATGACATTCTTGAGGTTGGTGCGGTCAATGCGAGGTTTCACTGGAGAGATGAAAAAAAGAATACAAAAAGAAGCCATTAATGTTCCTTTGTGCAAACTCCAGTAGGCAAACAATGCATGACAAACTTGAAAACAATGAATGAACATCTGCCCTTTGTAAAAGGCTACATCTTAATATTTCCGTTTTAGTTGTTAAATAATGTAGGTAACCACCCCGCTATACCTTGCTAGCAGCCTTTGATGTGCAAGAGCCATTTTCTTCACGTCATCAGCATAACTTGCTTAACCATTCAAGTAAAACAATTCACCATTAGGTCGTCCCTTCAGAAATGCACCAGCTTATGGTGACCACCATGCTTATACCCAAGATTATGGTGTCAGCTAAAAATGATCTAAATTGCGACATCACTATTCCTAACGGTTTTCTGGCTAGACGCATGCTGTCAGCTTGCTGGTTAGCATGCTTTAGTGGTTTCTCTCAGTATAGCTGCATGAACCAACAGTGTGATTATGCATTGGACAATCTTATGGGAATAAAATTTAGCTGCAGTGCTGCAGTATGTCTTTTTTATTCTCGTCCTCATTTTGTTGCGCTAGCATTCGTTCAAGATGGAAGCAAACAAACTCGCGCAATTGACTCTTCTGATGAACAACCTTGTGCTTTTGCATTCATGGCACTTTCTAAGAGTACTAAATAATAAACTCCTGCTTTTCTTTTTCCCCTGCTTAAGCTTGTCAGCTGAAGCTTCATTATATAACAAAACTGTTATATAATGAGATCTGACCCTGCACTAATTCTCGACATAACTACAACTGAACATTACATCTGCACAGCACGGCTTTTCATACATGCACGGCAGGGCTGGCCACTCACAGTTGCGGTGCTTGACAATATGGTTCTCAGTGGGCTCGCTGGGCTCTCCCACACCGGCCTTGTTGACGGCTCGTACCCGGAACTGCATGACCGAGTTCTCCTTGAGGCCATCCACGGTGGCCTCGCACTTGTCGCCGGGCGTCTTGAGGGCCTCCACCCAGTCCGAGCTGTGCTTATCTTTCTTCTCCACAATGTATTGCAGGATGGGGCGCCCGCCATCATTCTCTGGCTTGTCCCACTTGAGGTCAACCTTCGTGTTGTCGTAGTCCACAATCTCTGGCTTGCTTGGCTTGCCAGGTTCATCTGCAAAGGCGGACAAGTATTGCTATCAGCAGAGGAACTCGTATAATAGAACGTGCTACGCGATGCCAGCTAGCAAAAAAAGAGCGTTCCACACACCCCTGCTTCCTGGGTGAATAGCTTACAAAATGGGATACAATTCTTACCGTAGGGGTTCTTGGCTACGATGTCCTCTCCGGTCTCCAGAGGTTCCGATTCGCCCTCCTTGTTGACAGCTTTGACTCGGAACTTGTACTTCTTGCCCTTCTGAAGGCCGTCGATGCGAGCCTTGGTTTCTTTGGGGCCAACCTCTGCCGCTGGTACCCAGCGTCCGGTGTCTGTGTCCATCTTCTCCAAAACGTAGCCCTTCAGCTCCTGGCCGCCCGTGTCGGGAGGTGGTTTCCAAGAGAGTTCCACGTGATCTGCTCGGACTTTCTCCGGTTTCAGCGGACCTCCGGGCATGGCAGGTTTGTCTGCAGCATAACGCAACAAGCAGCTTGTTATCAAACTTCTTGCATACATTGCAGAACTAGACGTCCCTTGCTAATCAGAGTCATGTGGGTTTGAGCTAATTCCTGTTGAAAGTGACTACCGAATGCTTCAAAATGCTACTAAAAGCAAGTAATAAAGCCACCACAGGTTATAAATGTTTTCTACTTCATGACAAAGCATGACGAGTGCAGTAGTATTTGAGAACAACATTGTCACGGATAACCCAAGATGAACAGAAGACACACATTTGCCTAAATGACAGCCTCCTGAAATACAAAATTTCAGGTTGATAGATCAGCTCAATAAAAAAAAAAAATACTGTTCCTGTTTCGTGCAGCACCAGTCTTGTAAATTGGGGAAGAAAAGGCAGTTTAGGACTCATTATAGTGCACTATTGATTTACGTACAGAAGTGGTAATGTTCAAACTCAAATAATATAAGTGGTTTGTCCAACACAGCTAAAATTAACACTATCATGTTTTCAAACGAAATAGCTGTTCTTCATAGTTATGCATTTGCTTAAAAAAAGACTTAGCTATAGTGCACTTTTTTCATTTTGTCCTTTCTACTTCAGTGAATTGTACTGCAGTCATTAAAGCATGCAGCTGAATCACATAGGTACAGCAGACTAAGTGGTTGCTTTGACACAGCTTTGCTAGATAATGAATGACATAATATCTGGGTAGAAAACATAGCATACCCAGAACAACAACATCTGCCTCAGAGAAGACTGATCCACTGCTGTTTGTCAACTTGAGTGTGTATCGACCACTGTCGGCCCTCACGGCGTTCTTCGTTATGAAGGTCGTCGAAGTGTCCTTAACTTCAATGGTTGTCCTATAGAGCAGAAGCCACAAAGATAACATCAGCAATGCTTAGTGCTAACAGTGCACTGAGCAAAATTATGTGACACCAGTAAATTATGGCAAAGTGCCCTTTGGTATCACAAAATATACATTCCTGCAGGTACATACCATAGGAATCTATACAAAACATCCAAATTTCACTGCTTACATGAAAAACACACAAAAGCCAGTTATTAAGCAAACAAATAAACTTTTTATGTTTAAACGATATTTTGGCAGGAAAATTAAACAGGCCAGTATCACTACATGCCTTATCATGTACCTGTGGCAGATTCCATTGCATTTCTTAGTCACAGTTTTGCCCCATGTGGGCCAGTTCGTAGGTGAAGCCACTGTATTTATATGTGAGTGATTTCTAAATGTTTTCAATTCTGTATGTATATGCAGCACTTATGCTTAAAAAAAAAAGAAGTGATTGACAGCCTCACATTCCAAAAGAGTAGATATAAAACAAACCAAAACGTACAGGGATACTTTGCAACTTTTAGCCTCTAAAAACAAATTTCGAGCTATTCCAAAGATACAGGCTTCTCCATATTTTAGGAGAGTACTTACCTGTCAGTGGCCTTGAGCTGTGTGCTGTTGCGTTCCCACACAACCTCTGGTGGAGGTTCACCTTTGAACTCGATCTCATACTTGATCGTAGCACCTCGTTTGATAGTCAGGTTCTTCAATCCATCACCCACAATGAATGGCTTCACTGTGTAGTTAAAATAAACACACAACTCCCAGTGAGAAGTTTAAAAAAAAAGCCGTTAAAGGTGATAAAACGATGTGCTGAGCACTAAAGTGATCTATTTATGAAATATAAACTCGAGATATCAATCCATCACCTAAGAAATTACACACGATCAAATGTACAAATGTACAGCAATGCTTTTTCAGAGATTTTTAAGAACACATTCTATAAGACACACACTATAAACATAGCATGTTTGAAAGAATACATGTTTGCAAATCCAGGGACAACAAGAACATTGTAGCTTTTTATAGAAAAGAAGTCAACAATCGCCATTACACACAAGAGTTCAATAAAATTGCAAAATCAAACTGAAATATAAAACAAATCATTTGGTGGATAAATTGAAAGGAACTGAAAACACATCCCCAAGGTCTCAAGTCCATACTTGCTAAATAAACGTGCATGCTATATTTGCACCATATTTATTCCCTAACCAGCACTGCAACTGGTCATAGAAGTTGGACATGAAGCATCCAACAAGAGTATGATCCTGTTCACTTCAACTGAAGTTTCATAATATTCACTGGAAAACATACAGTTTACATTTGAAATGAAGTGAGCAACTAAAGCCAGATTAAAGACAATCAGGTGCTCTGAATATGAGTACCTCTTGCATGCTTTATATGTTTCTTTGTTATAACTAATTAAGGCAGTTATGAGAAAACAATCAGGCTATTGAGCAATATTTATACATACTTTGCACACCAGCTAGAAATATTTAAGAAACTATCCTACTCATTTGAATTTTCTAACAAACTGCCACTATGTCTTTGTCATTTAATCAAATTTTGTGTTTTAGGTAATTATATTACTGGTAGTGAATCGATACAGATATTTAACATTAGGTTAATGATTTGTGCTGCTTGTTTTTGCTCTATGAATTTATATGTTTTTTATTAGTTAGCATAACCACTCACCCATTTTCTTGCATATTATAATCAACTTAATTATTATTATTATTATTTATATTATTTGTACTCTTGCTTTCTTTCTTTAGGTGTGCTATTTTTGCAACCATCCTGGCAGTTTTCACAAAACTCTGAGATGTCCTGGTATGATGCTCTAGCCATGAAACTTGAACATGGTTTTTTTAAAAAAACCTGACTAGCAGCTAGACAGTGTTGCTGCCTCAGTAAAAAATTATCACCTGAATGTTGGCAAAAGCGAATTGTGGAGAATGAAATTTATTGGGCACCACAGGGTCTGCTCTCCCTTGTAGTTGTAGTGATGAATGGTTTTAATGTTTACTCCATGAAAGTGGGGTTGTATTTCTTACCAAACCTCGGCTTGCAGATAATTGGCTTTGTCGGGTCACTGGGTTCACCGGGTCCGGCCTTGTTAACGGCACGTACACGAAATTCGTACTGTACGCCTTCTTTCAAGTCGGACACTCTGCCTTGAGTTTTGTCAGCTGGAATATTCTGTGCGACGTAAATTAAAAGGAAGTCAGGATTTCTGCACATTTCAAAATGAAAGCAGGGCACATCTTGAAGAGAAGACACATCATTTATGCCAGCAATAAAAACTTAATAAGAACAAAAAAATAAACGTAACTGAACAATGAACACAGTTGGCACACCTATAAACTAAAAAGCTATTTTTTGCTACAAAGATAGGTTATCAAAGTTGGGGCTAGGCAGGCTTCCCGTCATGTGAGAAAATTGATCAAGTTTGACAAAATTAAATGAAGAAAAAGAAATAAAAACAAGCAAGCAAACAATGCAAATTTGTTTTTCTTTTTATAATGCCCCTGCTAGCGACAAACCTGTATTGCTTCATCCAGCAAAGATTTCCTGAAATTATTTACTTTCACTCATTCAAAACATGAAAAAATTCTGAAAGAACAAAGCTCAGAATGCCTATGGGTGTTTTTATCAACCATACACACACTCACGCTTGTATGTTCTTATTGGAGACACAATTTTTCGAAAAACTATCGTTAAACCCTATTACACAGTTCAAAGCAATCCAAACGTCTCGCGAGTGCTACATCGCAAGAACTCTGAAATGTATTAGCAAAGAAAAGCAAGCATAGCAAAAATCTACAAATAGTGACTATAATGACAACACGCTCTAGCTCCAAGATGATGTGATGATGTGCTTGAGAAGAAACACAATTCTACGCAGCAGTAGAACTTACAGCACAAGGAACCCAGTCCCTGGAGAACTTGTCCTTGTATTCAATGACGTATCCTTCAATGGGTGCACCACCATCTTTTTCGGGCTTCTCCCATTTGAGATCCACCCTGTCTGCATCCCAGTCAGTAACCTCAACATTTCCAGGCTTGGAGGGTTCGTCTAAAAGCAGACAGGAAAGCGAATGAGATGGTTTTCACTAAGCTTTGATGCATATGAGGGGTCCTGAACCATACCTGAGACTCAGTGGAAGAAAAAGCATTTTACAAACAGCCATACACTGCTCTTGACAGCTCAGCCAAATTTTGTAGTCTTGCATAGCATGTGGAGTTTACAAGCAGAGTGCGAATTTGTTGCTTTGTCAAGCACCTTTTCTGCATACAGAGGCCTGTAATCACTGTTTGAAGCTGTCTCATCACTTAGCGTTTTGCGGCTATGGCCCGATGCTGACACACATCAAGAGTGGTATTTGGATCAGACATCTTTCTAGTGGTGTTGCGCATGTCATGCTACTTATCTTGAAGTCTATGTTGCCTCCTGACAAGTCTCGGTTTCTTGTGGTATGTCACAAAGCACCGCACGCCGGTCATTAACTGCAACCCATTGCCACATGTACTCTCTGAATAAAGAGAAAATTCCCTCCCCATTCTCAGCGTGGCCTGACATGTTCAGCGTGTGCTCCAGCATTATATGGCTTTGGTCTATGCCAGACTGTTTATCCGGCCTGCGATACCGCACCTCTTGCCCCAGAGTGCCACCGTGTGCTTTCACGACACTCTATAGCTGATAAAATTACACAGTAGCAACACTAGCCCACACTGGAATTGCACTAGTGGGGAGTGAACACATTTTACAATGCACACGAAAGTTTATGAAGCACACTGATATAGCTTCTCACCACTCTGTCATCTCCCCTATGTAGATTCCATCCAGTATGCTCGTTAGGACAAGGGAAGGGAAGAGATAAGGTGTATAAAGTGTGCAATGGACCTCTATAATTATTCCCATATTTCAGAGATATTTACGGCAATCAATTCACAAGTCAATAAATTTAGATACTGAGATAATTTTATTATTACTTGAAAAGGTGTTTCAGGACCCGTTTTGGTAGCAGCAGCAATACAAAGAAAGCACACTTAGCAATGTAAGTATTTGCTATTTAGGGTGCGTGTTATCTTAATAAAGTGCTGTTATTTTGTGAATAAGGTTTATGTAGGGTAAAACAAATATTGTTTCATAAACAATAAGAGTGCATGATGTGCATAATTATGACTAACAAGTCTTTCATATCTGCATGTTTATGTCATTACTGGACATGGCTAACTCATGCTGAACAGTAGCAGTCAGTGATCCATTGTTCTTTTTTTTTTTTTTTTGCCTCGTCTCTCAAGTTCATGCTGAGAAGCAAGCACTGATGTGAATCACGGACTGTTGGGTAGGATGAAGTTGGGTGAATCGCAGTGATGATGTGGGTGCCTAGAAGACTGGCAGGTTTGGTCTCGTGGTTGTCTGGAAGGTTTGACAGCTGTGATTTGGCTAGGTGTCTGAGACATTTGTCGGGAGTGATCTGGTAGGTGTCGAAGGTCTGGCAGTGGCGATTTTGAACTTGATCTTTGTATTCGCTTTAAAAAAGTAGAATGCACCTGGAAGAAGCATTTTGTATGGAGCTCGGTAAAGTAAAAAAATTGGTTGCGTGTGATCTTGTGGATGTCTGGGAGATGTGAAGGAATGACACGGTGAGCATCTGTGATTTTTTTGCCAGCTGTGATCTGGCAAAGTGTGACTTTGAAGGTTTAGGATTCGTGAAATGTCTTTGCTGGATAGACTTTCAACCAGCTGTGCTGTAGTTTCATTGACAGCTTCATTTCTTGCAGCTGTCGCATTGATGGCTCCAACTAGAGCACTCTGCAGACTCTAAGCAGCACATATTTGTACAAACTCGAACAAGAGACATGAGTGCCACTTATTTGCTCAAGAGCCTGATGTTCATATGGGCCTGAGTAGTGAGGCCTTTTGGCGGCAATTTTCAAAATATGGAGAACCACTATTGTCAAGGCAAAATGTCATGTTTTTGCTGTATTTTCGATGCTCTTGTTCAGGCATATTATATTGTGTTTGCAGCCAAAAGCTCCTTCCAGTTTGAGTTCTTCGAGTCGCACATGTTGGAAATGCCGCTGCATTCCTGTTGTGTTTCACTGTGTTCTTGTTCGGAGAGTGCCGTGTGTTTGCAGCGAGCAGCTTCTTGCAGTTTTGTGTCTTCACACGTGTAACATTGCGACCAAGCTCTATCAAACTCACCATACGGGTCCTTTGCCAACGTTGTTCTGTCAGCATTGAGCGGCTCTGATGCGCCCTTTTTGTTCACAGCGCGCACCCTAAACTTGTACTCCTTCTTAGGTGTGAGGTCCGTAATATCTGCGTGAGTGTCCTCAGTAGTGAGGACTTCGGTCCAGCCTCCTCTGACACCAAGGTCCTGCCTTTCCACTACATAATGCTGCAGTGGGACACCACCGGTGTCCTTTGGTGGCTTCCATTTGAGCTTGCAGCGATCCCTGTAGATGTCGTAGACCTCGAGGGGACCCTCGGGTGGCTGGGGCACGTCTGGAGATCAAGAACGCCACATGAGATATGCTCGGTTATCACAGAAATGCACTCTTCCAGTCCCTTCAGAAGAAGAGTGCATAAAAAAAAATGCAAGTACACATGCACACTGCCATGCGTGCACGAACCATAGCAAAATTCTATTAGAAATCCATATTACTGTTATCATTGTTTTATTGACGTTCATTCCCAGCTGCAACAAGCACCAAGTCGCACGAACATTTACAAATGGCAACCAAAAATCAACTCGAGGCGACCGATACTCATGCCTGCTAATGTGAGCTGTACATAGAAGTGTGTTTCATTGGGCTATTTGGTCAAACATGGTAAAAGGTAAAAACAGCGTAAACTATAAAAAAGATGAAATACGAAAAAATAACAGGATGAGTGCTGACTAACAACCGTCACCAGCTCTGAGACTAAAGCATTAGCTTTTCAACTAAAGTAGCCATTTGTGATCATTTGCAACAAGCTGCTTTATGAATAACTTGGTTGCACAACCAGTAGTAGTTACAGGTGTGAATGAGTTTTTAGACTTATTAGTGCTGTCTTGGTTTTGTAGAAGTTTACACAGACCGAATAACTTCAAATTAGTATGGTACAGCAACTATTTATAGCTAATAAGAACACATTGAACTTAAACAAGGTCGGGCCCATGCATATCACTGTGGCATGCTTAATGCAAGCTTTAGTGTCCCGCTACACCTGTGCACTGGCTAGAGAGGCATACCTAACGCCTTCATCCTGGCGTTAGCATTAGTAGACCACAACTAATACAGACATGTCTTGTTCCATTAGTCTAATATTAAAACAATAATATAAGTGACAATAGTCATACAGACTATCAATTCTTTTGATTAGAGTTAAGGGGGCTTCTTGCTGTTCTTAAGAGGCATACTGCACAGTGCTGTTGAAGTGTCATACTTCTCTCAAAAGTCCATGATGCCTCCATATTTTATTGGCATGCTCCTATTTTTTCACCTGTGTTGATGTTTTGAGGTTGACTTGAAAAACGGTGATATCAAGTTTCAAACAGCAGTGTATAGGACACAAAAAATAGTTTTTTTACTAAACACCATGCTTGCATCTGCACAAATGCGTAATTACACTTTAGCCCTCCAGCTGGATTCTTGTACTCACCCAGAATGTTGATGTTGAGTGGGAGCTTCGCTTCTCCTTGAGAGTTGCTCAGAGAAAACTCATAGGGACCAGAAGTGTCCCGAACGGGCTTCCTGAAGGTGACAAGCACTACATCGTTCTTCACGACAACATCAACCTCCTTGGTGCTAACTGGCTGCCCGTTGCGTAGTAACTTGCCAACAACGTCTGATGTCCTCACACCAGTCACTAGAAAAAAGAAACAAGAGGTGCGAAACGAAGCTTTACTGCCGCAGCTTTTCATATTTCAGTCATTCACTTTCACCTAGATGCCATGACAGCAAAAGGACGCACGAGAGACTTGAAGTGTCGAAACAAGCCTTACCGCTGTATGGGATCTCGATAGTCAGTGGCTTTCCAGTGTCTCCAGTATAGTCCGTCTTGTCTAGCTTGATGACAGGAGCTTTTTCAGCTGAAAACAGAGAATACGAAGACCCACATTTGTGATAAAGCAGTAAGAATATTCCTGTTTTTGTTACTACATGTTCCTGATCGGGGAAATGACATCCTCATAATGTAGAAACTGAAAGAATGCCACCCGTAAGCACAGACTCACCTTCAGTCACGCTTAGCTTGCAGGCACACTTGAGGTCCTTGCACTCAATAGAATATTCACCCGTATCATCAAGTTCACATTTGTTAATGATCAGTTGGTGGCGACCATCTTCAAGCTGCTTAATGGTTATCCTACAACACAGGAACAAAAAGTGAACAACAAAAAATTACGTACTGATTGATGATGACAAAAATTAATGCCATTCACTAGTGCTCTGATTCCTGTCTCCGTGGTATATAAGGAAGTATTGCATCATATTAACCATGGACATCTTTCGAGACGTGCTGGAGTGTTTAAGTTGTTCAGAAACAAAAGGACCCAAACAGTTTTACAGAGGCCCAAAAATACAAGGAACAGTTTAGACTACTGGCAGCAAGGTATCATCACTAGTACCCATGCTTAACATCTGTACTGATAAATTTAGATGGGATACCCATTGCACCACACAGCACTTACCTGGCCAGCCTCTGCTGTACAGCATTTGTGTGACAAGTACGTCAATATATCAACAAGTTGACAATACAAACTTGTATCTACTCCAGAATGCAATTTCAATTCTATTGTACTTGATTCATAAGCACAAAACAGGACCAAGCGTAGATTTTCAATTAAAGTTTGTTGAAAAACAGGCTCCTGCATTTGCGACCAATATATATCATTTTATTTTGAGCAGTAAGATATTAAACATCCATTAATAAAGCTCTAAGTTAGCGCTTTTTATAAACAGCAAATGTTGTAGGAATTTCAGAAAAGCTTCAATATGGCAGACCCGCATGGCCTGGTTTTATAGTTGTATGCGCTTTATAATGAGGAAATACAAGAAGCAATTAGTGTGTAAGTGTTCAGTGTTGCATCTATTAACACCTCGAAAAATGTGGCTGTCAACCTAAGATGTGGCGACATGATCTCCAAGATATAAATGTTGAGAAGCTAGGGAAGGAGTTGGCCAAGCCAGTGATGTGATAGAAGTAAAATGAACTGTATATCGAAGAGTTCACTCCCTAGGCTGTTCATAAAGTGCCGGATTGGTCTCACCTCTCACTCGGCTTGATTTCCTCGCCGTTCTTGAACCACTTGAGGGGAGCATACCTGTCCAGAAGGTCAACCTCAAGGATGGCTTGCTCCCTTTCTAGAGCATCCACATCCTTCAGCTTCTTATTGAATTTGTTGGCCGCTACAAGCAAAAGATGAAAAAGTGTGAGGCAAAAAAAATCAAAGCATATACACGAAGTGATCGATGATGAGTAGGGCGAAGCGCTGAAGGGTTTCATCGCTAAACCGTGAACCATCTGCGAATATCGCCCACTACATCAAAGATGTGCCAAACACTGTATATATCTACACAAGAAATTTTATTAGTCGTAGGTGGTAGCTATACGTCGCTTCCGTTCCCCCTTCACTATAATGCCTTTATGGTCGGGGAAGTGGTGGATCGCTGATGGGGTGTAGTGGAATGTTTGCAAGGGCGAAGTAGTGGGCAGTTTGCAAAAGTAGAACTATAGGCGGTCACGTACAAACAAGGGATGGACACAGCGAAACAATCTATAGTTCTTTATCGCACGCCTAGATACAAGTACACAACCATATTGTATTTCATATTGGCTGATTCTCAACAGTATTTGCTTTATGGTTGGTGAAGTAGTGGATTGGTGATGGGGCGTAGTGGGATGCTTGCAAGGATGAAGTAGTGGGCAGTTGGCAAAAGTGTAACTACAGGCAGTCCCGTACATACATGCAAGGAATGGAGACAGACCCACGCTTTTAGGAGCTCCGTCCCTAAAAAAACGACATCCAACTCACACCAACTGTTTCATAAATAGAGCTATGTTTTTCTCCACTAAAGGTCAATGAAAGTCATTAGAAAAGTATTGAAGAGTCATAGAATAAAATAGGAATATGGTGTGTCTGTACAACATACACCACACTAAAATAAAGTGCAGCTTACAAACGAGAGTGCACAGCTGAGGTATCGAACGCTGGCTTTGCTCTGGAAGAATCGATGCAATTATGCACTAATTGCTGAGTTACCAGCTGGGTGAATATGGCACTGGCTTGATTAGACTAAAAGTGAAATATTTCAGAACCACCATACAAAGCCGTGTATCCCAAGAACGTCACTTCTTGTGTGAACAACACAGTAGCAAACATTGTAGTGACTTCATTAGAGTACATTTATGGCAATTTGGCCGAGGGGTAGATTGCTCTAAATGTGACTACCAACCAAACACATTTGGTTGATAGTCAGTGCCGTAGTTTGTATTCTTTCTTCATACCGTTTTTTTACCACTGTTTTCTACAGAAAATCATGAGCCAACAATACCAAATTCGTAATCCACTGCAGTTCATGAAAAAACTACTTCTCCACTTACGTTCCACTAGAAGTTCTCCACTTGTCTCGTCCGAGTTGGTTTTGCAGACGTATTTGCCTTCATCCGTGATCTTTGCTTTTTTTATGTGAATGCGGCGTTTACGACCTTCTGCAGCCACTTCATAGCTGCATTAGATTGAGATGCATGCTATATCACTCAACGTGAAAGGTAGTCACGCTTGGATTAATTTATAAAGAGGAAATAATGATAATGGCAGAGCCTCTTTTGTACATCATAAGGGTCAATCACAAGACAAAATAGTAACACGTAATGAAAAAGAGTGCAATTAGGACAGTGACATGAAAACAAGGATAATGACACAGGCACTCAATAAAAGCTAGTTATTTATTAAGACAAATGAATGAATACAAGTGTGAGAAAGAGCCAGACAAGTGAACAAAAAAGTGTAATTAAAGCTTAACAATTATTAGCAAACATTTGAAGAAACAATATGCGGTTCCTAGGAAAGAAATCTTGTCATCAAGTAAAACTGACTGCTAGACCTAGCTAACATAGAATATGCCTTTCTTTTTTTTTTAATATAGAATGCCCCAATTGTTGGAAGCAAAGTGTGATTATGATTGATTGATTATTGACTAAAACAAGTTTTTTGAGGTCCTGCAAAATTCACACTTGCGTGATTATGGTGCTTAGACCAAATGGTTGTGCGGTGACAATCAAATTACAAGCTGCATCGCAGTCAGATATTAATAAGCACTCGTGCTTCCTTAGGCAGAGCAGGCATATATAAAAAACCATTGGATACAATTAATTACCACATGTACCAATCCACGGGACTTAGTGATGGACAATACAAATATATTGTCTCACAGCTATTACAAAGTAAAGAATATACATTCATAATGAATATTGGATATAGCAAAGCGATGTCTCTTTGAGGTACCACAAAGTTATAAAGATGTAAATACTGGTAGCTCGTCTTGATGCAAAGCAGAATAGCATGCCGCAAGAAAAGTGCTTACTGCTTGTCACCCTTGATCTCCTTGCCATCCTTGAACCATTGCACTGGGGCCTCCCACTCGTCCACTTCGCATTCAAGAGTGACAGATTCATCCTCGAAGATCTTGAAGCTTTTCAGGCCCTTCATGAACTGGAACTTTTGTTCTGCGAGTAGGACAACAGCTCAAACTAAACGACTTGCTGCCTTTTGAGTATAAGAAAAGGCACCATTGTAGCAGTGGGCCCTGCTGCTTGGCTGTCTTGTGAATCTTACAGTTGTTAAGTATGACAGCAATATTTTGCACAGTAATCACACAAAGCAGTGCGTGGTTCGTGTCCAAATGTGGTCAGTAACATAAATAAAGGCACAACTGATACAAGACTGTCAAGTGTGTTGTTCCTTTGGTTGATATAAATGGCAATTGACAAAAAGGAGCAACACGTCTCACTTTTTATGAAGACAGCGGTCGGATATAATCCAGTCTGGTTGGGAAATAACATGAATGAAAAAAAATAGCAGTGACCAAAGTAAATATGTATTCGTAAAAAAGACGATACAGCCCCCACATGAAGACCTTGTTCACAGTGGAAAAAAAAAGAGGCATCCAGTGCCCTTGCAAAACACGTGTTGACGGGACATGCAATTAATTGAAAGGGCGCTTCCGTAATGGCCACAGAAAATCAGCTGTTTTCACAGCTTTACTTCATGATTTCAATAACTCAAACCACTGAACCCCATTAAGTAGTAGCAGTCTCCCACCAATATATGCACACTGCTTGAAGCAGGTGATAGGATCATTTTATGACTAGGTGATAGTGCTATTCTAGCTTTATTGTAAACAAGACTCTCGTGCGGAAGCTGACACATCTTTTTTCTGAATAAAGTTTTTACTTTGCTCAGCACTGTGTCTTTTTTTGTCTGTGTCTCACCTTTTGTTTCAAATAAAAGCCACCTTCAGCTGATATACGGTCAAACCTTTTTATAGGAGACTATGATTTAACAGACAAATGGATGTGAGAGACACTAGTGTGCCTTCGTTAAATTAGGTGCCGATAAAAAAATGCATGTGTGGTGCTCTGTTTATACGAGACACCTCACATAAAAGACAAGAATTTCTCCCCGGTGCATCTCTTATAAAGGGGTTCAACGGTGGTGCAAATATTTTGTCTACTTGATTCTCGTCTCTTTCTTAAAGAGGAAATGAGACATCATCCCTATGTGTATTACCTGTAATGGTGACTTTGCTTGAGGTCTTCTCTTCCGAGTTGATCTTGCAGGTGTACAAACCGGTGTCTTCCAAAGTGCAGTTCTGAACACGCAGTATTTTCTTGCCAAATTGGTCCTGCTCAATAATGTACTTGTCGCTTGCCTACGAAAAGATCACAGCAAATTATGTGTTTCAAAAAAAAAAACCAAATGATGCTCGCATTGACGAGCCGAAGTATTGTAGCTGACATACTGAGATTCAGAAGCTATAAATGATACCATAGAACATGGAAGCATAGCATCATCTTTGTGATTCGCTAGGCATGGTGTTACAATGTAATGATTTTTACGGCAGATTCATTACAGTAGCAGGAAAAACCGTCTATCCCATATCGAAATGTCGTGCTTAGAAGAATACATCCCTTCACATTCTAGAATTTAAAAAATAGAACACTGAATGGTGTACTAATTTATAGCTGATTACAACTCACACATGCTTAAAAACAATTTACTATGCCTGTTAAATGCCTACCGTATGCATGAAACTGATATATGTGACCTCACATCATTACCCCTTTGGTGTCTTCAGCAGCAGGACTGACAAGCTCCTCGTATTGTGAATTCTTATAGAGGAGAGCAGATTAGATTGAGCCTATTGCTGTTTCTGTATATATTCTTGTATATGGGAAATCACTGTTTGCCCGGGGACTTAAGCAAGAACTAAAGTTAATACGGTTGGGAAGAACTTACAGCAATCTTCTTGTCATCCTTCAGCCACTGCACAGGGGCCTTGTGGCTGTTGGTGGTGCATTCCAGCACCAGCTCCTTGGTGGTGTACTGCTGCGACTTGGACGGCAGCTTCTTGACGAATTTGTACACGGGGTCCGGGTCTGACAGAAGCCACCGGCACAAAGAATCGTTAGCACAATCATCAAGGAAAGTGCCGAACAGTTAAGTGTAAAACATGTTTCAAAAACCATAAATACTATATGTGAAATATATAAAAAATGTGACTAGATAAGCGCACAGTAGCAGTGGAAAGGCAAGGACTATGTCCACATGGCATTGTGAAATGAGAAAGCCCATGTAGAAATGCTTTAACACGATGGTAGAAGAAGATAAGAGCGTGAGTAATAGATTATAATATGGCACTAATTATTAAGTTTATAATTGAATGAATTTCAGGTTCTTTTTCCATTCAAATAAACAGCACTGATGCCTGCTACTGAAATGTCTTATGAAACATCAGAAATTCATTACTGGAATGTGCTATATTATACGCAAGTGTTTAATACTATTTAAAACATGCATGCAATCTAACAAGACATGCCTCCTTCACACAAGACTAGGCAACAAGGCTCGAGAACTTTAGGATACCGTATGTCGTCGCGTCTTGATAACAGTGATATTCTCTTGGACACAAACACCAGCAAAATATAAAAGCAATGTGCAGCCGTACGCACCATCCACTTCCAGGAGTGCCTGGCAGCTGGTGTCAAGGCAAGTAAGGGTGTATCGCCCTCCGTCTTCCACTGTTGGGTTCATGACCTCAAGGACGTGAAGGTCACCCTGGCTAGTCATGTGGTACTTTTTGCCCATGAAGATCTCCTGGCGGTTGCGGAACCACTTGCCCTTCACACCGCTTTTTGAAAACACGGCCTGGAAGCGGGCTAGCTTGTCCCGACCTTCCTTAACATGCACATTCTCCAGTGGTTGAAGGAATGCGTCTGGTTTCTGCAGGGGTCAGACAGTGCGCAAGGCACTTTTAGAGAACCCAAGTGGACAAGAGATTCGCTTACATGCAGCCCCAGTTCAATGTTACTCAATAATTACTTTTTAATAAAAAAAAGAAGCACGGTGTTCTGCTAAAGAATAAAAAAAAAACAAAATATAGCTAACATCATCTGCATTTAAGGAAAGTGCTCAATTACTGGCCAATGTGTTTCAGGCTGATGTCATAAGGTACACTCATAGAACACATAAGCACTGATTTGTGCACAGTGAAAGTCTTGTAGAGCACTTTTCTTTAGTGTAGGTCTATAACAAGCATAGCGAATGTATCCATCTGAGAGCCATTGTTTGAACTATATCCCTTGCTGATGTCAGCCTTCAATGCTGCCATCGTGACAAATATGTTGCCATAGTATGTTACTGTGCCAACATAGCACACTGGTTCTAAAACCATTCAGCTATTTGGGTAGCATATATTAGACTTACAAAATGGTTCGCTTTTATTGAGGAACGCATAATAATAGGAAAAAAAGCTTTGCGACATCAACAGAATGATTTCATGGTTTTCCAATTTCATACAGTAAATATACATTGAAGCACTGATAGATTTCTCAAATAAGCAAGAAAAAAAATCATCAAAAATACATGTTACAGGCAGCTGACCAGGCACAATAAGGTAACATTAACAAATGACAAAGTGGATAGCATAACTTGGCCATGCTATTTTCCGGCTTTAGTGCAAGCAATCACACCGATACTCCACCACAGCTGATCCTACTTAAACTGTCACATCAGAGGTTCACAGTTCATGCATGTTAGTCTTATGTTTGCAATAATGTTTCATGTCAGTGAAATGCAATATACTAGTGACTGTAAAATGTGTACAAAACATACTATCAAAGAATAAATATAAGTTACTTTCACTATACATGCATACATAATGTGTACTTTGTGCAATGCAGTCTAATTTTGAAGAAAACGTCAGAGTACGGAAAGCATGAAAATATTTCCTCCAGGAAGATGCACAAGTGCTCGATTCGGCAGCATACACAATGTGGTTTGCGGTATGAGGATGCCTATGCAGTTCACTCGCACGGGTTCAGCGAATGCTCAGGGCGCTGTAAAAGTGAGAGCTGCACGCCAATGCATTTTCTGAAGCACCTTACCACACTGCACTTTCTTGTGCGAATGCAAGCGTGTCTTCGCTACAGGTAACGCAGAAAAGTCAGGATATTCTTCAATTGTAACAGAATAGAAAGTTGGGCGAGTTGGTGTATATTCATATTCAAAGAAAAGCAGCGCACAAAAAAGACGGAGACAAAGAACCTCGTTGTACCTCACTTGTCATGCGCGGCTATTACTTTTTAAATTCTTGTTGCTCGGATTAAACTTTCAGTTGTGAGTGCAGCGCTGTGTGTGGTTCTCTTCTTTGTCTCCGTATTTTTTGTGTGCCGCTTTTCTTTGAATATTCTTCAATTTCATCTTTAAAAGTCTTTTTGGCTCTGATACCTCTGTAGATGGTTGAACACTAATGGGACAGAACATAACCTAACCGCTAAGCCTGGTGTAGCAGTGACCTGAACACTTCGTCGCACAGTAAACAGCTTTCAGCAAATTGAACAATAAAGGATCACGTAGTATCTTTTATCATGCAGTTAGCAATGCACATCAAGCGGCCAACAACAAAAAAAACATGCAACATGACACAGAACTACAGAACTACACCAGACATGAAAGCAGCTCAGCCATAAAAGGGACCGATGAGTAACAGAAATAGTTGGAGCTTAGTCACTAGAACAAACGTCCAATAAAACTGGTCAAGAAGGAAGATGTGGAAAGAGAGAGACGCAAGCGAGAACGAGACGACATCCTGCCAACATCTTTGCAAGCTGCACGAAAAAAAGAGCCCAGACACTAGTAAGACGCTACGAGACAAGCACGTCATTTGAGCGGCCAACCTCGCTGCCTCGTCGCACTCTGTGCAGCGTGGGCCAGTCGGGAATGATGTCTGCAAGTGACTGGCGCCTGCTTTCCCAGGGAGAGTGCAGGTCCAACGTCTGAGGTGACGTTTCGGAACCACAGTGGGAGACACGTGAGAGAACAGAGGGCGGGGCGGGCACACATATGGTAAAACAAAAGACACACACAGTACAATGGGACGAGACACACAAAAGTTACAAAAAAGAGCTAACGGCTCATCTCTCGACCAAAGTGAACTTGATTAGAATGCTTGTATTTGAAAATATACGTATACTTTTAAAAGGATGCTAAAGCGAAGCAATGAGCCGGTTTAAAATGATAAATTATTCTCTGAAATCTATGATGACGGCAAATTCACTATCATAGGTTTATAAATAGAGTGTAGATAGTGCAGAGCAAAATCTATGGGACACGAAAAGGTACACACACAATAGACCACTAACTTTCAACAGTAATAAATTTTATCTCCTCTTCAGCAGTTTAAGTACGCTTTATTGTGTGCAAATCTCAGTTGTGTAACGTCAATTATTTGCACTCTACAATCTACCATGATGCCTTACGAACATGCCTGGTCTTCAACCCTATTAATAAAGGAGAAAATCGAGGCAATTTTCCATATTGAAATTTTGTGCCAAAATCTCTGCACATCATGTTACGAAATTCAAAGTATTTTTGGTGACATCAGATCAATGAATTTTCTTGAAAATTGGTATGTTAAATTTATGGTCCCCTCAGAGGACAATGTCCTTCACTTTTACGAATTAGCAACTGCATAAACGCAAGCAGAGGTTATCGAAATCTAAAACATCATGGTGGTTGGTGCAGGAATTTCAAGCTGGCATCACCTCTCGCATTTTCTTTTTGCATGCTTTTTCGTTGACCGAGCATCTCCTCACAGCTAGCTTTGCGATGTTGGTATTGTGTAAAAGCAACTTACTAATATAATACTCTGTTTCTCAGATTTAGTGTCCCTTTAAGGATGTATATTCAATGTATTTGAAATGTACAAGTTTACTTTGAAAAAAGAAAAAAAGAGAGAAACTATTTTGAATCGCTGACAGCAATGGTTACTGTGCACCCTGATTTGCCATTTAGTAAAATTACCCAAGTTTAATGACATACATAATTACTTGACTTTTGCAACCAATTGCATAAATAAAAGGTCATGTAAATTGACAGCACCTTGCCCTATGGTATGCAATGGTTTGCAAAAAAAGTACATTAGTTTAATTATTATAAAACATACAGTTGCATTTATGAAATTATAAGACATAAAGCTTGTTACTGTTACGCCAGTTACTGATTGTGTATTTATTTGACTAACAATTATTTGTAGTACGTGGGATAACAAAAATAATGACAGACACAACAGACAGAACACAGAAGGACAATACAAGAACACTGTAGCACACCACACAGATGTAAACAGAAACAATACACAAACATATACTATACTACATACACACTGAGACCACAGTTTACCACCAGTGCCCAAAGATAGTATGGAAGAAATTTAAATTTGAGTGCGGTGCAATATATCGAGATTTGCAGTGCTCGATCAACTTATCCAGAGACTAGATTCCTTGAGTTGCCTTGATGTTGATCAAACATATCAATCAAAAGATTAAACAAGAGAAAGGAGCAGAAATTCGGCAATGGTGTGGGTAAAGATATCAACTCTATAGCAGTCACTAAACACTGATGGCTAAGTGAAATTAGGCTAGCAACATCCCAAAGCACAATTAAATAAAGAATAACAGAAGTAAAAAGTGGACGTAAAGAAGAATAAGGGAGGGGAAATGGCTGCTAATTTTGAGCACGAGATGTACAGGGCAGAGCCGCTAGGAGTTTGTAAACAAGGTAACAGAAGGAACTGAACATAAACAAGAAAAGACTGAAGAGACGGCAAGCAAAAAGAGAATGAGAGAGAAGATATGTTGGAGGTGGAAGCAAATAAAACGAAAATTGTGAAGCAGCAGTGGACTTAGCGAGAAAGAAGCAGCGCTTCAGGAAAATGCTTCAGAGAAGAGAAGCTATAAAGTTTGCTCGTCATATTGTTAGGCGTATCCAACCTCCATCTTCTCCTTTGGAACCTTGTGAAGAACTGGCCAATCGGGAATAATCTCTGCCAGTGATCGCCGGCGAAGTGTTGAATGAGGAATCATCAGCTCGTCCTCCTGTGTAGGAGTAGGGTATCCCAGCAATGACGTCAAGCGGCACAGTGTCGTCTCTAAGGCTGACAATTATTAGGCAAGTGTGGATGTGAGAATTGTAACCTCTGCTGAATCCTACCCAGAACGGCCACATATCCATGTCAGGAAGCTCAACTTAAATGCGAGGCAGCGCCGAGAAAAACGATGAGAGCCTGGGACGCAGCCCCAAAAATCTGGTCACAAAAATGTGGAAGGCAAAATGAAAAAGCGGGAATCGAAAACTGGATTGAAAAACTTGTTCGACGGCCCCTGAAAAACCTCAGTATCAAATTCAAAAAAGTAAAACAAAAAATCAAGGAACCGTGCAATGACGGATAATTAGAAAGTGCACCATGTGACAAAAAATGTAAAGAAAATAAAGACATAAAATCAACTTTCGAGGGTTCTGGACATTTCAGAACACGCACGTAAAGTACAAACACACACACGAACATGAAAACAGAGAATTCAATATTGGAATAAAAGAAGTAATAAATGTCCATGCTGAAAAAGCATGCAGAGATGTAGAAAAAGGTCTTCAGACAAACACACAAACACACAAAAGTCAGCCAAAAAGATGAAAAATCGCACTCCCATAGATCCAAAACAAAACAAAAAAATTTGGGAAGAGTAAATAAGGCATAAAAAAGGTGACTACATTTTGTTACAAACACTATTCGTTTTATGCTGCAGGATAATCTGTTGAATAATATAAAAAAAACTAAATGTTTGCAAGGCACAAGCCAGTATAAAGCCTACAATGCAATTTTGTGCAACAAACATTCGAAACAAAAGCTTTGCTTTTGTAAAGAGAGGTCCATATTATGAAATGAGCGAAAGAGGATCAGTATTTGGTTTACTGTAGATGCCATATCATGCCTGACATGACATATATAACCACTGAAGTTTCATTATTAAAGAAGCATTCTTAAAAAACAAATCCAATCATGTGCCTATGCATCAAATTATATATTTGATTCACTACATTTTCTAAATTGCAATTAAACATGTTAACAACTTGCAAGGACAAGGATGAAGTGCTGTACTGTTTTATGGAAAACTCTACATGCAGATATAATGAGCAGTGTTATAAATAAAACCGTTGCATGAGAGATGTTACTACTTAAATGGTGAGAGCACAGCAAATTCACAAATCTGCAGGGTAAGCTGAAATCATGCAAACAATATTTTACCGGCTTGCGAAGGCCGATTTGCTCTTTCTCTTCTTCTCGTTGCTTGAGTTGCCAGTCGGGGTCATCTTTTCCCATACCCCATTTGGCATATTGTCTGCACACAAACAAACAGCAGCAAACAAATATTGAGTGTGCTAGGCAATATAGAGTCTAGTTTAACATGACAAAGAACAGCAGTCTAGCTACAGGATGATAAAACTGTGTTGCCCTGTAGTGAAAAAAAAACAACAACATTGCAAGTGCATTTGTCCGACAGAAAAGCTACAAACAACATGTCAACATGGCGTGAAGGCACTATATTGTACTATATATCAACAATGTGCCAAATATAACTTGTTCGTGCTTACCTGAAAGTAATCAAAATTAAAAAAGACGATGCTTTTATGAGATATTATCTAAACCGTCAAACAATAACCAAGAATGAGGAATCCGAAAAATAGATTCTGTGCATGCAAGCAGTGGCACAGTGGTTACATGTAAGCTGTTAAAGCTCAGTCTACTCATGGAACTTACCCTTAACATTGTGAGGTCACTTACAACAATCCCGATTCCATGATTAAATAAAGGCTCTTAGCATTTCCTCTCAGTAAGCTAAGACAGCCACTGCACAATGCATTTTGACAATCTCTTGGTCTAGAAGTACGCACAGAGCACAAAGAGTAGATGGCAACAGGCAGCGCACCTTTTTTTTTTTTTGCGCTGTATTCGAAGTATTGTTGTTGTACGTACACAAACATACACAAAAAAAGCCTACAACCTTTTTCTCACTCAAGCTACTGATAGTATGGCCAATTTTTAGGATAGTGGCTATGCGTTTGGCTATATGTTACCACATCAAAAAAAAAGTATGAATATACAGTTGAACCATACGTAGAAGAGGCATGCTCCGAGAAGTAATTGTTACCTTTTATACAAGATGTCTCTCTTAAACAGGATACCTCGTATGCGTTTTCTTATTAACCCGTATTTTACTGTAGGCAAACTGGTGTCTCTTATACTCATTTGTCTGTTACATCAGTGTCTCTTATAAAGGGGTTCAACTGTAGCCATAATGAAATTTGAAGAAATAATTAAGCAGTAGCATATGCACTTTCTAAGAGCACTTTGTTTAGGGCACCAACTTGACCATCTGAGTTGTTCAAAAGTGCAATGTGAAGTGCCCTTGGAAGTCAGAAAAAGGGTTGACCGCACATGTCTTCGAACAGCTTTGAAACTCGCTACTTTGAGAAATTTAAAGAGAAAATAAAAGTAAAGCTGCTACAGTGAATAAGTTGATCTGAACATGGAGCTTCCACAAGAACTATTAAATTGTGCTCAGCTGAAATGGAAGATATTAGAAAATAAAAAAAAATTGCCCACCTGTGTTTGAGCATGGCACGGAAATCCATACCACTTTCATCTGAAACATACAAGTGCAAATATTTATATAAGGGCTAGTTTATGTAAAGATTCGTCACCTGTACATATTTTGTAACAGCTGCATAAAAAACGGCTGAACTGAAATATACGATATGGACAAAAATAACTGCAATAGAGTAAGTTTCAATGTCTTACAGAAGTAACAGCCAATATGTACATTTCGGCATAATTATCAAAAATTGTGGAGTGCATAGATTTTGGTGCGGGCCTTGTAAATTGTTTGAGTTTAGGCAACCCTTGAGCTTTGTCTTCAAAAGTAGAACATGATAGCCTAATCAAGTCTCCTGCACATAATCATCAACCATGCTGCAAGGAAAGGAAAGTTTGTGCCCTAATATTGGCCTTTTAGGCTTGTGCGAATAGTGAATTTTCGGTTCGAAGCAAATTCGAAGCGAATAGTGATTTTGATCGAATATTTTCGAATCCAATTTGAATGGTATGTATGACATATTAAAAAAAAAGAGAATGTTTATCATGACCCAACTAACCTGCACAATATTTTATTTTTGAATTGAAATAGGGGCTCTATGCAGATGCCATTTCTTTTTTCGTTCAAAGGTAGTCGAAACAACCTTGAGTAGTAGTTTCGGTAGGATGCGAGTGATAACCTGTAAGATACTTAATGTTTTAAAATTTATTATACTTGGATCATATAAGCCGTCATAACAAGCTTAATAATATGAAGAATTGATTTGAAGGCAACATGTTCCTCTAAAGGGGCCCTACAACACTTTTTCAAGTAGCCATGGAGCCAGTAAAAATGCTTGTTGCCTCGCAAATTTACTGCCGCAAAGTTTCTAGAATCAGTCCAGTACGAGCAATGTCAACAAAAATTTGTCCCACATGCAATTGCATTCTCTCTTCTCGTCCCGATGATATAGCTGGAAGCTAAGCAGAGAGGAATGGCATGGCAAAAAAAAAAAATACTCCACATGCACCTCGTGACCTTGAGCCCCTCTTTTTTTTTTTTTCCTTCGTATACCCGGCTTTTCAGTGCAATCGCGCACGTACTAGACGAGCGCGCCATGCTGAAATCAGTCAATGCCTGTGACCAGAGCCGTATATTCTTGCTTGGCTGTGACAAGTGATTTTTGAGCTTGTAGTGTAATTTGCCGAGAAAAGAACGCAACTTTTAGCTTTGAAAATTTATTGTGAATTACAGGTCACGTGCTGCGCTACAATATTTGCCTAGCGCGTTTTCGGTAGCCTCGACTACCGATCGGCAGCGTTTTCTGAACATGTTCAGCAAGTGTTGCAGGGCCCCTTTAAGTTTGAAAGGGGGCTTCACGGCAAAGCGAATGTTTTCTGCGTGGGTACTTTCACTGTTTAGCACCCCTACATTGCAACTAAACCAGTGTTACAGGCGGTGACATGTGGATTAATACACACCAATTCGTTCATTGCGAATACTTCAAAAATATTCGATAATTTGAATTTGTATTGAAGCCAATTCAAATACTCAACTATTCGTTCGAATATTTGAAGCATTCGAATATTCGCACAAGCCTATGGCTTCTTCAAGCTATTCTAGAATGCCTACTGCAAGTACAGTTGCGGAGCACTCACTACGCCATAGTTTTTCCTTTTGCAAACTAGCGAACTTAAGGACACACAATGTGTCCTTGAGGTGCAGTGAAGACTGTGTAATGGGTGGGCAGCTTTGAAGCACCCACTTGTTGCACAATCATTGCCATGTTTTGACGCTTGCTTTAATTCTACAATTTCGCAACACAATATTACACCGATTAAGGAGGCTCCCTCCACTACAGGGCATTCTTCTAGCGTTTTTTTATGAAGAAGCTTTAAGCACTGGCTTGCCTACGTCGTAGAATGCTTCCCTCGCATAGGGCCTAGGTTGGATTCTCACTCGAACTGCAGATTTTTTTATCGTTTATGTGTACTTGCATCTATCTCAAGTTTTCGTTCAAGGACAACGCCAATTTTTCGCTAAAACCAACGAGGCTTATGGCATAATTTCTGCAAAGCAAGCTTTTTAATGCTGTCGCGTTAAAATATGCAAGCTCTACTAAACAATCCTTCACTCATTCAGATAGCGCATACTCAAAGCTTTTTAACGAAGGTAAACTGCACTGGGATAATGAGATTGTAAGTCTGGGCAGTTGGCATTTGCAGGAATTTAGTTGTTAGATTAGGCAAACATGTGGTGAATGTACTTTTCGTGTAAGAAAATTCAAAATTATGTAGGCAACTGAGGAATTATTGTGATTGCAAAGCAACACAGACTCCATGAATAAGGTCGTAGTGAAGGGCTCTGAAGCAATTTGTCCCGTGGGCTCTTTCTCAATGCATAACCAAATCAGAACATGAGCACTTTCTCATTCCATTTTTACTGAAGTGTGGCTGCAGCAACTGAATCAATAACACAGCAGCCAACTAGCGTAGCCACTCAGTGGCTATGTTTCAACAGTGCAAGTCACATAACCCCATGGAATGCTTCGGGAGATGCTTTTTGGTAAAGTTAAGTGAATTTCAAAGTTTTAATGTGCTTCCTTCAGAGGACACAAATTTTCATAGCAAATTTCTTTTTTTTTTTTTTTCAAAAAGTTTACGCATAGTGAAAGCAGGTTTCAGAAAGCAATAAGTGAATGGTTATCAATTAAAAGAAACTTCATGATGGAGTTACGACAACACATGAGGATAAAACTTGATGGTGTTTGTAATCACAGGAAATTAGTTGTGTGCAGTAGGGATGGGTGCCATGTGTTATAGCCAAACACACTTGGCTACTTGGTTGATGTGTGTTTCTCAACCCACTTGCCTTGTGGTGGTGGTGCAGGTTTCGGTGTTCTTGCTGCGCGCTTTGCTGGTTTCTGTGTCAGTGTGGCACCGAATTTCTGCTTAACGTCAGCAATGTTTGTGAGTGGTTGTATCTTTGGGACTGTCTTTTTTACTGTCTTTTGTGCCGCTGTGTTGTGAAGATGAAGTGGCAAAAGTTGTTTCAAACTATCACACAGAGAAACAAACTTTGAAAGCACTGTAAAAAAAATCATAAGTGCACGCACCCACATGCAATCAGCAGTCATTGCTGAAACGTTCGTAGTCAAATGCTTATCAATTCACATTTGTAATGTCCTTTTTTGAGAAAGTGATTATGACTTGGGACGTTAACAGCCTATATGAGGCCGTCTCATCAGAAATCAAAGAAGCTTATGGAGTTTAAACTTTTACAAGTTTCTCTCTCAGTGCCACTTCAAGGCAGCCTAACTGTATGTATCATCAGTTCCATATCCAATAATCCATATAATATTGAGTCAAAAGGTTCCATACAAAACTTGATATGATCACATAAAATCACCTTGGCTGTACATAAAACCTCATATGATTTAAATAAGTGCAGCAATCATAAGGTTCATACTTTTTGGAGAACTAACGTTACATATTTGTTTGAGTACATTAGCATCCTATAAACAATAAAAAAAAAGTGCACTTAAACAATATTTAGCTGGTGAATGTAAAATGTGAATTATCTGCTAATGTAGGCATCTGCATCATGACATGTAGAGCAGTATTTACTTGTTAGAGCTGATCATAAACCAGCTGGAATGTTCATTACAACTATTCCAGGTACTAGTTAATACTAGCTATTAGTTTCTGGCACAATTAATTAGCGTTATTCTAAGTAAAAACAAAAATCATTTGAAGAAAACAATAATTTAGAATTTTTGAAGGTTCTTTTTTGTGTGTTTTTAGATCGTGCTAAAACATGAAAAAAAATCTGTGTTGTGTGTCTGAAATTGACTGCCCCATATTAAGTGTACAAAAACACAACTCCGTAAATTTTAGATGCAAGAGTCCCCGAAACACCAGACACAGATATAACCAATAGTTGCTTTTCATGAAAAAAATGAGTAATAGAGTCACAAATATATGTTTATAATTTTCGCATATAACAAAGTCACTTTCATGTCAGACGTGACTGCTATATGAGGTTTGAGTGTATTTCCACCATACAACAAATTAGACAGGGGAAAGATTACAAGAATACCCGTACTATTTATGCAACATTCTGCTGGTATGGTAATAAATAACCCAAATATTTCTTTTCCATAAATTTTCTTTTTTGCAGACTTTGCACACAATGCAAGTTCCTACAGTATTACATTAATCCCAAGCGTAATAAAATAAAGACAGTATGGCTCGAATGAGCTCAAGTTTTCTTGGAACTTGGCGATACAAATGCGCACAAGATGCCTCTTGGGTAGTAAAACATTTACTAAAAAGCATTAACCTTTTGTGCAAATGTGTGCATAGTGATACACAAGACATTTCGTACAATGAAATTCAAATAGGTGCATGTAACAGTGTTAGTTACACAAAAATAAAGTACAAAAAGAAATTGCCACTTGCAACTACAACACATTTTAATGTAGCTCACAACACTGATTTTCTGACTAGAGCTACGTGAATGCATACATAGTCTCCTGTTGCCAATGGTAGGCTTCGCGACTGGAATATTCGGCACTGCAGCCTAAATGGCAGATCAGCCCAGCTAAAGTAATTGCAAGTTAAAACAACCCACGCGCTTATTAAAATCTGCAGGTTCAAAAACATTTCTTGCTTCACAACCCCCTCAAGGATTTGCAATATTTTACCAGCTCCATAGAAAACTATAACACAGACAGAATACATGCTCACAACCTTGCAGGCCCTCAGCTCAAAGGTTTCTCATGATTGACGCCCAGTTCATACCTTATTATGTGGTTTATTTTATACCATTTTCAGGTATTTCAGCCTTGCATATGTTGTGTATTGAGCATGTTTCTGATGGCATAATCATCATCACCATCATCATCAGCCTGACTACACCTATTGCAGAACAAAGGCCTCTCCCATGTTCCGCCAGTCAACTCGGTCCTGTGCTTGCTGCTGCCACTTTATACCCGCAAACTTCCTAATCTCATCTGCCCACCTAACTTTGTGTCTCTCCCTCACCCGCTTGCCTTCTCTGGGAATTCAGTCAGTTATCTCTAATAACCAGCGGTTATCTTGCCTTTGCGCTACGTGCCATACTCATGACCATTTATTCTTCTTGATTTTGACTATGATGTCCTTAACACCTGCTTGTTCCCTGATACACTCTGCTCTTTTCTAGTCCCTTAGTATTATACCTATAATTTTTTTTTCCATTGCTGACTGAGTCGTCCTCTTGTGGCATCATACTATGTATTGAATTCTACATCAGTGCTCATATTTCCTGACTGGCAGAAGTAGTTAGGAATGTTGAACAGTAAGAAAAAAAAAAATGCCAGGCCTGCATCAAACACACAGCACAGTCACAGCAAAAGCTGGAGAGGGAACCTCTCCGGAGTCCGTTGTCAACTCTCTTAGGGTGACCATTGCAAGCACAGTTGCATGATACCCACTACACCATAAATATATTTTTTGAAAATTTCGAAATAGGGTAGTGGCCATGATGCCATGATTCAACATACTATAGAGAAGTGAGGAACACTCTATGCATCATTATGTTCACCTTGTTGATGCTGTGGCTGATGACAATGAAGAATTATAGCTGAGCTCTTTGTAAAACATGGCAAACTTTAAATCATTCACTGGTTATACAATTCACATTGTGTGATGCCTGGCTGTTATTTTACTCTTCTGTTATGCCATACTACATCTGCTAATAGGATTCCTTGGCCAACATGACGCCTGTATAGGGTATTTTAGCGATGTGAGCGTCAAGCACCAGTGTGGCACTATAGTAGAACACTCAACTTCCATCCAGAGGGATTGCGTTCAAATACAACCTGATACCGGATATATATATTTTTTATCATTTTGCGCTATACCATTTACGAACACTGGTAATGACTGCCGCAGTGACGGACAACTATGCCACCAAAATCGGCTGTTGTGATCTCTCATGACAGCTTTTAAGAAGAAGAAAAAGAAGATATTTTTTATTTGTCGCAAAAAATATACACGCATTGAGGTAGAATATACAGAAGGAGGTCCCATAGCACAAGGCTGAAAGGGGAACTCCTGTTAGAAAGTGACTTTTTGCTGTGTAAAAAGAAAGAACGCTCGACTACTCACCGCTCACAAAGAGATTCATGGTGACAGAGTCCTCGCCGTGTTTGTTGTAAGCGACGACCTTATATTTGCCCTCATCAGTACTCTTGGCCTTGCGGATGCAGAAGCACACCGTATTTGTTTCGCCATCGGTGATCACCTTGTAGCGACCTCCCTCATACACCTCGCTCACTCCCTTGTAGAAACGGAATTGAGGCACAGGGTTGCCCTCCACCTGAACTGACAGGTAGGCAGTACCACCTGCACAGATCATGACACACGCCCCATGTAAATGGTTTGAAACAAAAGCAATGCAGCTACTGGCCCAGTCGGAAGTGGCACATGATGTCACTGGCCCTTTAAAGCCCTTATTGTCTCCTTTTTTGCATTAATGGATCACTAAAATAAAACAATACATTGACTTAGACTGTTAATTTATTTTCTAAAGCTCCTCTATCATTAATTTGACTATCATAGGTTTATTAATAGAAGAGAAAATGAAGTTTAAAGTCTCACTTTAAAATTTCATGCAAAAGCACCTGTGCATAATTTAAAGCATTTAAAAGTGTCATAACTTTAAAGTCCTTCACCAGGTTTTGACCATACTGGCTCGAAAAATTTTTTGAAACTTGGTTTGTTAGGTTTCCGGCACCTTCAAAGCACACTTTACTTCACTTTCACCAAGAACTACTCATATGTAGGTATTAGTAGGGGGGTGTCAAAATCCATGAGCCCACAGCAAGTTGGTGCAGCATCTTCAAAATAGCGTCTCCACCTGCATTTAGTTTTCACATGTTTTATCATATTTTCCGGACTTTTAAGCATCTTCTCACCACAAGAGTGGTGTTTTTGGTATTGTGGGATGGTAATCTACTAAAACAAGAAGCATAATCTCTCCCTTTGTGACCCTTTAAGACAGTCAGTTAAAAGTCAGTCGTTGGCTTCAACAGACGAATTGTGATTATGGGGCAATTGCTAGCCTGTAGACATTTATGACAGCGTTCTAATTTGGCAGAAAGATTTTAAAGGTGCAATCTCAGAATATTCTGTCAGGAAAATTCAGATAAAGATGACTTAATGAAGCCAGACTAGACTTCATTTCTTCATGCTGCACAAAAGCACACACGCAACTTGCATTTTAAACTTATTTTCATAGCAAACAACATTTATAATTCAACCCAAGACACACTAAACCTTGTGGACACAGCAAATATAGAGACTACAATACATGCTTGGCAATGAAATGTAAACTTATCTCGCCTTATTCTGTTCATAAAAAGGGATCAAGGGCTCATTATTCTTGTTGGCTTCATTAGGTTAATCCATCCGTATGATATATGAACGACAGGCTGAAGATGAATCTGTGTGCTTTGAAGAGCAGCCTGCAGTTGTCCCTACATGTCATACAAAGCGGGAAACTTCAACGAGAACAAAGCAGTAAAGCATTTAATGAGTTTCGTCAAGTTGTTCATGTTACCTTCAACAGCTGTGACATTCTCCTGGTAATCCACAATGTTCGGCGGTCCCTCTTCACTCTCGGGAATGGGCCGCAGAGGCGTTGACGGTTTCTCAACCTTTTCTTGTAGCTCAGAAACACTACAAGAAACAGTAAAAATCAGATGTGATAAGCATTAAAAACTAATATGGCCCGAAGTTGTGAACAGATTCTAACCTGGCCCGTCGCATGTCGATACTGGAACGACGCCGCTGCCTCACTTCAACCATTTCACCCGGCCGAAGTTTTTTCATTTTGCCGGCCTCGTCGACCACCATTCCTTTCTGTCAACAGTGATGCAACACACGGTTAGATAGTGTGAGTTGCTTTGTACTTGCTTTGATTTTTGCCTTTCCAAATACAATCAGCTGTTACCTGCATGGGCAATAACCTATCTCTCTTTCTCCAACATGTTTATGAATTTTAACTATCTCTCAATAGCTTCGAAAATTGTCACAGATGTCGAAAGACAAGTCTACCTAGAGGGAAACAAGACTATCGAATCAATTAACTTATATTGAGTACAAAATATACAGCATTTATATAAATGGCAAAGCTGCAAAATGCTTAATAATAATAAGCATAATTTCTGACAGCACAAAATAAATAAAAATGTGAAAGAAGTGTTTTCGTTTAATTGGCATTACGAGAAACTATTCATCAGTATTGACTATCTCAACCTCAGTGCTCGCTAATAATAAGAACCGCATCCCTCACCACACGTTGATAGAAGAGGCAAGTACAAAAAGTGACAATTCACTTGTCTAGGTTCCTGCCTCCTGAAGCATGTTACCAAAATCTGAATTTGGAAGCAGATTTACAACCTACCCTAAAGAAGCAAACTACTACTCCTATCTTTTACAGTACCTGAAGCAACTAAGAGAACACAAGTGGGGAAAGATGGCACCTGTGCATACGAAGAAATGGAGACATAAAACAGTTCAGGAAAAAGCTTTCAAAAGCCAGAGCAGTAGCAGAGAAAGCAGAAACGACAAAGGCTGCCTCGTGCATCCCGCAGCCTTGGGAGTGCATGCAGCAAGCAGGCAAGCATTTGTGACACAGGAAAACAGAGATTCAAGGCATTCGACAACAGCATACAGTAGAGAGATAAGTGTGAAGAGCGTTGGTGCCCCGAGAACACAGCACAGAATGAAATGACGCATGGATTTGTGATGCAAGGGATCGACCTTGAAGCCAGAAGTGCTCAGTTGTGACCTGAAACTTCAGAGGGTCTTCAGGTTCCGGACGATGCATGGGACGGACAGCTGACAAAGCATTGTTGAATAAGGGAAAAAGATAGGACAGAGAGGTGAGAAAATGAACAGGGGAAAAAAAAAGTACAGCAATAGCAGTGAGAACATGTCACAGTGGGGTTGCAACAAGTACAAAGAAATAATAACAGCAATACAGTACAGAAAGTGAACAGCACAAGAGTTTAATAATGAATCATAGCCACAACAAAAAAAAGAAGAGAAATTCATTTCGTTCCAACTTGATTATGTAGATGTCATGTCATGACGCTGGGTGCATGTGAGAACAGTAGACGTGTAAGTTCAAGATGTAAGAAGTGAAACGAAAGAACTAAATGGTCTAACAACAGAGAATTAATACAGCACAGGACATCACATACAGGCACATTGCCATACATAATCGAAGTGTATTAGTGTAGTAAAACACAGTGTTTGGCAAGTGGGTATGCATGGCACATTGTAGTTTGAACATGGCACAGTGTTAGCTGTGATGGTTTAATTAAAGTGTTGTGCAAATCGTTGCTAGGTAGTTACAGTAGGCTTGCGATGATTCAAACTGAATTTGTATGTAGGTAAAAATGAATTTCGCTTGATCGGGTAAGGAAGCACTTTTGTTCGAAGCGTCTTTATGTTCGTGAAACTGACCCACCACCCCCATGCTATGTATGATAAATGTGCTACTAAAATAACCAGCTGTTAATTTAACGAACACAAGTCTACTTTTCAAAAGCCAGTTTTAGTGACTTTCCTCAGTTTCCACTGTCAATCAGTTCAAGCCTCAACATTGCGAACTGCTTTCTTGTTTTATATGTTGATACATCTTAAATGAACTAACTCAAGACGCATCTTTATTTTCTCTGATTTCTGAAGTTTTCCACAGGATGTGTTAACTTTGAGAGGGAAGCTCTGAGAGTCATATAAAGTCAAGCGCAGGGACTGTTGAATAGATTAACTATTTGTTGTTTATACAGTCAAAGAGAGAGAATATTCAAAAACTTTCTTTAGTATTGCTATCTGTAATCTGCCAATACACTAAGCACAAAACAAAATCTTTTTGCTTGTGCTTTGCGTGTGTGTGTCTATTTACATCTGTTACACACAAGTAGAGGTTACAGCATTCTATGCATAGATGCAAGATAAAAAAATGCCTCTATTCTCTGGCATAATAAAAGTGTACATATTAGATAAGGTAACTCAAATAAACATCTGTGAGTCTGGATAGTTTGAATAAATGCCAGCCTACTGTACACATGAGACAAGTCTTAGAGTCAAAAAGACAGTTATCAACCCTTCCCATTTGGCCTGGTCAGTTGTATTTCACACATAGTTGTGGATCAAGTGGAACTGTCAGAAGCGAAAATTCATGCTTCAATGTAACAAGGCTCCATTGTATACAAACGAGTGCGTGAACGAATTGCTTTATAAATTGCATCTTTTAAGATGTGACTGAAGCAAAAGCAAAAGTTTGTGCCGCATGTTATCTTGCAAGAGCTGGACAAAGCCCACAAAGCTATGAGGCTAATGACAGAAGCTGCCAACTGGAAAGCTGCGAGTGCTGGTGCAATGTAATACAAAGCCCTAAGCACAACAAAATGCAAGAAAGACTGGCAAAGACAGCTGTAAGAAAGCAGCTTGGCATTGTGATAGCTTCGAGTAAACCATTAAAGGCTCCCCCCACCAAAAAATGTCAAAAGAGAAGGTGTTGAAAAAATGCCAAAAATACGGCTAAAATACAAGACTGTAGTGCCTACAAAATGCTAGGCAGGTGCGGCACACGTGGCATCCACAGCGCAAATGGCATTTGCTGCAATTTGAGATGAAAAAAACCATTAGCTATAACACAGCATCTGTGCTCTTTGTGTGCTATGGTTGTGCAGGGTAGAAGCTTTAGCAGTGGAAATAAGTTGCAATGAGATATGTTGCCGGCAGGATACACAGTGGTCCTGGGAAGCTGCAAGCAAGTCTGTGACGAAGTGTCCGGAGTATGAAGCGAGACATCAGAAAGCAGGAGCAGTGGAAAGCCATTCAGAAATGCCGGATTTGGATGTCAATTTGCAGGTGGGTAACCACAGTTTCGTGCAAGCTCATGACTGATAAGGTGACAGCTTAACAAGTTGTTTTTGTCAATGGCCTTATGAGCAGCATGGCAAGAATGTAACGTGAGCTTAAACTGTCAAGGGGGCCTAGAGCTGGAACCGATGCGTATGGTGGTACTCTAAGCTGTATTTAATGCAGTCATAGCAGCAGGTAGCTCATTCATAGCGCCGAAGTGTCTGATTCTGTACTTAATTGCAAAATCATATTCTAAGCACTAGTGTAAAGCATAAGCTACGACGCGAGGCTCAATGTTTGGTTAAGTACTTGCTGCTGATGATGCAAGTAGTATGAGGTTTGTCACCTTACCAGCAAGCAATGGAAACACATGCCGCATTTTCTTCTGGGATACAGCTGCTTGGGATGTGACAGGAGAGAAGAAGTAATAGAGTGCAAGCATCTCTGGCTGCACTGCCAACAACGACCAGGCCAAAAAAAAAAAAAGCGGACAACACCGAGAAAAGACACTACAGGGTTAAAGCCAGGCACTGTGTCCCGCATCGAACCAACCTCGTCGGCTGTGATGATGACAGAGCCTCGGCGTGAACCGGCCGGCGAGCCACCAGGAGATACAGGCTCAAGCGTGCCACCAGGCCCAACAGCCAACGATTCTTTTCGATTCGGTTCAGGCGTGGGTTCTTTGACGATAGGCACCACTCGCTTCGGCGGCGCTTCTTCCGGTTCCTGGACCGCAATCTCTGGAACAGACTCCTTCTTCTTTGGCTTTGGAGCTTCAGCAGGTTTAGCTGGCACACCATTTGCGACCGGACTCGGCTGACAAATACATGAGAGTCTGTTTTGAGGCATTGCTCCCCTACTGAGAGTGAAAGTACACATTTTCACAGACAGTGTGCCTACAGTGAAGTTTGAGGTGAGGGTTCGGCGAGATGCTACATCAGTGCTTGGACACCCTGAAAGAAACATCCTAGAGCAAAGATGTATGGACCTAGAAGAGAGAAGAAAGTTAGACATATCGCGCAGCATGCAAGCGGGCGGCTTCAAAATGAAGGCATCGGCAAGCTTGATGCCAAGTTTGCCAAGACTGTGATGCAGCTTGCTAAAAACCGCATCTTGATGTAGGATTCAGCCAGGCACAGCAACGGAGCTCATAAAGCAGTTAGGGCTGGGGGATGAAAAAAAAGAAAACATGGCTGCTGGGGCGAGAATAAACTGGCAAAGGCAACAGTGAAAACTCAGCATTGCTGATGTGTTGTTTTGCATGACACCGCTTCAGCATGCTTTTTTGAGCAAAATACAAACTTTTTCACTGTGGCCTAGCCATGTGCATTGAACAGCGGCAGCAGCAATAGCGTTGCAGCAGCAGCTTGAAGGACAAACCCAATTCACGCTGGTCTCGACAGCGTACCTCGAGCATCTTTTCAGCATCTTCTACGGTCATGACGACTCCCTGGACTGTGACAGTCGCCGTTTGCGGCAGATTCACGAGTTCTGCTGGAATATGCCCTGGCTCGGCTGCGACGCACACGGAGCTCCGTCGCCCGCGCGGTGATGGTGGCGGTTCTGCGGCCTTTTCAGGAGAACCGGCCCGTTTTATTGATCGCATTTTCGGTTTGGGCTTTGGAGCCTCCTCTTTGGGCTCTTCTTCATCTTTGCCTTTCTTGACGCTCCTTTTCTTTTTGGGTTTCTTGGATGCTTCAGTGTCGTCAACCATGATCACTGGCACTGAAGACTTACGAGCTGGTGGAGACTCTACACTTTCTAAGGGCACTGGTTCATATCCCTCCTCCTTAAACTTGTACACCAGAGGTTCGCCGAAGTCCCGTTCTTCGTCTTCTCCTTCTGGTTGGCCTTGAAGCTGAAAACCCATCACCGTCCTTGGGGACTTTGATCGTGGGGACTGCGAAGGTGACGAGGCGACAGACTCATTGTCGGACGGCACTTCGGGGGCTAGGTTCAGAGGTGGCGGAATCTTGTCTTTCTTTTTAGGAGCAGCTGGTGGAGGTGTAGGAGAAATAATCTGCTCTGGTGCAGGCATGGTGGGTGATTTAGGACTTTCGTCATTTTGGAGGGGTTCGATCTTGTCACTGGGTCGTCTCTTGCTGATGGACGGTCGACGCTCTTCCACGGGCGACGGTTCGCGAATAATTTCATCCTTTATTGACTCCGTGACTTCATCATTTTGCTGGCGGTCGAGACTCGTTCTGCGCTCTGGTAGCGCCTTTTTGTCGGCTTCGAGCTTCGATGGCTGCAAAGCAATGCACCTTTCAACCACAGCACAACGATAACCGGAGGACTCTGTGGAAGCTCCGTAGCTGTGCTGATGCCTAGTTTGCTTAGAGACAAAGAAAATGTCAGTGGAGTAAACAGCGCACAACATGATACATATGAAAATAAAAAAATGCACCCATTTATGTGGAAGATTTTCAATTGTTTTGTTATGGTAGTTCTTTTAGGACAAACATTCAGAAGCGTCAAAATCTTGTGCAGTTACACTTAAAGTAATGTGCACTTGGCATACTACTACAAAACAAATCTAATCTAACAAGATCACCAACTAGCATACTTAAAAAAAACGAAAGCGTATGAGCTTTTAACACTGCTACAAAACAGGACACAGAACAAATCAGCAAGAAACAGTGAAACATCCAAGGTGAATCTCTACACACACACACGAGACATACGCACACACATACACTCAGACACAATGGCTATGTTCCTACGGGCAGCACTCCAGAATGTTTAGGTAGAGCGCATCACTAAAATGTGAGGTGCGTCCTGATGTCAAGACCATTGCAGTAAAAAACTAAAGTATGCTTATAGTGTAAAACTATATACTGTGTCATTAGGGTAAATATATTGCTTTAACATACGTTTTCGGATCCATAAAGTCAGCTTGACGTGCTGATTGAAGTTGTGTAGCTAACGAAGGTTAAGGTGTCACAATTACTACAGAAGTACTGCGAGGATGTCTGTGATTTTTCTCATATGCAGCCTTTCTTATTCTTTTGATTATGATAATCTATGAGCATTTGATGGTCCTTCTGATGGCACTAGGGCCAGCTCTAGCCAAAAGGCATTTAGACCATGATAATAAGTTGCTCATGCACAGTTGGCCAAATCTATAGCTGTCGTGCATAAGTGGCAGTTTTTTCTGTGTATCTTTGCTATATGACTGAATTAAGTTTCAGAAAAGGTGAAGACAAGTGTACGCCTACAAAGCACACATCAACGAAGCAGTTTTTTGTAAATTCGTTCTATAATATGGTGCTGACTGACAAAGAAGTGGTCGCTGCACACAATAGTTAAAGTTTTGGCTGACTTTACATGCAATACAGTTGGCACATGCAGTGCAGACACAACCTGGCTCTAAGATACCTAAAAACCATTAATAAAAAGAAACTGGACCCTTTACCCATGAGTGGACACGACACATTGAAATTATCAGGTGTATCATTGCTACGAAGTTTTTGTGATCAAGCTCTGGCCAAGTGGCCTGACAGACTTGGTTTCAGTAATTCTAAAAGTCACATCGATTTTGCCTTGCACTGACACACCACATTCTTGGCTGAACTATAGAGAAAATAAATTTTTAAAAAGTTGCAATCGTTTAAAAATTCCAAAAAAGAATCTGATTCCGGCCTTTAGCTCCCTGCCATGTCTTTCAAGAAAGGTTATCGAAAAATCACGGCTTGTGAGAAACCACAGAATCAGGCCTAGATAGAATAGCACAAGAAATTAAGCAAGATCATCATACAAATGTCGTGTCTCTGCAAATATAAAAATATTTAAACCTATGTTCCCACTTGTTTGGATTGCCTATTTTTCAGCAGCTATGGCTCTACACCTCTCCTGCCGCTTGCACTCTGTCATTTGCCGTACTAAACTTTAGCGTAAGAAATTTCTGCGGCTTTACCATCAACATCCCACCATGCTGCCTCATCACTTTCCTACAATGCTCATGATGCACACCGTCATACAGCTAACCCTCAATGACGTGCAACATGCCACGTAATACGACAACACAATCAATAAAATTAAGCTGTACCTTATCGATCGAGGGCTTCCTCTCAATGGTCTCAGGCTTCAGCTCGTCGGGCTTCTTTTCTGCTGCCTTCTTCTCGGCGGGCTTCTTAGCCTCCACCTTTTTCTCCTCGACTTTCTTGACTTCAGCTTTCTCCTCAATCTTCACTTCCTCTACCTTCTTCTTCTCTTCCACTTTCTTCTTTTCCTCAACCTTTTTCTCTTCAACCTTCTTTGGCTCAGGCTTCTTCTCTTCTGGCTTCTTCTCCTCAACCTTCTTTTCTTCGGGTTTCTTTTCTTCTGGCTTCTTTTTTGGAGCATCTGAAACAGTTTCAGGTAACAACAATGCTTAGATGCAAGTCACTTAGAGAGTGTGACACTGATTACACAAAACATTAGCTATTTTAGCGTTTCTTCTTTACTGTAGAATTATAATTTGTATATTATTTATCTTGACCACAATACAAGCCACCAAGATGCTGTAAGAAGCCATATCAGTAACGCTCTATAGTGACGCCATATCTAACCAAAGTTGTGCATTACAGGGGAAACTGCTCTTCAAAATTTTTTTTATTCAGGATAGATTTTGATGAAAATTGCTGAGTTATGTATATTTGTGAGCTGGATTCAAATTTTCAATTATTTAATAATACATCACCTAGATCTCTATACATGAAGTATTTTTTGTACTACCCTATATATCGAAATAATGTTCTTGTAAACTGCAAGAAAATTGTTAAGCAAATTGACACATCACAATAATCTGGACTGGTAGCTGTATGAAGTAGGATAAGCATGGATCGTCTGAACTGATGTGAACAAAAGTTATAGTTTGTTGAACTCTTGTGAGCAAGTCAATGCAAGCTGGGATTTTGCTCAAAAATTGTTCAACATATGATAACTTTTGGTCAAATGAGTTTAAAACATCCGTTCTTGTTCTACATCATACAGTTATGATTCCTGGATATTGTGATATGCCAAGTTACTTTGTGACTGTCTCAGTTTAAGAGATATCTTCCCAAAAAAGGCACATCAAATGTTTCATATTTTATAAGCTATATACACTAAAATCTCCTTACAATGAAGTCTCATCTTGCACATTAATAACTTCACTACTATATCTGAAAGTTTGTTAGAAACATTTATTCATAACACTGTATCTAATAATGTGCTTCATCTACTTTGTTAAAATCAATAATTTATTATTGTTTGAGTGCATTACACATTTTCATTACCCTTGATTCTATTCTGAAAGCAAGACAAAAATTTATCTTTTGGTATTAAATGTATGTCTCTTGCAAAGAGAGAGGCGAGACAGAGGCCAACCTTTGACAATGAGCTCAGCCGAAGATTCCTCCTTGCCAAACTCGTTCGTGAACTCGACTGTGTAGTTTCCAGCCAAGTCCTTGGTAGCTGGCGAGAAGACGAGCTTCGCCGTGGAACCATCGAAGGTGATTCGGGTGCTGGTTGTTTCCCGGACGACCCTCTTGTTCCTGGGAAACGGGGAGCAGCAAAAAAACATTTTTACAATAGGTCTTTGCTATAATTTTATAAGTTTCAAAACACAGCTGAAGCACTAATAATCTCTGTCTATTAGCAGCACTGTTAGTACTAAGTATACACCGGGGTATGCGTGTCAGGTTTGTCATATAATGAAGCTTCGACGACTTGTGCATATTTATAGTGCAATCGCATTTTTGTACATAAGCGCTTCTCAGTGCGATTGTGTGATGACAAAAGCACAGTACAGGAATAGAGCTGTGGACATGACAATATTGGGGGCACCATGCAACTCCCAGTGAGCCACCATGATTAGTAAGCCAAGTAGAAGACAGTAATAGTAATACCTCACTCAGATTCCTTATCACACATTTTATTTACAGGCAAGTTATTTGGCTAATAAAAACTAGTTGAACAAAAACATATGAGAAAATTGCGTTACTTATCACAGAGTCTAATCAAACACAGTTACCAAGAACAGCTCTATCTTGCAAGACATGTAGGTGCTGACACTGAAAAATGCTGTAACTACGGTTGAGTTCCCAACAAATGTAGAACCATTTTCTGTACCAATTGCACTGTTTGGACTGAATTTATAAGCAATCCTTTTTTTCCTTTTCAGATCTCTGATTCTTAGAATAAGTTGTTGCTATAGACAGATAAGCAAGGCACACTTGAACAAACAAAAGGCCACAGAAGATCAGTCAGCAATTAAGTGTAGCTATGTTTCGCTGGTCAACAAACTGTTTTTGTACACCTGCTTTCATCTCAAGAGTGCAACATATCTTGGCTACGTCTTTCCTGCTCCCGCTTGAAGAACAAACTTACACGGTATATTATTTGCCAGTAATATTTATATGCATTATGCCCTGGTTCAAGGTTCTTAAAGCAAGAAAGCCAATAAGCAGCTTTTAAACTTGCACCTTTGGAAGCCCACAGTTACTTTATGGCATAAGATAAAAGATAGAAAAAGAAGCAAATGAGCCAAATGAGACATTTTATAGATTCTTGTGTAGTTAGCAGTCAATGACTATGCAAGAAAGGTCATTGGAGAATATCAAAAGACACAGTTAAAAACTCACTTCATCCAGACAACCGTGACCTTGGTGACAGATTCAACACGGCAGACAAATTCACAAGTCTTGCCTTCTTCAACAGTCTGAAACAAACCAGCGAAAAGAGGCATTTATCAATGAGGTGTAAGTCATACAAACAACGAGGTACCGCACAGGCTATAGCACTTGAACCTACCTGAGAAGCCAACATTTGCACAATCTTTGGCTTCTCCCCCTTGGGCTTTCTGCAAGAGCACGTTCAAGAGCACGTTCAGTACTTCATCAGAGTCGGTTTCATTTTAATACAGCCACATAATCAAGCCAAAGTTTGTGAGTTTGGTTTAAATCAAATAAAATTTGCAACAAGAGAAACTCACGGCTCCTCCTTTTTCTCGGGTTCTTTCTTTTCAGGCTCTTTCTTCTCCTCTGAAATGAAAAAAAGATACAACAATCACAAAAATCCTCACAAGGCAATACTGAAAGATATACTACAGGTGTGGTATGGTCAGTGATAAATCTTGAGAGCTCGAATCAGACAAGCACGAGGAACGTAGTATGCCCACATGTGCTTCGTCCACCTTCTTTCCGACTCATCCCAATGCTTTAAATTTGTTACTACACTTCACCAAGGCTCAACGTCTATACTGTGTAATCTACTCTGTCCCTTTGTGTGGCATAAAGTTAAAACAGACATTACTGATGGTTACCAGGCAAATTCCTGATGAGACACTTAGAAAATGCATACACATGAGGGTGTATTTGCAACATAATTGAACTACACATGCCAGCGAGAACTAGTGTTGTAATTCCGTTAAATTCGAGAATGTCAGTATTTATTTTACCTTTTTTTTTTCTTTACTTGTTCCAGATCTCTGTTTCGCTTTGTCCCCCTGTTATTATCCCCACTGTGATTGACATTGCATATAAATAAAAATGAAATAAACGCTGCGACAACTCTTCTCACCTTCGAGGTCGACAGCAACAGTCTGAGAAGCAGCCTCGCCCTTGACGTTCTTGGCGACCAGCTTGTAAACGCCCTTGTCTTGAACGGCCGGTTTGTCGATTTCGAGCGCCACGGCGAACTCTCCCTGAGACACCTGGCGGATGTGCACCTGGTGGCGAGTGTCCTCGCGCACCTGGGTGTTCTCCTTGAACCAGATCACCTCTGGCTTGTTCGTTGACTGCACGTGACACTCGATGACGATCGTCTTGTGCAGCTCCCGCCTGACCACCTTGGGCCGCTCCTTGATTACAGGTGCCACTGTGAGGCATATGGAAGAACATAGGCATAAGATAAGGTGTGAGTAACCATTCGAGCCTGTCTGAAGAGAAATGGCTTGAACTCCTCTGTTCGTTTCAGCTCATGAAAAAGTACTGCACAAAAAAATTACAAGGTGTGGCATTACAGCAGACTCTCTGATGAACAGAAATCTCTTGAATTGAACCACTGCCTTTGACATGATTGGTTTCATTCTTCAACTCTACAACTCTGTTCGTCTTTCAGTAAACGGAAGTCTTGTAAAACGGAATATATTTTTCTGGTCCCAAGAGTGTCTACTTATGTTGGTACTACCTACACCTTATCAGTTATGGACACAGACTGAAGCGTGAGAAACGTGAAATTTAGAGGGCTACAGAATACATCTTGCGAGTCTATGCACGATATGCTCCTTCTGTATATGTACCTAATCAAATCAAATCTTCATTTCCACCATGCATATATTCACAGAAGGAGGGCAACAAATAAAAGCTGCTGATAGGTGACTTGACAAGCATGTGTATAGCTTATTTTTACTAAAAATTTGATCAATTGAAAAAAATAATCACCGATACAATTTTTGTTGAAATTTATTACTAAACTGTTAGTGCTTGAAAAAAGATGGCGAGATAACTATTATTGATTTTACAATGATTTATTGCGACGTTGCTTAGATCCTTGTCATCAGTGTGGGAATCTAGACACTTTCATCACATTTTTGCACAATGGTGAACTGCATATGAGACTGTGATGAGTGAGTCTTTAGGTGACTGAAGTTTATTCAGAACCATTATCGATCCCACCATTAACACCTCTCTCCCCTTATTCACCCCCATTCCCTTTGCCCAACACTTGAGTAGCAGCTAAGAACATCAATTCTGGTCAACCCCTCAACATTTATACCACACTTATAAACGAGTTTGTAATAGTTTCACCAAAACGAAATTCCTATGGAAGAGCTAAAGAGCATAACAAAAGGTGATTATAGAAAACATCCCAAATGAGCTTACACTCGATGTTGAGGGTCAGGTTCGCATTGCTCTCGCCCGCTTCGTTCTTAACGTTGCACTTGTAGATGCCAGCATCCGAAAACTCGGGATCCTAGAACATAGCGCAAAGGATCATTAGATCAACTGACAAATAGTTCTGAAGGACATATACAGCGTACATTATGTTTCAAGAAGTAACAAAGCCAAGAAAAAAGGTGTACCAATTCTCAAAGCCTGATAGTGAGAAACAACCATACAAAAAGAAAATAATAAAGGTCATTTTATTTTTTTCATAAGTATCAATATGACTAGTGAATCACTTAAACCTCAAATTAGCAAAGTGCAAGCCTTTTAAAAAGCGGCTGCAAATAAAAAATTCTACAACAGGCTGTACAATATTTGGGTGCTGATCCTATTTTTTTTTTTTAATGCCCTCTACATCTGTATGTAAACTGTTCATGTTTCTTCAAGTGTCCATGTCTGGGAAATGATTGTCTCGTCGCTCCTTTGCCAAATAAAAATAACAAATATGTATTTAAAAGGTTTTAGTTTCTGCATATATCAGTGTGTGCATATCTAGCAAAGCGAAAGACGAGTGTTCCCTTAACACCTTTTTCCAGGCAGTAGCAAGCCCTCTGAGACTGAAAGGTGTTTAGAAAAACTTCGATGCACTGCAGAGCTTGCACAAGCCGCTGCACTCACCCGAAGTTCCAGCCGAATGTGGTACACATCTTTGTCCTGCTTGATGGTCTGCGTGATGCGCTTGTTGTCGGCGACAGAGACGCCCTCCTTCATCCACGTGATGGTTGGCTTGGGGTCAGCACGCACCTTGCACTCCATGATGATCAGCTTGCCTTCGTCCTCGGCTGTGATCTGTGGTTTCTCCACGAATGATGGTGCCACTCCAGTTGGTGCAGCAGCACCTGAGATGACATTGATTGATTTATTGATTGACTGACCGATCGATCGATTCATCAACTGATCGAACGATTGACTAATAGTTTGATGCCAGCAGCAGTCATGTCTGTTTACATATTTTGAAAGTTCACTGGGAACAATTGTTATAGTGACCTAGTGTTGCCCCTAGCCTGTGAGGCTTAGGCACCACAACAGGTGGTGCTTAATAGGTTTTGATCCCCTGTATTAAAGTGTAATGCCTTCAAGTTGTTTAATTTCAGTCCTAGAAGAGTGCAATGGGCATACTCTCCTTTTGAATATTTATTAAGGAACTTTCCAAATCATCTTTCATGACTGCGAGATACATACATAGCTTATTGGGCAACTTAATAACTAAATATTTGAAGGAATGAAGCATACTGCTAATAAATTAGGAATGAATATGACATGGTATCATAATATATAGAAGCAAATGCATATTTCCTTGTAATAAAGTGTAATTATTTAAAATATAGCAATATTTTTAAAGGAACCAGAGCAGAATGAACAATGTTCCAGTAAAAACGATATACATTTGACATATAATGCTGGTTTAAATGCAACCTCAAAGCAGTCTTAAAATCTCTTTCAATTTTTCACATGACTTACCAGCAATGTTGAGGTTGAGATTAGCATTGATCTCTCCATCTTCATTTCTAATGTTGCACTTGTATGGACCTCCGTCTTCCTTTCCAGGTCCCTAGTTCACGAAAAAAAGAACATTCTCTAGCTTTCCATTTTAGAGAAAAATGGAGCAATTATGTACTCAGAAACGTTCGAGGTAAGTGTTATAGTATAAATTAAGTTTGTGTTATGCAGTAAATTCAATTTTTATGCGAGATTTATATGTGCTCTTGCTTCTCACTATACAGCTCTCATGCTACAAGTAAGGATAGGATGTTACACAATTAAATTTATCACAGTTTTCATAAAGTGTTCCCAGAGGAAACTGCAAAACTATTAGTACACAGGAAAATTTTTTTGAGTAGGCAGATGTTTTTCTTACTGCTTGCCGAAGCTGGTATAAGTTTGATATATTTGAAAATGCATTATAGAAATACACTCGCAACACTATAACAAGACTATATTTCATTTACTTCATTATAACCAATATTTCGTTATATCTGGGATCAATATATCTGGGATCAATCAATATATCTGGGATCAATATTATATCTGGGATCAATCTGGGATCGAGGTTTAAGTGCACAACTTTACCACTGCTCGGATCAGTTTTGTAACTGCCATGTGTTCTAACAGAAATCTCGTTTGTATGCAAAGAAAGTTGAGTTACTTGTTCTTGGTTTTCCTGTCTTGAATCATCAAAAAGTAAAATCAAAAAGGGCCATCATTGTCTCAATTCCTGTGAATGCATCCCTTTCGAGTGGGGACACCTTTATTTCAGAGTGGTTCACGAAGTTGCTCACCGTGATTTCTAGGGTGATGATGAACTCGCCACCGTCCTTGACCATCTTCGACTTTATATGAGGGGCCTCGCGGAGGGGCTTACCATCATGAAGCCACGTGAACTGGGGGGCAGTTTTGGATTTCACGTGGCACTCCATGATGATCACCGCGCCGGAGTCCTTTGGAATGATTTTTGGCTTCTCTGTGAAAACCGGGGGATCACCCGGTGGCTTCGGTGGCTCTGCACCTGCGTGATTCAGCGCACGAAACATTGTGTCTCAAACATACGCTCTGACATTACTTGCAGAGAACGAAGTTAAAATTTCAGTGACACACAAGTTGATTGCGTAAAACTCATAACAGAACACATATTTTGAACATTATCTAAAAAAAAGTTTTTTTTCAGCTAAATTATAGAACCGTAAATTATTTCAGCTATAGCACTATAAATCAGCTCAAAGTAATATTGTCACAAAGACACAGGCACGCAGGTACAAAATAGGGCGTTTACTTTCGCAGCCCAAGGGCCAGCAAAGCGAACACCAGAGCACGCGCACACAGATCTACTTCGTTGTCCTCTTCAGATGCTGGCTACTATAGTTGCCTGCCTACCTTGCGTCAATTCCCCCCTTTCAAGAGAGACTGTCCCGGTCGATTGACTGAGATGCCAGAGGTGGCCATGAAAGAAAAAAAATAATTACGTCAATGAAAAAAAAAGCCCACGCTGTAGTGGATAATAAGGAAAATTTCGAAGTGTTCATAAGTCGCGGGCGTGGTACGGTTTCATCCGTACTACATGGACTACTTCTGGACGTAGACGTCTTCGGTTCAAACTGGTGTCGGAGCTTTGGGGAACTACCTCGTAATTCACGTCACTGAGGCAGCGCACAACTTCGTAAGGGCCAAAGTAGCGCCGCAATAGCTTCTCCGAAAGCCCACGATGTCGAACTGGTGTCCACACCCATACATAGTCACCTGGTTGATAGTGGACGCTCCTTCGGCATTGGTTGTAACGGCAAGCGTCGATATCTTGCTGCGCGCGAATGCGGTTCCGTGCAAGCTGGCGGGTTCCCTCGGCTTTCTCAACGAAGTCGTCAACGCTGTCATTTTTGCTGTTGTCCTGGTCTACGGGGAGCATAGCGTCTAACGGTGTTGTGACGCGACGGCCATAAACAAGCTCGAATGGTGTTAGGTCTGTGGTCTCTTGCACAGCGGTGTTATAGGCAAACGTGACGTACGGCAAAATTTCGTCCCACGTTTTGTGCTCTACATCAACATACATAGATAGCATGTCGGCCAATGTTTTGTTTAACCTCTCCGTCAAGCCGTTTGTTTGGGGATGATAAGCTGTTGTTTTCCGGTGGTTGGTGTGCGTCAGCTTGGTGACTTGTTGCAATAACTCTGCCGTAAATGCTGCTCCGCGATCAGTTATGAGAACAGCAGGTGCACCATGGCGCAAAACAATGTCGTGGACAAATAATCTGGCGACTTCAACTGCAGTTCCCCTGGGCACAGTTTTGGTTTCCGCATAGCGAGTCAGATAGTCGGTCGCGACAATTATCCACTTATTTTCTGAGAATGACGTAGGGAAGGGACCAAGAAGATCCATTCCTACTTGCTGAAATGGTGCTCGAGGTGGATCTAAAGGTTGGAGGAAACCGGCGGGCTTCGCGGGTGGAACTTTACGCCTCTGACAGTCACGGCAGGTGCGGACATAGCGCTGAACGGACGGATACAGCTGTGGCCAGTAGTACTTCTGTCGGATGCGCGCTAATGTCCTAGCAAAGCCTAAGTGACCGGCCGAAGGATCGTCGTGGCACGCTTGCAAAACTTCCTCACGCAGTGCCATTGGAACGGCGAGGAGGAAAGTTTCCTGGCTACTCTCAAGATTTCTCTTGTAGAGAACATTGTTCCGCAGGCAATACGTAGTCAAACCACGCGCGAGTCGGCGTGGGACGATAAGGTCTTCTCCTTGAAGATGCTGGATGACAGCAAGTAGCTCAGTGTCCTCACGTTGAAGCTCAGCTATCCGCACCACATCGACGATGCCAAGAAACGGTAAATCTTGTTCAGTGTCAGATGACGTCGGGGAAATAGGAGCACGAGACAGGCAGTCAGCATCTTTATGCTTATGTCCTGATCGGTAGACCACCGTTATGTCGTACTCTTGAAGGCGGAGGCTCCAGGGGGTGAGGCGGCCTGATGGATCCCGTAGATTGGCAAGCCAACAGAGCGAATGGTGGTCACTGACCGCTCGAAATGGCCGGCCGTATAGGTAGGGTCGAAACTTGCTAATGGCCCAAACGACTGCTAGGCACTCTTTTTCGGTGGTAGAGTAATTAGCCTCTGCTTTTGTGAGACTGCGGCTCGCGTAAGCGATCACACGCTCTGCGCCGTTCTGCCATTGAACTAGAATGGCTCCGATTCCCACGTTGCTGGCGTCTGTGTGGATCTCGGTGTCGGCAGTGTCGTCGAAATGTGCCAGCACTGGAGCTGTCTGCAGTCGATTGCGCAGCTCTACGAAGGCTTGTTGTTGTTCTTCCGTCTATACGAAAGGTACATCTGGCCGTGTCAGTCTTGTAAGAGGTTCCGCAATTTTCGAAAATCCTTCGACAAAACGGCGGTAGTACGCACAGAGTCCGAGGAATCGCTGAACAGCCTTTTTGTCTCCAGGACGAGGGAAATCGGCAACGGCAGCCAACTTCTCCGGATCTGGTCGAACACCCCCCGGGCTAACCATGTGGCCGAGAAACTTGAGTTCTTGATAGCCGAAGTAGCACTTTTCGGGCTTGATGGTAAGGTTCGCTCTCCTTATTGCAGTGAGGACACTTTTTAGCCTTGAAATATGCTCGTCAAATGTGGGTGAAAACACGACATCATCCAAGTATACAAGACACGTCTGCCACTTTAGTCCAGCTAGTACAGTATCCATCATGCGTTGAAACGTGGCGGGAGCGGAACAGAGACCGAAAGGCAGCACTTTAAATTCATACAGCCCGTCAGGCGTCACGAACGCGGTTTTCTCACGGTCGCCTTCGTCAACTTCAATTTGCCAGTACCCTGACTTGAGATCTAGTGATGTGAAGAACTGGGCGTGGCGTAGACGGTCTAAGGCGTCATCAATCCGTGGCAGGGGGTAAACGTCGCGTTTCGTGACTTTGTTAAGCCGTCGATAGTCGACGCAGAAGCGTAGTGTGTTGTCTTTTTTCTTTACTAAGACAACAGGTGACGCCCACAGACTTGTCGAGGGTTGGATGACGTCATCATTCAGCATTTCTTGAACTTGACGCTTAATCACCTCTCTTTCCTTCGGGGACACACGGTATGGATGTTGGCGAAGAGGCCGCGCTGACTCCTCGGTAACAATGCGGTGTTTTGTAACGGTTGTACGCTGAACTTTCGATGCTGTGGAGAAGCAGTCCGAGAATTCCCTCACAAGGTTTAGCAGGCGCTCTTTTCGTGAATCTGGCAAGTCTGGATTAACGTGAATGCGGCTTCCCAGGTCAGCACAAGCTTTTGCATGCGGTGAAGTCGTATCCAATGTGCCGATATCGAAAAAGTCGGCAATTTCACTGAGGAAAGCGACAGTAGTCCCTCTAGGAACGTGCTGAAACTCATTGCTGAAGTTGGTCAGCAGAACTCGAGAGCGTTTATTCTCTAACCGAAGAAGGCATCGGGCTATGCATATGTTTTATTTGAGCAGCAGCGGGATATTTGCCTCAGCAATACCTTCATAGTCGTTGAATTCGTCAAAAACGTCGCAGGCTACCAAGGTGAACACGCTACTCTTCGGCGGTAACGTGACGTCATCGTCAACAATTCTCAAAGCATTTACGTAACTGTCGTGAGAGTTGCGCGCTAAAGCGTGTGCCGTAGAAAACATCACTTGCGACTGTTGCAAATCCATCACGGCTCCATTATCACGCAGAAAGTCCATCCCCAGAATTAGGTCCCTCGAGCAACTCGGCAGTATTACAAAATCTCCGAGATACGTAAATCCGTGAATACTGACTCGTGCTGTGCACCGCCCCACCGGAGTAAGAAGATGGCCTCCTGCCGTACGTATCTGCGACCCAGCCCACTGGGTAGAAACCTTCTTCAGCCTGCAGGCAAGACCCATGCTCATAACAGAAGTGTCTGCTCCAGTGTCAATTAGCGCCATTACTTCTTCGTCGTCCACAGTTACCGCAATGTTTGATGTCACCACTCTTCGCATCACGTTTGACTGCGTCTGTACATCTTTTTGCTGCTGTTGCTGTCGTCGTAGTGGAGGATCTTCCGTAGAGTCAGCGTCAGCGGCCTCACCTCCGGAGGTCGCTGAACTCAGTTTTCCCGACTTGCAGGACTGGGTGAACGGCGTCTTGGAGCGCCGCGTGAATAGGCTGGGCTCGGTGACCTGTAGCGAGCAAGCGACGACGAGCGAGGCTCTTGTGACCGATGTTCGATACTGCGACGATTCGAGATGAAACTCTCTATTTCCTGTGGTCGCTCGCCAGGTCGTGGACGAGGGGCATTAGGCGAAAATCCACGGAGACCCACACGACGGTATGGACATGTTTGGTAGACGTGTCCGGCTTCCCCGCAGTGGAAGCAAAGGGGCCTGTGGTCGGGTGTACGCCAGATGTCACTCTTTCTCGGTTTTGCTTCGGCGATCAACGGTGAGCTGCGAGGGCGGAAGCCTACCTCCATTGCTCATTGGGGTAAAATACGCTGGTCGAACTGCACGATGGAGGACGTCGCACTGATTCCGCGTAGCTCATCTCGACGCAGTGCCTCTGTTGTGGCGCCTCAGATGGTTGGGGAGCGTGAACGGCTTGCCGTAGCTCGGCGCGTACCATCTCCGCAATGGAGAGCTGCTCTGCAGGAGAAGCAGTCACCTGCATCTTTTGTAGCTCTTCCTTAATGAGAGCTCTGATAAGCTCTCGCAACGCGCTGATGTCATTGCCGAGAGTGACAGAAGTGACCTCACTTGGGTTTACGCCACGGTTATACTGTCTGGCACGCTGTTGAAGGGCCCTCTCCATGGCAGTGGCTTCCTCATGGAACTCCGCAAGTGTCGCAGGCGGGTTTCGAATCAGGCCGGCAAAAATCTCTTCTTTAACACCACGCATTAGGCGGCGAACTTTCTTGGATTCGGACATAGAGGGCTCCGCACGCTTGAAAAGCCGATCCATGTCCTCTACGTAGGTCGTCACCCTTTCGTTAGGGCCTTGAACCCTTGCCTCTATAGCACGCTCCGCTGTCTCTTTCCTGTCCTCTCGGGCAAATGCCTTGAGGAACTGTCGTTGAAACTCATCCCATGACGTAAGCGCTGCTTCATGGTTCTCAAACCACGTTTTCGCGGAGTCCTCCAGGAAGCAGTACACATAGCGTAGCTTACGCTCTGGGGTCCAATCGTTGATGACGGCGACCCGGTTGAAATGCTCGAGCCAGTCGTCGGCATCTTCAAAAGCAGCTCCGTGAAATGTCTTCGGCGTCTTGGGCTGGTTGATAAGCAGGTGCACTGGTGCTGGCGCGGTGACGTTAGGCGGTGTTTGATTCATAGTCCTCTGACATTCAGGCAGCAAACCGTGCTGTGGCTCGAGTCCCTGGAGACGACGGCTGGAACATACGTGCACAGGGGTAAGCTCGGCTGAGATACTCGATGGACTTGCGTCAGGGGTGCTCTCAGGGGACTGTATCATCTACCGTACCCAGCACTTTCACCAGAAAATGTCACAAAGACACAGGCACGCAGGTACAAAATAGGGTGTTTACTTTCGCAACCCAAGGGCCAGCAAAGCGAACACCAGAGCACGCGCACACAGATCTACTTCGTTGTCCTCTTCAGATGCTGGCTACTATAGTTGCCAGCCTACCTTGCGTCAATATTGAGTTGAAATATGGCCGAATTCTAGCCAAAAACTGATAATGTTCTAGCTAGAGCTTTTTTAAAGACAATAGTCTTTCTTGGGTACCTTCAATGCCAAAATTTTATCTGTCTGTCTGTACATTTGTCTGTTTGTCCGCGGTAACGGTCCCCCTAACGGCACCAAACGATACCTCAAACGGCCAACCTTACCCGCAGCACCCACCAATATTGCTCAAGTTTCAGCATTCATACTTGTGCGATTGTCAATTAAAAAGCAATTATTGCACATATCTCAGGCACGATAACAACACATAGATGTTTTGCATGTGTGCATTATACTAGAGAAGGCACACACAAGTAATTCTAAGGACCGTAGCGTTTATCATGCTGCGCTGAAAGTGCAGTGCAATCCTTAAAAAGGCAAGTGTTTCCAGCGCTTGCTAAGACGACACGGTGGTGGCACCTGCCCGTCACTTTGCGTTGTACTCCTTATCGCCTCCGAGACAGGCGCACATCTTTCTCCACGGGCGCGCACGCCTTCCTTCGTTTTCAAAGATAACTGCCAGATGGCGCTCGTGTCTAACGTGAGTCATTGCGCTTGTTCGCCTTCGCTGCATGGATCGAGACTCTCTAACGCAGCGCTTCCAGAATACAATTCACTGATTTTCTCACGCAGAACATCAAATAAACATTTTGTTCACTCTCTCTACTTGCAACACTATCATCTTTTGACGACATTTGAAGTGAAACATGCAGATATGAGGCCAATTTTTTATCTTTGTAGTATTTAACAACATTTAGTACTCCGAGACTAGATGTGCCAGCAAACAAGAAAAGAATATGCATACCTTGCAGATTTAGAGTAATGTTGGCATTACTATCTCCGAGGTCATTCACAGCATTGCAACGGTAGTTGCCACCGTCTTCTGTCGTTGGGTCCTGAATGCGAGAAAGAATTCTGCATATTAGTGGAAATCACTGCAAACCAAACAACTTGTAAGAAACCTCTATAATCACCAACAAGTTTTTCTTCTTTTTTAAAACTTAAGCAGGAGCTGGCCGCGTTTGGACAAGTAAGCGAGTATAATCTGTGCAAGAAGTTAAAAGTTTCACAAAGTGAAGGTTTCAGTTTGTGGTCGCACATATCATAGGAAGTTGCCATCAATCACGATGCCACGATAATGGTCTCTCTACTCTCATTAATTCAGTCAAGGTATTCAAGTTGTACCTGCATTCTGTAGAGAGAAAGACAGGCAAAATCTTCAGAAGAAGTACAAGTGCAATTATGCTTTCGGTATCTTTCAAACAAATTTTTAAAAATGTTACGTACTATGTTCGCAAAGGAAAAAAAAAGAACCTTCCCCCCCCCCTCCACCCTTCATCTGGCTATGCCCCTGATTGGCAGAGAGGGCACTTTGGCAGCAGCAATCAGCAGCAGCCACAATCACGAAAACTCGTAGAGGCTTGCGAAGGATGCTGTGCATCTAAAATAAATCATACTCGTCGCGGAGTGGTGCTCCCAGAAATAGCCCCTACGCTGCCTTACCAAAACAATGATCACTATATATGACGGTGCTTGCCTGACCCTCTACGAATTCACAGCACTCGGTTACGACATGAGGAAAAAGGTTTGCACTGCCCACAGAACTTTTTCCCGCCTAATGTAAATATTAGGCATATTAAGAGTTTGGACAAGTAAGTAAGTGTCATCATTACTACACAACATTACGTTTAGCAGGACGGCAGAGTCAGATTCCTGATGAAATTGATCAGGACGTTCAAGTTTCCAATTTAAAACAAGCGACACAAATCTGTGTCCATATAAAAATGTCAACAATATTGAAACACCTTAGAAGTGCTTGACACCGTAAAAATGAGGAAGTGCTACTGTCTTATGCAAATTATCTTAGCAGGAGGTACAGCAAGATAATTCTACTAGAACCTGTGGGCAGAGCAGAAATATTTTCTGAGGTTGTAACCGAATACAGCAAAAAAACCGACAAATAAGGTTTTCTGCTACATCTGCTCACCTTAATCTCTAAGCTGAGCAGGTATGTGTGCTTTGCGGTCTCCTTCTTGGACGTCCTGTGTCGGAGACCGTCGTTGATTTTCTTGTTCCCTAGAAACCAGGAGATCTCTGGGAAAGGATGAGCTTCGAGGATGCATTCAAGGATGAGTGAGTCGCCTTCCTGGCGAATGGTGGGCTTCTTGGGAAAACGTGGCGCCTTGCCCTCTGGAATCCTGCAGCGCGAGAATCCCACGCGACTCTAACATTGTACACGGAGCAAATAGAGTACACCGCAGTCGGCCTCAACAGAATCGTCAGAACTGAAAGCTTGCAGAGCAATGTTCCAAAACAAAAATGCACTCATGACTTTATTTATTATGGCAAAATAACTATTTGGAAAACATGAGACTTGTAATTCTATAACTATTTAGAAAATATGAGACTTGTAACTCTATAACTATTTAGAAAACATGAGACTTACAACTCTACTAGAACCTACATGCCCTTAATTGTAGCAGAAACGAGAAAAAATGACACATAATAACAAATTTACTCTTTTTAAAAGCATTTGTCCTCTACCTGAAAAGCTTCAATTTTGCTATGTGTTTATGCCCCTTCCTTATAAAAGAAATGACTTACTGTATGACACTATTGAATGGCATGATTCATCAATGTGAACATAAATATTAAAAATCAGGAGGAATTTTCAAACATGCTTACTTTGGTTTTCCAGAGTCTGAAATAGAAGAAAAAAGAAGACTCATCAGAAAGTCTCACAGACATAAGATATGCAAACTAACAGCAACAAAGCTTTACAGTTCAAAAGTATGTACTTTGGACACACAACAGCAGCTTAAATGTGAGGCTATCACCTAATACAATAACTAAAGGTAATGCTGTGGCTATACACTGAATTAAAAACTAAAATACATTACTTTTTTTCAGGTGTTACACTAAGCCTGGTTAAGTCAAAACTGAAACACCAAGCACAATGAAAAAATAAGGTGACAAAAAATTAAAGAATGAAAGAATTGAAGAGCATTCGAAACATGAGGTGCTCATTGATATGAATCTTTTAATTGTGACACTGCTGCTGCAACTTCAACAAGCATTGAGACTTCACTTCAAAATAACTTTTTTTACTGACCGCTAAGAAGCAGAGAAGTACAGCTTACCTTCGAAGTTGAGGGTAATGTTGGCGTGACCTTCTCCGTGGTCATTTCGTGCGAGAACTCGGTACTCGCCGCCATCCTCAGCTTTGACATTGGCCACCTCCAGTGCTACTGTGTGGTTGTGCTTGTCGGAAACGACCCTGTACTTGTGCCGAGCATCTTCCTTCACCAGGGTGCCTTTGTGGTACCTGTAGGAATGGGGTGAGAACTCGTCAAAACTGCTCTTCCAAGTCCCACAAACAAAGTTCCACTCATACGCGCTCGAGAAAACGCACATCTGACCAACTCCTTCACAAAGCAAATCAATGTGTGATGCAAATCAATAAGCAATTAGCTTACAGGAATGAAATAACACGGAGTGATTGCAGGAGGTCACAGCTGAATTAGCACTGTCACGACTAATTCAATGAGAGCTATAGTATTTGGATGCAAAGTCAAATCTAAAACCAATGCCCCTAGTGGCATAAACACCGACTAACACTAGACAAGTAGGTTCAATAATCTCAATATTTCATACAGTGTTTGCAGGGAGCACAATTAACATGGCAATAAGTACACCTTGATATAAATTCAAAATGAGTAAATTCAGTTTACAGTAGCAATGTCTTGTTATTCCAGTGTCAACTAAACACCATTTGCATACATTTCCAAGTTTAGTCACATTTACAATATAAGTTTTCATACAGTTCTCAAAGAAAAAAATAAGCACTTTAGCAGGCAACTTTATAAGGAAAAGCCAATCTATTTTCTAGAAGGAGATCCCACATGACTGCAGCATAGAAGGGAAAAGTTTCATCAAGCAACTTTTTCAATTATTTCGTTCAATAAATGTTCTAAAATTTTTCTTTGAATACTATGACTAAGTTACTAGGGGCATTGTTGGAAATGACTGCGAGTCATTCAAACAACCAAGCTCTTGAACGGATACTAAACTTTCGTAACACCTATGTTTCAGTCGTGCTTGGCTCATACATTGCAGTGCTTGCAGAATGAGACAAAACTTCAAGTATAATATCTATATGCACAATCGCTCTATATAACCATGTTATGTGGCTAAGAATCTGGCCACTGAAGGTGATGTAGGCTCTGATGTAGACATGCGAGCTAATATGCACTGTTGTGAACCAAACTGAAAATGGTGGAAACAAAACTACGAGCATTACATAGTTCTAAATAGTCACGTTTCATTAGATCAATACTGTGCAAATAACACAGAAAGGCTCAAATTTACAAACAAGAAATGAGGTATCTTTGGAGGCCAGCGATCAAACATGCGACCTGGTTTCCAACAAGTTGAATCTCATAGCTTTCAAGCCGGCATGTAAGGTACAACAGGAAAATGCATTCACCATTCAATGGCTGGTGTTGGGTCCGCTACACACTGACACTCAAAAATTATCTTGTTTCCATCGTCAGATTGCCGGATGGTCGGCTTCTCGGTGAAAGTGGGCTTTGCCCCTTCATCTGGGAGATCGTCACCTGTGAATAAAGAAGTAAAGAAAATTTTGTTGGTAAATAAATTACATTAATGTTGCAAAGTCAAACATGACACTGCCCACATCACAAGAATAGGAAAACTAAAACCTTTGTTTGTAAAAGCCAGGAACATTTTGGTAAAACTACATTGTAAAGTCATCATGCATGTCTAAGAGCACGCATTAAATAAAATTATTCATTCCCGTAAATGCTGTGTTGCTGCTATGTTTGAGTGGAGTCTCGAATGGCTCTTCTTAGAGGCTGCTAACATCACAGCACCTCCATCTTTCACCGTTACAACTACATAAACTTGTGGTTGGAAGCAAGTTTGAAGTCGGTAAAATGCAAGACGAACAAAATGTACGGATTACTGGCTAAGAGAATATGTATAGAGTCGTATATTCGTATAAGGTATACATGCTAGAAAAGTTTTGTTTCAACTAATCAGAAACAAACCCAAAAAAGAAACTAAAAGAATCGATTTTCAGTTTGTTCTGGGTCAACATTTGACACTAAGCACACTGCCCCATGCTAAAACTCACTGCCAAAAAAAAAATACTTGTCATGAAAAACAGTGAAGAATACTTTGTGAAGATTGGAATGTGTGAAACATTATTTCAGTCTTTGGACTTGCTTCAGATCAGACACAGAGACTATTTGTTATGCTCAACACTATTCCTAGGTGCTAAAAGGTTCACTATATGCATTGTATACACACTGAAAAGTACACATTGATTATATCAGTCTAATTGAGTACCACACATTCTTTGTCTACATATGCAATGTTCAGACTTAGCTATAATGCTAATTTTGTAGCATAGATCTATCATGAATATTTCTGAACATTTTTTATATTCTTGAAAGTATTCATAAATTGTTATTTCAGTCATCGCATATATTTATTTTTTATTTCAGAATATAATTTGCATGAAACTAGATTGGTTTAAATTTAATGATGTACTTCTTTTTCTACCGCTGTAAATATGTTTATGAAATATTCCTTACCGAGGTACTGTAGAAAGTTACTATGTTTACAGCATATTTTTTATGGTCAGTGTTTTATTAAAATACTGCAGTCACTGGCATTTTGTTCATAATATGTTATTTAATAACTTAATTCACATAATGAACTAAAGCACACAACAGATGGAAACAATAGCAGTGGATAAATGTGGGAAATGATAACTTTTTCACAAAAAAAGGAATCAAACAGTACGTAATACATAAAACTCACTGTCAAAGTTTAAGCTGATATTGGCATTGCCTTCACCAAGTTCATTCTTGGCAGTGACTTTGTACTTTCCGGCGTCTTCAATGGTGACGTCATCTATTTGCAGTGTCACGTGGTAGGAATTTCCATCCTTTTCCATGTGCATCTGTCCCAAAATAATCAGTCACTGTTATTACATCACAATAAAGAAAGTAGCCTTTACAATATACACAACATTTCAAAGTGCTCTTTGTTCAGTTACATCGATTTGTTACAACATAAACATGTATCACAGGGGCCCAGGAACACTATTTGAACGTGGTCAGAAAACACTGCCGATCGATAGTCCAGGCTCCAGCGAATATGTGAGCCAAATATTACAGCTCTGAACACTGCAGAGAATTTACAATTATGTTCCAAAGAAGATCAGAAATCACTCGCATTTTTTCTCACCAGATTATGTCAACGAAGAGAAACACACGGCCATTGGCTGATTCAATAATCGCGAGAACATGCTGAAGCTCATAACGTGCACTGACGCATCTTCTATCTTCTTTGCAGTACGCTTGTTGAAACAAAAAGAAAAAAAACACACAAAGTGTGCGACGAATCTATATATTGGCAGAAAAAAAAAAAGGAACAATAGACTCATTTGTGGGGCAATAGGCTTCCATAGTGAGATCATTCGATGATTCCGTGGAATAGTGCTGCAGGACTCTTCTGATATAACATCCTCAACCGCACTGTTGAGTGCATGTAGATATGGTATACAAGGTAAAAATAGTATGAGGTCTGTCCTAATTAGGACAAACTAGCCACTGCATGAATGAATGGGCATGAGAGTATGCAATGGAGGTTGAAATAAAGATATGGAGGCCAAAGCAGATAGCAAGAACACATTTGCGAGCAATCTTTTTTGAGGTTCCTCAAGAGTAAAATGGAGACGCATGCATCAGTGACATGAGAATATCGCTGCTTAGAACGTGTCTGTCTTGTTTAAAATTTGGAAGTGAATTATCGTTATTGATATACTTTCGGGACTTCTTAAGTTGTACTGACAATATGTACGGTAGCATGCGCCTCTTGTACACACCTGGAAGCGGCCCTTTGGAACGACGAGTGTGCCGTTGTGGAACCAGGACACAGTCGGCTCTGGGTCCGCCAGGATCCGTGCCTCGAACAGGAGACGCTCGCCATCGTCCTCCTGCCGTATCGTGGGCTTCTTGGCAAACGTCGGCGCGATGCCGTCGATTTGCCTGCGTCAGACAAAACGGGTATTATAGCGACACTTCGGTTCACTTTTGGCGCGCAAAAAGAACTTCGCAACAACGTTCACCAGTTGCAAGTGCACAGCAACGTAGTATATCAAAAAGAACGGCACATAAGTAACCGAATGATTAGAATCGTAGGCCGACAACTCTAGAGTCAACAATGCGTAACATTCGACACAGTTTCTGAGATTATTGAGCTATATTTTCACGTTTACTTAGTTTAGCATCTGTGCGGCCCGCCAGTATGCGAGCATATTGATGACAATGTCGATCGCACTGACCACGTGAGTCACACAAATAATACAAGTATCGCGTAGACCCACGGCTCGGCTTCACAACAGTTTTGTAATTAAAGGTTGAGCAAGTAGTAAGCCTATCTTAGCCTACTTAGATTTTGAACCTAGGTGTTGTGTAAATCTACGAAAGAACTCGAAGGATGGTCACGTGCTGGGGTCACGTGTCTAATTTTTGTAAAGATGGCTTTTTTGCAAGCATACTAACAATGAGGGAAAGCCAGCGCTAATAAAGACATCGAAAACAGCCATTATATTTTACTGTAATACTTGTGAAAGCTCTTGCGTAACTATATAGAGTGGTTCTGAACGCTATGGATGTCGGCAAAACAAAAAATCTTTATGGGGGAGTTGAGGGGTGGGGGTGGAAGGGGTGGTTAGTCTGTAATATTACTTTGGGTTTTCCTGGAGGGTTTGCACTAAATGACAAACATCAAATTCATTGTAGCATCGAGCCCAACGCAATTTTGAGAAAGGAGCAGAAATCTCTACTTGCGTAAGATTTGAATTGACTGCTGACATTTCAGCAAACTTTGGGTGCAACGTGGATGCAACCCAACATTGCAGGTCCCATGCGCTTATTTCTCGTTTGCCCTTATTTCTTATGCACTGCTTCTCTGACTGAAATGAGCTGCAGCCACGCCGAAAGTACAGTCGAAGAAGAAATGACGCTTCACCAAGTTCAAATCGCATCGTCCCTATGTTACTGCGACCAGGAGAAAAGATTTCAGGGTCCTAGCTCCTTGGCAGCTCGTTCAAATTTTGTCTCTATGGAGCACCTATTCATGTGCGGTAGAGCAGCGGCTTGTTGGTGCAAGCATAATCATTCTGAAAATTTCATCAAGAACGCAAAGGGAATAGTTAAAGCTTTATACCAACAAATGTCGATACCGAAGCCGATACCATGCTAATTGTACCTTACAGGCAAGTGGCGCATTATCAACCATCTAAACTGAACCATGCAGCGCGATAACTAATATTTCACATTTAAAACTATGCGGTGGGCAAGACGAAATTTCAGCTAGCTCCACTTGCCGGACACACATGGAACAGTGAATCAGGTGGCTTGCAGAGGAACGTTCGCTTCACGAGTTATATTTGCTGGTTGAATGAAGCGGGATTTGAACGCAGAGGAGTTGAATGAAGTCGAAACGAAGTGTAACGAAGGGGTAGAAGTGGTGGGAGTAATCACGGGCGTGCTCAGCAGGGGTGGCGCCAGGGTTGGGCACGGGGGCCTGCACCCCCCCCCCCCCAATTTTCGCCTGCCTCCCCTCCCAGTTGCCCCCCCCCCCCAAGAGGGTTGTAGTCATAACATAATGGCTAAGTTCTTCGCCTCTCTGCCCTCCTTCCTTGAAGAAACGCATTTATCGTGGGTTCCCCCTCCCCTCCCCCTGATATAATAATCCTGGTGCCACCTCTGGTGCGCAGTGTTTCCTTTCAGGGGGGCAGGGGGAGCGAAGGTTTGTCGCAACGCCCCTCCCTATTATGTCAATATATCGAGCTGACTCTGCGCCCCTCCCTCAAGTCGCAGCACCTCCCCCCTCCTATTATGTAATGTGTGAATCTGACCTTGCCCCCCCCCCCTCCCCTGCACCCTGTGCACGCCTGTGGGAGTAGTCATGAGCATACTGGTGGGAAAGTTGTCACATCTGGGATTTACCCACTACTATCTACGACACCGACTAAGATCAGCTCCGCTGGCAAAAATGTTTGGCTACGCGAAGTTTGTTTAAGAATTTCGACACCGGCAGCAATTCGATTCGTCTTTTGCAATCAGCGTTCACTCAACTAGACATTCTTTCTTGAACTTTTCTGACGTTCCTGCCTAAGCTACGCAACCGCTCCCCCTGACGAAAGACGGCCAGGGTGTTTCTTCTCCGCGTGAGAAGATAACCAGCTTTCACTTGCACATATAACATACTGCGCGCAGGAAGATGTTATCACCCTTGGGCTTTGTGAAGGATGCCGCGGAGATGGAAGCTGTAAAAATTCACCTAGGGTGCCTATATCAAATGTGCCTTGCAATGGATGGATGAAAAACGTTTATTGGGGTCCTGAAGGATTCCACACCCGTTTTATAGGGGTAGGATTGCGGGCCGCTCCCACGTTGGGACGGGGAGGGCCAGCCTCACCGATGCATCATGGGCCTTCTGGACAGCCTTGAGTTGTTGTATGAGAACCGGACTCGTGAGCATTAAATGAAAGGAGTTTTCGGAAAATTCTTCATTTTTTTCTTTGTAAAGAGGGGCACCTCCAGAGCATGTCGTGAATGAAAAAAAAAGGGGGGGGGGGGTGTTTAATACCAAAAAAATTTCACACGTTCTACTTGTAGCAGTAGCCTTGCCTTTTCTTAACAATTAGGCATTTTTTTTAAAAAAAACTGAAAGTAGTAACCAATTCACAGGCGAACGGATGGTTGCGTGTGCTAGGAAACGAGCAAAACATTATTTATCTTTATACGTAGAGCTCCTTTTTTTTTTTATCTTCCGCCCTTTTTGTCTTTTCCTTTCTGCATTTCTATACCCTCCTACACGAAGAGCAAACGGTATGGTTGTTAACGCTCCATGCTCAGCTTTATAGGTATCATACTTCCCGTAAGCTTATCCTAATTTTAGAAAATTGCTGTATACCCGTCCCTGCTTGAAGCGGTGTGTTCCCGCCTGCCTTCTTCGCGCCTTTTCCTTTACATTCGGGTCTGCGCATCAAAATCTAATAATAGTCGCCACTGAAGCACCACTGCTTAGTAAATATACCAACCCTTGCACGTGAACATCATCGCGAATCTGCATTACGCGTTCGGAATGCAACGCATACCATATACCACACAGTACATTCGTAAATCGGTGTTCCTTGTACCGAGCGAGACCAGATATCGAAAGCGCAAATCGGCGAGGAGCGCTGCTCAAAGTGAGTGCTTTGATCGTCCGACTCGTGGCTGCTGTTACTTCATTCCGAGGAGCGTGCTATGTTCTGCGCCCCCGTAAACAGGAAATGGACGTCTGCAAGCGAGCGCGTAGGAGCGGAATGCTTGCAACAGCCCCTGGCCGAGTAAAGAAGTACCCTGCGGTGTTGTTTATTTCCTTACATCTGGCCGACCCACAGGCAGGGCGGATACGGCACTGAAGCAGCTTTTTCGCTATCAGTATAGCTATGCTCTCTCGCGTTTTCTTTTTTTCTCTCGTGTTCACAACGTTACTAGTTCGACCGTAGCTTTAATTTCATTTCACTCCATACGTGACCTGCTTGCCGCAGGCAAAGCAATATGTGCGCAAACATAAATGAAGTGTTTAAGTACTTATTTTCGTTTACGCCTCATCAATGACTTGACTTTAAACGGACCCCGAATAGCGCTACTACTTCTTTGTGCAATAAAGCCTGACGTGTCCGTAACCTTTTTGTCGATTCTAGTTTTACTTCAATGAGACTGAAGGCGTCACGAAATCTACAGCTGATGCCCTTGCCTACCACTCAGACATGGTCTCGCTTGAAGGCACATTAAAGAAAGACACAGACAAGTCAGTTTAGATAACGCACTCGGACCTTTCCCCGAACTTGTTACTTTTTATTTATTTTATTTATTTTTTTTTTGCACGAGTAGGTACTGCTCAGAAAGGCAGCAAACAGACGTAGCCAAACGTCTCCTTACATTAACATGTACTTGAATACACAAAGCAGCCACGGCGCCATGTTGCAGGCGAGAAGATCGATGTGTTCTTAAGTTAAATCTATACTCTCTCTCACACACACACAAACACTCACGCGCGCGCACACACAACAACAAAACAAGGTTCGTGCGCTATATTCTCCTGATGCACCAAATACATCCGCTTTGTTTAACTAACCGACCATTAACTAGCCTCAGACACGCTGCCGAAATCTGTGACGTCATCTGTTACGTCGCCAGGACCTGCTAAGCGAAATTCGGGGCGGCATCACGTTGGGATCAATAACTAAGAAATGGAGTCTGATTTCTTCATCGTGAAATAAGAGCGCATCATTGTGGTGCATACAACGTGCTGACGATCTTATTTTGATGGTGCGGTTGCTCGTATAAGTGACTCGAATGAGCCAAGTGTAGCCTTAATAGTTTTTGTGTAACCAGGCCTTACAATGGCAGATCAGCCTGTCCCCGTAGCATTGAAAACGCGATGTGCAATTACCATTTCATACAACATGGCATACCTGTAACTGTCTTTATTTTTGTCGCTGACATTGTAATACCAGTTTCCATCCATCCCGTACATGAGGCGATCCCACGTGTGATAATCATTTCGCTGCACGACGTTATTATCGCCATCAAAAGCAGTATTCGTAGTTTGGTTAATCGTCATTATCATTATCAGTTTATGATCAATATGTTCCTTTCAGGACGAAGGTCTTTTCTAATCACTTACAGTTTATGCGACCATGAGCTAGCTGATTCGATTTCATATCCCTATGAACTTCCTTATTTTGTCGCTCCACCTAACTCACTGGCGTCACCGGACGAGTACTCCATTTATTGGTATCGATTCCATTGTTGTAACGGACTATCCGTTGTCTGTCCTACGAACTACGTCACTGGCGACTTCTTTCGTTTAATGATGTTCGAGTATCTCTCAGCCAATCTTTTCTGTTATCGCAGTGAATAACTAATAACAGCAAGTACTAAAGTGGACCAGATATCAGTGGACCAGACTCACGCGCTGTCGC